TAGTTTGGACGACTTCATGTGGAATGACACAATTCCCAAGTCTGGTTGAATATGAACTCTAGATATTTATGCAGTAAGGTTAATGTGAATATTTATATCCCTAAATAACCCTAATTACCTAGAACGTAGAGCTTAGATTAAAACGTAGGTACTTAAACTGCTAACAAATTTTCTTTTCGGACAGATTTAATAAAAAAATAACACTTAACAACTTCACAGACTTGTTATATTACTTAGCTCTTAATAACAAAAAACTTTGGTCTAAGATTTCACAACAAAATCAACTAAATTTTCAACATTACTTCAACACGAAGTTGGGTGATGTCGTAAAAGTTTCGCGCGCAAATTCTAATAAAGGGTGCTCCTTGGAACGAAGCGCTAAGAGGTTCTGCGAGAATTCTACTATTAAATTAATTCCGTTACAAGAGAGGCGTACAAGTTCCATTGATACTCTATTAATACTTACTAATGAATCAAGTTAGTAATGTGCCTAAGTGAATATCTTTTAATCTTCTTGAATCGAATTTGGATCTAAGTTTAAAACTCATTAAAACATTAAAAGACGTAAAGATTTATGTGACAAAATTACCTTGTTAGATAACAATGAAATACTGTACTCAGTGATCATGATCATCTATATCGTGACTCTTCACTCAGCAGTCACATTTGCAACCAGTCTGTATTTAATTCCTAACAAATAAAATAACCTACCTCGCACTGATTAATGGGAACAAAAGTTGTAAACAACTCCTGTAACTCGTGTTCAATAAAAGCGGCAAACATGAACGCTCCATTTAGTTCTTGCGGTGAATCAATTAGAACTTCATACACATTACTTACACACTACGGAACTCCGTTACGCACATTAGACACTGCATCGATTACTCACCATACTGTTATACCAACATCACCAACTTATCTATTCAGGTGGACAAAATTGGAACTAGTAAAAGCTAGAACAAAATTGTATCTCGGATGAAGACACTAGCGACGCGTTCAACTGCATTTTAAGCTGTTTGGCTTATACGGCTTTAATATGCAACCTATAAGATTGATTAGAAGACTCCTTTCACCTGTCAGATGGACAAATACGTGATCTGTATTACAAGCCGATTTAATTGCTCGGTTTTATACGCACAACACTTCGCTTGTATTTTATCAGAGAAGTAGCAGAACTGTACAAGTGGGTTTTAGACTATTGATGGTCTTAGATTTGTGCGCATACACAATGACCTTTCAGAAGATAGCCATAGAAGATACTTTGTGTTGCACTTCGAATACTATGTTGCATTTGAGATTGATTAAACAAGATTCTAGGACGAGATTTCTATATTTAGATAATACCAAAGCTATAAACAGCTAATCGTCAATATTCCATTCACAGTTACTAATAAAATGCTTACTAAGGAACATAAGACTGTAATTCTGACGCCGATATTAGTTTACTTAGGACTTTGGGAAGATCTGACGACATATTTGGTCGGAAAAGGCTGAACCGCAAAAAAAGCGTCCTTCGGTTTATCTTCATACATATAAGTGTATATTCAGGGCTATTATCAAAAATTGCTTTGGTAAAAATTTAGGCCAAGAATTTGGAGTATCTAATGGCTCTAAAGATTATAAAGGTCTGACAAACTTAAGACCTCCATTACTGTACCTGAAGTCCACCTTCTGCTATTATTAGTAAAAAGTATTTCAATATCAAGTTTGTTCATAATAATAGGTCCTAAAAGCCATTGGTTGTGGCTTCGGACTGGTGTTTGCTAAATTCTCAATAACCATAATAGGAATGAGTCTGGATTTCATTGTTCATTAATGAGTTCGTTCTCTATTACACGAATCTTATATCCTTTGGCGAATAAAATCGCAACGTTATGTATGTCAATCTATATTTTATACATAATGGGTTTAGGAAGTTCCATAATATTTAATGTCATAAAAGGAATGTACCATTACAAGTCACGGTGACCCCATGTACACTGCAGGGACATGAGCTGCATGCGGATTGTCCGGACCTGTTGCACATACCAGGCTGACTAGCGGAACATCGGCTAACTGGACTACATGACGTGCTAACTCAATGCGTATGCACTAAATGCATTTAATTAAATTATTATTGTAATATTACTCTTTTAATTCTTATTAATTAGGCTCTGATTTTTTACAGTTAAGGCTTATGGGCACCTAGTTGTTTTAAAATACTTAATTAAATAATTATTCCAAATAATGCGTAAATGTTCATTTTATCAGTTACCTTTCATTCTGAGATGGATCGATACACAAAGGATGCGCAAAGGTCATACATATATAGTTAAAATATACAGCCTAGGATAACAGGAACATGAATGCCCAAATACATACCTTAATACGTAGTCATGTCATTAATCCGCACGATACACTCTTATGACACAGTAACTGCATAGAAACATGAATTTTAATTTGTTAACAATTGCACTATGTGACCGGAATACAATTTCTTAAACAAATTAACCTCATTGTTAAATGTCTGCCGTTCTTTTGGAGAAAAATTCACTGTTGTATTGTTTATTCATTTCAAATATGTATTCTAAAATCGCTAAACTCAAAAAACTTACTTAAGAGTATTTTACAAGTTGCATAGCATTAACAAATACTTACTTATAATAATATAATAAGATAATTTTAAGATGTAGGTACCTTATTTGAATATTCCTTTGCCTTCCTTTATCAGTGCTCCAAATCTATAATGTAAATTCATTTTCCACATCAAATACTGAAAACCCGGTCAAGACCACGGCGTCCCCGTTTGTAGGTCAAAGAAAATGTTACCACTGTTTTTGTTACGTTTACTATTCACGATAACATTTGACAATAAGGAGACTAACGGAATGAAATAGTTTTTAATGTTAAAGGTGAACAAAAGCTCTGGATTTGTTTCAAAATATTGAAAGAAATATTATTGCATTTTTAACGTTCCATTCAGCCTTTTGCTGTATTCTACGATGCAGTTGACACTGTCAGAAACGACATCTGTCAAACGTGTATGTCGTATTTGTATACGTACGTTGATCCCAAAGTGTTTAATAATAATTTTCATTTAGCATTTTATTCTGAACGGCTTTAAAATTAGTAAGTGGCGCGGATGTAGTGAAGCGTGTTTCCATCTAGGCGTGGTTCAGATCATGCACAGAGAAAGTAAAGGGCCGCCGTCATCGCATCACATGCTTTCTCTTGGTTACGTTGACCCTGCTAATCACACCGTAACATACCCTAATAACCACGAATTCCGTTCGTGTCCTGAAGAAACGATCTGTTTCAAAATGAACCTACAAGGACATTGCCAATTAGTTCAAGTAATGGAGCATCACAACTGTTCAACATAGCAAATCATGATTACTTATTTGAAAGACTGTTATATAGTTTTAAAGTTAGATTAACTAATTGTCTACGGCTCAACTAATTGATTTATCAATCTTGTATTAAATATAGATAAAATACCTTTCTCAAAGATAAACTCATGTAGGTACAGCTATTGCAACTCAAATCCTCAAGTAGACACACTGACCTAACCTTTGTTAGGCTCCCAAAGTCGGCCGAATAAAAACAAAAGTTGCAATACTAGTTTTTCAAGATAGACAGGTCGATACTGCCAACGTTCAAGTCCTACTTGCGATTAATTTGGCCTCGAAATTAAGAGAAGTTAACTTTCGATGTCCTACAACAACTTATACACCTGTTGATGAGTATTGGAACATTGTATGGAATGTTACGGAAAACGTGTTAAACAATTATCTGTATACAAGGACTAGGTTCTGTAAGTCATTAAAAAGAATAGGTCGTGTAGTTTTTTTAAGAATGAAACTGATACCTGGTAGGTGGTAGCTCAAAGCTTGTAAAGTTTCAGGATCAAATTAAAATTCAACAGAAACTGTCCACTACATAAAGTTCTGGGGAGCCTGAATAATAATCTACTTTGAACCGTGCTAGGTCGTTGCCCTCACGTTGAAAAGATCAAAATTTATCCACGCAAGGTGTACTCTGCACACCGCTCAAGTTTGCCAACATAGCTGACAGTGAAACTGAACTAAAGTGGACTTTGTATCGTGATAGTTACGGGTTACGTCGACCGCTGAGATGCTGGAGCTGAATTATAAGTTTGCTTCATAACCGGGCCGGCCCGTGCCTCCGTGCAAAAAGTCGTCGACTCGTCTGCCGCGAATAATTATTAAAAGGGCGCGAGCGATGGCGACATCTTGTCTCGTCTCAATGTGATCCCCTCCCACCTCCCACCTCCCCATTTACTGTTACTTTACATTGAACCTATGAACCTACTCCTCCACTAAACTTAGAGTACCTGCAACTATGACTTCATAAAGTAGTAAGAAACCTATTTGAAAATAAAACTCAATTTCTCTCATTCAAACATTTAGAAAGCTTATCAAGTTCTTTAAATTCTTAAATCTGTCATTGACTGTTATCTTGCCGCATCAGCTATAAAATGAAAGCTTATGTTCTTTACAATTCGTTCGAAGACATTTCGAAACTGTGATAAATTGTTTAAAATTAAGTAAGAGTTGTCTGAAGGGCATAAGGTTGATCACTTTCTATTGGGCCGCCTCTCGTGTCACTGACATAACTCTATTACCCTCGATAACTTCACAGATACACTGAATCATGATATGATAAACTGAAACATAAACTGCTTCCAGCAGTGTTACAACATGGACAAAGAGCGTTCCCTTTTATATTAATAGGAAAGCATCATTATTCCGCCAGGCGTGTGGCGCAATATACACAAACGAAAATAGAACAAGACAGCTCTAAGGTCATCGTCACATAGATTATTATTATAAACTACCTCATGCATTACATAGTGACAGTCTGTGACTGCTGACATGTTATCAGAGCTATATATTACAGTTATCTAACATTGTGTTTTTGTACGTTTCAGAGTGACACGAACATCTCGTGATGGTGCGCTTGGACGACAGTGTCAGATAACCGCCGCGCGGTTACGAAGTATGGGTGCTAACATGGGCAAGAACTCGAGCCTGCTCGACGCGCTACCTACCGCGCAGGGCACGCTGCACGTGGTCATGCTAGGGCTGGACTCAGCTGGCAAGACCACTGCACTCTATCGGCTCAAATTTGACCAGTACCTCAACACCGTCCCCACCATCGGGTTCAACTGCGAAAAAGTCAAAGGCACTCTTGGCAAGTCAAAGGGTGTCAACTTCCTTGTATGGGATGTCGGTGGCCAAGAAAAATTACGGCCTCTATGGAAATCCTACACCAGGTGCACAGATGGCATCATATTTGTTTTAGACTCCGTCGATGTAGAACGAATGGAAGAAGCAAAAATGGAGTTAATACGCACGGCTAAGTCTCCTGACAATACGGGCGTGCCGATTCTTGTACTAGCGAATAAGCAAGATCTACCCGGGGCAAAGGAACCCCGCGAGTTGGAAAAACTATTAGGTCTACATGAGCTGGTGTCGTCGCCGCATGGGTCGCGCGACGCGCATGCCTGGCACGTGCAGCCGGCTTGTGCCATCACCGGCGAGGGCCTGCACGAGGGGCTCGAGGCACTCTATGAGATGATACTCAAGAGAAGAAAGCTGGCTAAGCTGCAGAAAAAACGAGTCAGATAAACTGTTTACTGTTGCGTTCAAGTGTTTGTGACAAGTCGGCCGTGCGCTAATAACGGTACGGTTCGTGAACGTTAAGTATTTTAAAATGCTCACTGTATGGATGATTTTATAACGTCCGAGATAGAAACACCAAATATTGTTTTACTATAGATGTATAACGTCTTATGAAATATTCCATCATCATGTTGCTCAAGTTATATTGAACATTTTGACGGAAACGAATATTAAAGTTAAATTAACTACTAGTCATTTTCTTTTGAAAATAGCTAGGTGGGAGATAAAGGTAGATTACACTAATGATTTAGATATGTCCGTTTGATACGACCACTACTGGCTTACATACATGGTAAATTATAGCTTGTACAAGGCCACTGGTTCTGCGGTCAGCCTAAATAAGCAAATCCAACGACGAAATTTTTAGATGGTTTTCATAGTTTGCAAAACGTGGCTCACACACAATATTATGTGGGACCATTAGTGTTACAGTATTTAGGTAACTTTGGTGTGTGATGGAGAGACGGGCATTTGGAGGATAATATACCTATGTAACTTTCATCTTAATAATTAGTACCTAATGTCTGTGCAAACTCACTAGATTATTCTTCTGAATGTCATACTATACTATTATATCATGTGTGAATTATCCTTTGTGGTGTTATCAATGGTTAAACTTCTTTCTTCTATCGAAATATCTACCTACCTAGTGTAATAATAACATTTTTTCTATAATAAACTGATTGTCTACGTTTCGTCAAATGCTACTTACATGAAACCTTTATGTAAGCTTCTATATATCTTTTTAAACGATATATAAGCTCATTATGCATTGATCCTTCCCCTTGATTTCGTCCCAAATTCTTTGCTCTATTTTTTATGTGTAGCTAAATGTAGTAAGTAAAGAATTCTACGTTTAATGTGATGTCATATAGGCATTATTACAACATAATAATGAAAAGGCTTGTACTGTTATTATGTTCGAAGAGCTTCAAGTTTTTGTAAATAAACAAACGTATTGTAAATACTGTAGGGGAATATATCATACGAAATAAATAACGTATATATTACGCATATATTAATTGTTTCTATGTATCTAATACTTTTCCGAATCGCTGTTGGATTAGTTCATTTGTTTTTGATACATCAAAGAGTTTGAGTTCTGTAAAATTCTTTAGCACTTTTACTTTCTGGAGTGGATGAGTATCGCTAGGTACTGACAAGATAAGATATACTCGTAAATATGTAACGATAAGGTAACGATGTAATTGAAAGACTATCCTAGGCCATTGATCGTGTCGTCATAGCGTTGATGAAAATTTCAAGTCAAAGCTTTAAACTTCTGATAGACGAAAGTATTGTCATCATTTGTTTGTTTATAGTTTTAGTACCTATTTATTTATTTACTCATAGATGTATTACCTAATGTTAAGACATAATATTGAATGAAGCTTTTACCATTTTGTGTTAGGTACCCATTTTGTAAATATGTAAATTCCAAGTAGTTATTTGTCAATACCATGAAACCAAACATTTTTATGTGTAGAGCGTGTAAATTTTGTTATTAAATAATATTTGTTTTATTGTATTTATATACATACATTGCGTATTATTGTATTGTGTTTTATGGAGATACATATACGTTTTTCATATTGAACCCCGTAAATAAACTGTTTTCATTAACATATTGTATTTTATTTCTGAAAAATTAAAAGCAATAGGTTGTTACTTCTTGTTAGTATGTCCTGTATCGACGTGTGACATACTGCGACATTGTAAGTACTTAGCAGGATCCTCTAATTCTGTCCAATCAGTAAACAATGTCAGATATTCTAATTCACCTTCGGTGAGACTGTTTCTGTATTCCTCGCATTTTGTTTTGGGTAACTTCTTTTTTTTTCTCAAACTTAGGTTTCTAGTAAAGTTGTATTTTGGTTGCGCGGTACTCGGTAGCGCATGCGCTCGAAGCAAGGTAAGCTCCAAACGTCTGAATTGTCGTAGTTCCTTTGCCGCGTCTTTGGCTTCTTTGAATTGCTGTCGTTCTGAGTTAATATACACAGCCATAGCGGCTTTTATTTTTTCTCCTGTTACCGCATCCAACCGTTTGGAATAGTCCATGTAAAAATCTTCTAAAGCCTTAGCAGTTCCCACTAAATCCATATTTATAGGTTTTTCATTATGTATTTTTTCATAACAAAATTCTAAGTGCAACTGAAATTTTAAGACTTCTGGAGCACCAACGCAGTCGTAAAAAAAACCATTGATTATCTTATAGAATTTTGCCTCCAGCTGGGATCCTTGATCCTCGCTGAATTCTAACAATTTTTTGAACTCTTTAATTATAGCAAGAATTCCTGCACTATCCTGAGCAATAATGTCATTAAAGAGTTTTATTCCTTTCTTTAAAAATGTTGTATGAGGCGCAAGTTGAACCACGTGCGTAAAATGATGCAAATGTTGTTGCTCTATTCCGTCAAACAATTTCATTAAATCGGCAGCATGATTAAAGTACAGAACTGGTTTAACAAGGCCACTGTAGCACTCCATTTGCAGCTTATCAAACATAACACTAAATGTATCCTCTTCCTTGGATATCCCAAAATCAAAACCTTTCGCTTCTATCTCTACAGATCGAGCAAAGTTCCTATTCTTGTACCGCCAACTTGGAGGCGAGAGGTAATACAAACATCTCCCATATTTTTGCTGCAGCCCATACCTGTAATCTAGCCCCACTATCCTCGAAGTTATTGTAAACATTTTTGCAGCAAGACATTGATATTCAAAATTAACCTTGTTCAGTGCTAATGCCAACTCTTCCCATCTATTGAGGTACACCATAGACTTGAGATAGTCAGCCAAAATGAAAGCTTCGAAATATTTAACTTGTTCCATATATCTTTGAGTAGCTTCATCATAAGTTTCCTGTTCTCTCTTAAAATTTGATTCAATGTTTAACATACAATCATTTCTATAACCACATTCTTGTCTCAACCTTAACTGAGTGTTAAAGGAATATTTGAGGGATTTGTACGGAGCTATATACTTTGATAAAATAGTTGTACTGACGCATTGGAAAAATCCAGGATCGAAGCCTGTTACAGTCAGAACATCGTCGGGTGGATCATCTATATGAATACGGTTCATAATTTTTGCATAAACAGCTTTGTAACTGTCACGTAACCCCATACTCATACGTTTTCGGAATATCTGCTTTTCTTGTGTTCTCGTATAGAGTACGTAAGGCAACAAAACTGCATCCTTTTTCAATGTGGCTGCTGGTAAAGGTTCAATATCAGGTACAAAACATGTCTGACATACACTAGAACCTTTTTTCAATCGTTTTTTTACAGCTTGTATGCTATTTCTACGCTTCAATTTTATGGTATTGTTATAATTACTATCTGTGAGTCTTCTTGGTTTTATTATATTAATGATAACAGTACGTGACTCGTCTTCATGCATTTTAATATAATTTGAAGTCTTCCTTTGATGTAAATAACTCAATTAAAAATCATCTAAACCGACTAGATTGCCTGATATTTATTTATTTAGTAGGTATATAAGAATAAACTTTTTTTAATTAAATGTACTTTATTATCAGACAAACAATTTAAATCGATTAGAAATAACAAAGGACATAAAAGATCAAATGTTATAATATAACAATAAAATGACAACCCGTGTAAAGTGCTTAATATTAAAACGGTAAGAATTGTTTAGATCTTTGAGGTTGCCACTCAAATACAGGCTTTGCAAATTCATTGTATTCTTTTAAGAAGGGAGCCGGATTCATACCTTCACACCAGTCAGTAAACAGTAGTAAGCCTTCGCGTTCCTCCATGGACAACTTATACTTCTTAGGTTTCAGCCGTTCTCCACTTAAAATTTCAGTTTTCTTTTTCTCGGACATCATAAGTTGATATCGCTTTCTTTTATCTAAAAATTTTTTCATAGGTGCCCGAACGAATTTTGCGGGCGGCCAAAACGCTTTATTCATAGCATTTGTCATTTCTCTGAAAGCTCTGAGTTCCCTTTGGGCATTATAAGCATTGTGCATCATTTTCAAGTCTTGTGCAAAGAAATCATTCTGTGCTTGGCACACTGTCTGGAAATCTAATGCATCTAGGCGCAAGTTATAATCTTCATACATTACTTCAAGAATTTTCAGAGGATCATGTAAACTATGATGACCCTCTTCGCATTTTCCAAAAACTTGTTCGTAGACGTACTCAATGCATATTTTTAATTTCAATGTAGTTGGACTCGCAATACTGTCATAAAAAGATTCATTTAAAATTCTGTAAAACTTATCGCGCAAATGTTCTTCATTAAAACTTTCACGGGATATTTCAAAGTTGATAATATCAATATAATATTGGAAATAATCAGCCTCTTGTGCCTGCCCCTGTTTTAACCGTTTAGTGCGGTCTCGAAGCGAACGATTAGGCCCATCGGTTTTTGCAAGCTGGATTAAATACTCTCGAGATTGCAGCTCCATCGAACGGAATAAATACATCATTTGTTCCGGCTTCTGAAAAAAGAGACAAGCTGGAAGTGGGTTTTTTAATTCAATTTTAGCCATCTCCACTGTTTTCTCAATATCCAAGGATTCAACTAAATCGTTATCAGTAGCAAATTCTCCTGCTTCGAACTGAATCGACATTATCCTACCTCTCAAAGTTTCGTCATTTTGTTGTCTCCATGACAAAGGCGCTACAAACATTAAATAACTTCTGTACGTCTTCAAAATACTTTTATGGCATCAAGTTTAAACAAAATATTGTTCAAAATGGTCAAACTAGAAACATACCCTAGAAACTCAGAGTCTTTAGCAAGCAAATTGTTGTAAACTTTTTCTGCTCTCGCCACTTTATAGCAAGCCTTCTTGTAATCCTCCGTGAGAAAAGTTTGAAAGTTTTTAATATGTTGCTTTAATTTTTCAACTATCTTTTCGTAATGCTCAGATTCTTCAAAGTCGCTTTTTTCTATTTTCAGAATCAAGTCACGTCGATATCCGATTTGCTGTCGATTCATAGCATAAGCTCGAATATTGTTCAGATAAACTTTGATATCGTCAAAACATCGCAAAGGACGACCTTCAATAACGGTATAAAACTCAGGATGAATTTCCACAACTGCTCTAACATCATCAGGAGGTTCTTCAACAAACAATCTACTAGATATATCCCTAGTAGCTGCGATTCTTAGATTATCTTTGAGAAAAAGTGGTTGAGCTAATCTTTCTCTTGTAGTTACTTTTTCTTTTCGATCACTGTACTTTATGTACGACAACAGCTTTTCAGATTTTGGAACGCGGAACGGCTTCATCTGCTTTTTTGGCTTTTTATCCTGCTCCACAGCATGTTTACGATTCGTAAAGTAATGTTGCGTGTTGGGAACATAACGACGTCTGAATATTATATCTAGTGTTTTCAGGGGAACCATGGGCTTCCGCTTCTTTTCTAAACAACTCATTGTTATAAATTATTTGTAAATTAATATAAAGTTTTATCTTTTAGTTTACAAATAAAATAGAAATAAAAGTATTACAAGCTTCTGCAATAACTGTGTCAGTTAGAAAGAAAAATGCAATGAAAATTGACATTATGCTTCAAAATGTCTCGTCGAAGAATAGTAGCACCTCTTTAACGCCACAAAAAGGCTTAACAATAGACAACACTTAATTACTGTAATGTAATAAAAAGTGTGAAAATTGTGGTCAGGTCAAAATATTTACGGTCAGCAAAAATTTCAAATATTTATACGTTAGTCAATAAAACGTACCTACTGTTTAGTAAGGTTCCTAACTTTTGAGGTGCTGATGAACTTCAGTATTGTAGTAAACATTCTTGCGAATTCTACACTGCAAAAACATAACGAGAGCGTTTTAGTGAGCGTTTTATCAAGAGTTGTGGCAAGTATCAGTGTGAGATAGTGGCAATAAACTTCAATCTAGAGTCAAGTCTGACATCTTCGAAACGAATGTTCATGAAGAGATCCACTAAAGCGTTCGCTAGTGTTCATGAATGTTCGTAATAATGTTTAGCTCTATGCTCGGTTCTGTTCGTAGTTCAGTTCGACAAGGCGGACGCTCAATATTCCGGTACAAGTGAATGCACAGTGTATCAGCACCACAAAATAAACATTAACAGGATTATCTGTTCTTTATTATTATAAACCTTAGTGTGTAAAGTATTATTTGTTTTGTGCAAAAACACAATTATTCATAGACTTTTCGTCTTGTTGGTTCATACGAAGATTTCAAACGCTTTGAAAGTTTATCGACATCCTTTAACAGTTTAAAAGCTTCCTTAGCTCGCTTTATTTCTATGTGTCCATGTTCGTATGTTTCTTTTTCAATTTGCTTTATCATATCCAGATCATACACGGAAATATTTAAAGTCAAGTTATCATATTCTCGCTCTAAAGCTAAAGCCATATCTAAAGAAGCAAATTTTGTTTCATTTGGTGCTACGAGTTGTTCGTAAGCAAATTCCACGTAATTGAAAATCTGTAGGGTCATATCTGATGACACAATGTTCCTAATTTTTTGCTCTAATATCCTGTAGAAAACTTCCTTAATTTCAGCTTCGCGGTCTTCATTCCATTTGATTGTATCTTGTATTTCTTTGATCTGCAAATAAATAAATATGGGTAGGTAATAATTATACTGTAATGTTTACAACAAGCCAACAACGTTGTAATATGTTTATTTTTTTTACAAAATGAGACTGAGTGAGTTAAACGTACCTTTTCCTTAATGAAATCTAATTCTTGGCGTAACTTCATTTTCAAAACATCGAGAGTCTTCAAAAATTTGTTTTTCTCCGAATTAAATTCTGTAGTCAACAGCAAGTAATTTAAATTCTGTTTTTCTAATAAATCAAAAATTGTCAGCAATTGCTTTGGAGTTTCGAAATATAATAGTGGCATAGGCAAGTTCTGCAGTTTCTTCTCAATAGCATCTTGATCAATTTTCACAAAAACATCGGAATCCATTACAAAAATTTCGGGGTGATCCAGATCTAACTTTATGTTATTGTTATTTTGCCACAAAATTGGGGAAGCTTTGTAGAGAAAATTTTGAAATGATAGCAAAATCATTAAAGTTTCATCAATGTACTGCAATTTGGACTTAAGTGATGCCATATCATAGTTAGCCTTCTTATGATTCTCAGTTTGATTGGCCAATTCCTTTGCTAATGCATCAGACTTCTGCATTATAGCAATTGTTTTATTATTGTCGTCTGCGAGGAATTTATCAAAACTGTTCTGGTATTCTTCGAAATGCTTGTAAGCTGTTTCATAAATATTACGTTCCGTTTCAATTTCTCTGTCAATGCGGAGAATTTCATCAACTAGGAATCCGTGAAGAGTTCTGTTTAGGGCCACACTTTTTATGTGTTTTTTGTACTCGTGTATCGATTTATTCTGTTTCAAAGGTCGTCCTTCGACCAGAGAATAATAGGCAGGGTCTACGTCTACAATAGTTTTAATACCTTCAACGGGTTCAATAGGCGGCAGTTTGATTCCAGCAATAGTTTTTCTCGTTTGCCTTTTGATTCGCTTTTTCTTTTTTAGTTTATCCATATTGCACTGTGTCACTACTTTGGGTTAAGAAACAAATGACACTCGCCGCGATTATCAACAACATTCAACAACTTGTTTGTCCACAATCAATATTACTATAGCAACAACATGAACTATGTTTGCCAACATTGCTTTTTATCATGGGGAATGAGATAGTGTATGCAAAACACGAAAGATAACTAATAGTAAAGTATTGTATAGGTAACTACAGACTTCCAGCTAGTAAGCTAACAAGCTAGGTACATTATTTATCTATCATATAAATCCATTATAACACGTTAATAGTTACGAACCGTTTTAAACTTTCTATTAAAATAATGTCACAAGATACCTATAGATATTGGTACATTCGACAACTAGAAAATGTCAAAAAAACAACCTTAATGGCTACTTATATCGTGTATTTTAAAACATAGCACTAAAAATGACTAGAACATAATAAAAAGAAAAGTAATGCGAAAAAATAAATAGTGTTGATAATAATTTAATCAGAGGACGAGCCATCGGTATGTTCCTCCCGTTCATCCTTATCTTCATCTTCTTCTTTTTTCACCACTTCCCAAGGCATTACAGGGAGAGGTTCCACGAACGAGTCATCTATCTTCAACTTGTAAAGGAACCGAGGCGTGAACTGAGTTGGTAAAGGCCAAACCTCCTCTGCAGGCAAATTAAGAAGATAGAAATAAATAGGAAAATATAATTGATATCCCAGTCATATCACGAGGTAGATATAGGAAAGATAGCTTACCAAAATAGAATTTGAAATCATCGACACGACGATGCAAAGCCGCAGTTTCACGAAGTGGTAGAATGTGAGGAGATTGCAACAAGAAGTCGATCAGAGCAACTTCGGGCAGAGCTTCCATCTTAGGGTCTGTTACCTTTAATCCATCGAAGGATAACTGCAAACATAATTTCATGATGAACTATAACTTACCGAATCAAGGATATTAATAGTGGGGAAACGAAAATGACATTGACTAATGTTTAACTCCATCAAAGCGGAGATGGGAAGATAATAGTGGAGATGTGTATTAAACAACGACTTAATGATGGATCACGTAGGTACACTTTCCACAGTTTCAGGGTAGACTCTGAAGCTGAGGAAAGTGAAGTTGTATAAATAACGCAGGCAACTGTTTTAACAATTGTCTCTGTTCCATTCGTCTCCGTTTTGATGGAGCCCAAGCAGGCCTTATCATTGACAATCCCTTAACTAGAATAGACTAATGGAAAGTATCTACCTAATTCTTTCGATTTTTCTCGTATGTTAACAACAATCATAAAGTTCAGAAAGAAAGAAAAATAATTTAATTGGCACCGGATACGATGCACCAAAAATAATAACTAAAACCACCAAAAATATATATAAGTATATATACAGAACAAAAATAACGGTAAAACCTTACTTTTTCGTCAGCTTTAGCGAAGGCACATATTTTAGTGATCTTGTTTAGGAAGATGCGTAGTTGCTCCAAATGTTCTTGTAGGGTTCCAAACAAATCCAATTTGCCTATAAGTGATGGCGGCCTTGCTGTCACTGCACGCCAGCTGGTGAATTGCAACTGAGCAAAAATACGAATTATAGATAAACTACAGGTATTACCTACTTAGTTATGAATAATTTTCTTTTCAATTTTTTATTTTAATTCCACGTAACGTGGTTTTTACCTCGTGGGATAGCCACGAAACAGTAAGTTAAGTACTTACAACTAAAATATCTAAATCTGGACTTTAAATTACCGTGCGCACGGAGTGGTATATCATAACTACTTTCAAACGTCTAAACATTATCCCCTCCGGCTCGTCTTCTGTCTCCGTATTCTCCGCCATTAGGACATTAAAGCCTTCAGTTTCACTTGCAATATTCAGAGGTTGGTCCAAATTCGACTTTTTGGCTTTCCAATTAGCCTCTCGTCTGAATAAAAATCTTAAGTGCCTGTGAATTGTGTCTTCAGAACCCTTAAAAGGTGCATAATAAAATTACAATTTGAGTAAAGAGATAAATTAAAGGTATACTACTAGTTTACTAAGCATACTTAGTAGACTAATTTAGCAACATATTACCTATTAGCTTGTTTCTTCGCCAGATGGTTATTATTTATTAATAGCAGTTTTCTGTGGTTTTGACCGTTTCGTGCGATTGACTGACGTAGTATGTCAGATAGTCTAAAATCTACCTCAAAAAACATGACTAACTAAGTACCTACCTATAAAATAAATAGAAAATGTTCCTTGGACCAAACTGTAGACAGCATAGATTCGTAAGTAATTTAAGCATGTTTTTACCCCTTTTTTTATTTATTTTTAAGTGTAAAATATCGTCACTTCGCAAGGAAGCACGAAAGAAGAACTCTCAGATTATTTTAGTTTTTTATGGAATAATAGCCAAACGAGGAGACCCATCACCTGATAGTAAACGAACAGTGCCGCCCATGGACACCCGAAGCACTAGATGACTCCGAAATGCGTTGCCAACCTTTAAGCAAACTTCGATAGGTACGCTCTTTTCATGTAGGTTAGAAGATATAAACACTTACCTCAAGTATATGAACAAAATAACTGTCGTACACGAGTAGAAACCCGTAGACATTGATCTCACAGTAAGTAGAGTTCACAAGTTCAATGGTCCTCGAGAAATGTTGAAGAATTTCCTCTTTCGGCAGTGCATGTTCGCCAATGTATATCATACGTATGGCGTAGGCTTTCTGAAATTAATAGCTACCCACGTAATCAATGGTCGGTTACTTTTTATTTATTTTTGAACAAAATTAGAGAGTGGAGCATGACTCACCAAGCCAAGCTTACGGAAATTGTCTTCCACAACATTAAGGACGCTCTTAGTATCGAGTTCGGGTAAAGCCAGAAGTTTTAACATGGTGTGCAATATACTGTGTCTGGATTTATTATTATTTTAGTACTTTCTTTCGTAGGTAATTCTTGTTTATCACCTTGTCGATTGTAAGACGCTGTGAATGTCAGTGTTTCCATGGCAATAAACAGTGGGAACCATGTGGGAACCAATGGAACCTTCTTGGTTCCATTCTTAACGGTATGTGACCTTATTAGTTCATCCTTCTTTTCATGAAAGAATCCTTATCCTTACTAATATTATAAATCTGAAAGTGAGTTTGTTTGTTTGTTTGTTTGTTCCACCTTCACGCCGTAACTACTCAACCGATTGCTTTGAATTTTTGCAGACGTAAAGTTAGAAGTCCGGATTAAATAATAGGGTACTTTTTAACCCGGAAAAAATTTATATTCCCGAGGAAAAACAAAAGTATTGGTATAGATGGCGCTATGTGTGTATTGGTATATGTCACATAGGCTACTTTTTATTCTTTTGTGACGCGAGCGAAGCCGCGAGTAAAAGCTAGTAAAAGATAAATAAACCTTTATCATAACAGTGGTTGGTTAGGATCAAAGGATTATTTTGTTAGGATAGAAATGTGAGGGTGTTGAATTTAGGTCTTCAACTCAACCTGTGGCAGAATAAGGATTCTAAGAGATTTGTCTTGCAAATGATGTGAATTTCTAATGAATCGAATATGTGGCAAATCGGTAATCGTAAGGTAGATAAAAATAAAATTCGAAAATAGCAATAAGAACATTATATTGCACTACAAGCTATAACACAGGTTACAAATAGAACTATATTTGGCTAAATAAAAATAATTACACATAATCATCATCATATCTCTTGGATTTAAAGGTTTTGAATTTGTTGAATCTGTTAAACTTGTTGTTTTGACCATATTGGAAATTACTTCTGTTATTTTGTCCGTATTGGTAGTTATTTTGTCTGGGCCTCGCCTTCATCTGTTTTTCTTTTATTTTTGATATATCATATGAACGACCTAAGTCTTCTAACTCCTGTGGAATTTCCTGAAATAAAAATTCGTTTCGTTAATATTCATTGAAATCATGAGGATACTTTTTAGAATAAGGATTTTATAATTCCTAAACTGTTTAATTTTTTTAATAAAGAAATAACATACCTGATTAGCTTCTTTGAGAACTTCAATCAAACTGCTGGCTTGCCTCGCGTCTTCGTCAGTGAGGATAGTGTGAGACACCCCTTTGTTTTCGTGACGACCAGTGCGGCCTATTCTATGGATGTAGTCTTCGGACGTGTTCGGGTAGTCATAGTTGATCACGTGTGTTACACCATCCACATCTAGAAAAAATTAAGATTATATATTTATTAATAAGAAACTGTAAGAAATCACGAACTATGAAATCAAAAAGTCGGAAGCTGTTTCCATAATTTATTTTGTACTCACCAAGTCCTCGAGCAGCAACATCAGTTGCAACTAAAATATTTGCACGACCATGTTTAAACTTGTTAATAATTTTGTCTCTTTGGGCCTGAGTCTTATCGCCATGAATCCCATCTGCTGGCCAACCGTTTCTTCTGAGTGTGAGGGTCAGAGTATCGACAAACTTCTTAGTGTTTGCGAAAATTAACAGTTTACCAAATCCTTCGCCAGAAATCTCATGCATTATAGATTGAAACCTGGAAAATACAAAATGCTTAATGCAACTACCAAGTAACAAAGAAATATCTGATTGGAATGAAATGAAAGATACTTACAAGGTCATTTTGTTGTCTGTGTCACATATGAACATTTTGCTTTATATTGTGGTTTGCAGACAGTTCAGTGGACCCTACATTAACTTGCACAAACTCACCCAAGTAGTCTTTAGCTAGATGTCTCACTTCTTTAGGCCAAGTGGCAGAAAACATCAAAATTTGTCTCTCCAGAGGAACTCCTTCTAAAGCTTGCCGTATTTGAGGTTCAAAACCCATGTCCAACATTCTATCAGCTTCATCTAATACAACATAAGTTGATCGACTCAATGAGACAGTTTTGCTCATAATAAAGTCATTTAATCTACCAGGAGTAGCAATAAGTATATCAACTCCTTCTTGAAGCTTACTAGCTTGAACTGCACGACTGGCTCCACCATAAACACAGAGTGTTTTAATTTTCATGGATCTTTCAAAAGCTTTTGCCACCTGTTCTATTTGTCGAGCTAGTTCTCTTGTCGGTGCAAGGACCAGCACAATAGGACCTAAGCCTTTCCTTGCATTTTTCTCCTTAATATGAACAACAGCTGGTAACAAGTAAGCCAATGTTTTGCCAGTCCCAGTTTGTGCAATTCCTACAAAATTCTGACCACTCAAAGCAATAGGCCATCCTTGTGATTGTATAATGGTTGGTTTCTCAAAACCCTGATTTTTTAGAAATGACTTGATGTATTCTGGGAATTCACTCTTCTCTATTTCTATGTATGGGTTAGGTATATCTTCTCCAATGCAAGTAATGTTGTGTTCATTGCGATAATCATCTACAACACTTTGGTGTGCTGCTTTAATAGAATAATACTTTTGATAGTATTGTGTTTTACTTCTGAATTGTCTTAAAAGGTGTTCATGGTTGACTGTTGAATAAGGAATACAGATATTGTTCAGTAAGGTGACTGAAGCAACTTCAGCACCAGCTAGTTTTGTGCCCTCTGATAATCTGGAAAGTAAATCAATAAATTAATGTAATTACGTACCTATATCAGTAGATCTTGAGTGTAAGGACATTTACAATTTTATACTTAATATGGCAGATTGAAATCTGAATTTATCTATTAGAATAGGCTAGTAACTTTTCTATATTTATAAAACTTATCATATTAAGAATATCGAACTACATTAGTATTTCATAAACCATCCGATGCAAGCATGTGACTTTGTTGGCAGTGATACATAATAGTTTGGACTTACATTTTACGTAAACCTCGTCGAGTCAGGAGCCTTGGCAGTATATTCATCGCCATGTTTTAAGATTTACTCATTTACTTCTTCTAATACACTCTTGAAATAGTGTACTCTTACAATTTATTTCCAACTTATTCGAAGATTACAGGACACTGTTCGTAATTCAGCGGTTTTGAGGTTAGAATGCTGATGATATCTGACAGTGTGCAGTGATACCAACTAAGCCACTATATTCTGTTGAAAGTAATTAAAATGAGTGATATCACGTCTGTTCTAATAATTCAACAAATCGAAAAATAATATATGCGCGTAAACCATTTACAATCACAAGCATGCAAACCATGCAAACATAACAATTTGACAATTCGAATTGACTTTTCTTTTTTTTTATTGCTTTTTGGCATAGAGTTGGAGGAGACGTTTTTTTATTTTTGCATAGATGTAATAATATTCTTTAGCCAAAGAGTATATTATGTATTTATCGTATCAGTGAATAAGAGGCAAACGAGGAGTCACAGGTGCGTTGCCGGATGCAACTAAATTATCAATATGTGAATATATTAATTGATCGCTCACATCCAATAGAAATAAACTTCTTGTGTTTAGATTGAGGAGCCATATAAAAAGTATTGTATTTTCTTTAATTATAGCACTACAGAAGCTAAATTTTTTTATGGTAATGTGCACAATTACTACCTACTAAATGATACAAAATTTTCATAAATATCAATCTATTACTTAACGAGTTCTAGGTGGCTCCTCAATTCAAACGTTTAGATTGAGGAGCCATGTTTGCATTAAAATAACTAGTGATATATCTTGCTGCTAAATCTAGAATTCGTGCTGCAAAATAAAACTAAACTGCTGCTGAATAATGGCGAGATCAGATTTTTAAAATCTGATGTGGCTCCTCAATCCTTACGGACATTTATTGTCTACTAGCTACTTCCGCGCGGTTTCACACGCTCTGCTTAGCTCCTATTGGTTGTAGCGTAGTTTTATAGCCATCCTTGATGAATGCGCTATCCAACACAAAAATAATTATTCAAATCAGACTTGTAGTTACGGAGATTAACGCGTTCAAACAAAAAGTCAAAACTAAAAATCAAAAAATAAATAATTATTACCTACTGAGTAGGTACTGCTATTATTAGTATTGATAGGTTACCCACCCACTGATAGGTAAGAAGTCGGTGCCATATGTTCCACATACAAAATTATTCATTTAAATCTTAATAGGTACCTACCTAATTCACAATTTTGTGGACAATAAATTATATCATTATGTTGAGCTTATGGCACAGACTTCTAACCTATCAGTAATTTAATAGTCATTTTTTGCTTTTCATTTTTGACTTTTTGTTTATTATTTTTGGTGTTTTGAAGTCGGTTTTTTAAACGCAGTTTTTATTTTATTAATTTCATTCATTTCATTTTCAGTGTAAAGCTACATAACCCATTTGTCACTACCAGTTTTGTTACTTATAATCTACATAGATGTTACTCCTAAATCAATCAAGCCCAAACACAAGGTAATTACTGTATATCGTTGAGGAGTTCCCACTTCTTCATCATCAGACCCTTAATGACAGCCCTACTCTATCTAGGTGTAGTCCTCATCAATACAAATTAATCAATCCCAAACACAAGGAAGTTAATACAAACCGCTGAAGAGTTCCCTCGACTGTCTGTCGGCTCCATCATCAGGTCGACTCCAGACCCTTATAAAATTGTAGTGTTTAAAAATCGTAAGTCAACCATTACTGGTATGACTATTTAGATAAAAGTAAGCATTGCAATTTAATGATTGACATGGTCATTAAATTATAGTGACTACCAAAGATAATAAACTAAAGAGGAAATAAAATACATTTTATTAATAATTAATTTATTGATTATTATTACACGTTATCGGAAAGGGGCATGGAATGACGAGCACAAGTGATGAAAATATCTCACATCGAGATGATCATGAAGTATTTAAAATTAAATAAATAGTTGAGAGCAAGTCCTCCACAAGACAAATACTGCATGTACTGTCCTTGCAGCATGCACTATAAATTAGCTAATCCTCTGTAGAATCACAGTAAAAAATATATCACAGTATAAACAAAATATACTTTACATTCAGGGGTGTTTCAGATGCTAGTAGTAGAAGAAATTCAATTAATCTAGCCTGCCTGTCATGTAACCACAAACTGCAATATCAACCAAACAGTATTTCTACACGCCTTAATACTACATTTCACACAAGTACTCATTTAAGGATTTGCTAGGTACTAACACTTTGTACTTTTAAAATTAATAGTCACTGTTAAATCTCTTGTGGCCACCACCGTTGCTTCCTCCATTGCCCCTTCCGAAATTACTTCCACGCTTGAATGAGCCGCCGCCGCCGCCGCGACCGCCTCCATATCTGTTTCTGTTCCAACCTCCACCTCCACCGCAGCGATCAGCCATGGTCTGGAGTTGAGGATTCACCACCTAAAAAAAAAATTAAAAATTCATTAAAATCTAGTAATATTTCAATACTCCTTTAATAAATATCAATGGGATTGATTGATTGTTGATTATCAATGATATAATGTGACAACATCTGAGGATGGGATCCAGACAACATTGTGTGGACACCGAAGGCATGTAGCTGTATTAATCTACCTCATACTTGCATTCATGTTATGCTATATAGAAGCATACCCATGCCAAAGGTATGAGGATATTTATATTATAAAAATATAAATGTCAGTACAAACCTGATTGGCTTCTTGTAGTACAGACACGAGGTCCTTGGCTTGACGAGAGTTAGATGGGGTGAAAAAGGCATATGAAGTGCCCTTTGATTTTGAACGTCCTGTTCTACCAATTCGGTGAATGTAATCCTCTGATGAGTTTGGATAATCAAAGTTAATAACGTATTTAATTCCATCAACATCTGAAAGAAAAAATGACATCAAAATATTGTTCAACCTATTTTGTGAGAAAGCTAAAACAGTTTTTAATAACAAAACAAAGAATTCGATAAGTATAGCAAGTTAACCTTTAAAAATCTGTGTAATGTTATGGTAACTCATAGCCGTGTATTACTTACATGAATGAGTTACACATATGTACCAAATACAATTCAATATTTGCCTCTCACTCAGAACCCTGGAGTCTTATTTAGGGCGTTGATGTTAAGTATTATCTCAGTTTGTAAAATCATAATGACACTGCCCCATCCAAAACTCCATTTGGCCGAAATAGAAAACCCTTGACCTTCTGACCATTACATTTCAACTGCGGTCAAGTTTTTAACAATGCACATCGGTATTCGTGATTCTTAACATCTCGGTAATCTGATTGTTATACACAAGTGCATCACCAGGTTTTCCACACTCTCAAGTGTATCCGTCCGTTGATAGACGAACATACCATCAAGCTTTCCGGCCTCGGGTCCAATCACAGTGAAAGGCACCTATGAGGCACCATTATAATGACGAGTTATTGCATTCTCTAGGCATAAAACTGCATCAGACTAAAACGTCATCTACAAATCTCGTACAGTAGTGACTTGCCCATTAAATTCGGGCAGTAATCAGATAGAACACAATAACTTTCCGCCAGTGCCTCTGAAAAGTATAAACAAATCCAAGTTATAATAAATAAGGTATAAACAGATTCAACAAATAAGCAGTCATAATTTGATTGAATAATTTGCTACAAACCCAGTATAAAATATTAAACTACAATATTTACCAAGTCCTCTGGCTGCAACATCTGTTGCTACAAGTATACTGGCACGTCCTTGTTTAAATTGATATAATGTTTCATCTCTCTCTTGTTGGGTTTTGTCTCCGTGCATGCATACTGCAGGCCATCCATATCGTCTGATATTCCTAGTGATATTTTCTACTTTCCTCTTAGTTTCTACAAAAATAATTGTTTTGGCACCAGGCTCTTGGCTCTGTCCAATTTCTTGTAATAAAACATTTAATCTGGAAAGAAATATTGTCATTAGAAGCATACTTCACTAAATTGTAGGAATAGCTTAACATTTTTTGGTCAGATCTTCTTAGAGGAGTGAATTTTATTTTAATCAAATTAGTCATTCTTAAATCAATTCATCATAGTGAAGTATAGGTGATAACATTTAATTACAGGTTAACACTTACTTATTTTCCTTCTCATGTTCTTGGCAAACATCTACAATTTGCAAGATGTTGTGATTGGCTGATAACTGAAGGGAACCAATGTTAATTTGAAGGTAATCTCCCAAGTAATCCTCAGCCAATTTCCGTACTTCCTTCGGCCATGTTGCAGACCACATCAAAGTTTGTCTATCAGGGCGAATCTGCTCAATAATTTTTCTAATTTGGGGTTCAAAACCCATGTCTAACATTCGGTCAGCCTCATCCAAGACCAAATATGTGCATCTTTGTAGATTGGTGGTACCCTTTTCTAAGAAATCAATCAACCTGCCAGGTGTGGCAATTACTATCTCAACTCCACGTTCCAAGTCACGGCCTTGTTCCCTCTTGGGTGCACCACCAAATACACAAGTGTTACGTACATAGGCTGAGTTCCCAAAGTCTGAAGCAACTTGTTGGATCTGTTGTGCCAATTCCCTTGTTGGTGCAAGTACCAAAGCGATGGGGCCATCTCCACGCCTAATAGGGGGTTGATTATTGATATGCACAATAGCAGGTAGAATGTAAGCAAGAGTTTTACCTGACCCAGTCTGTGCAATACCAACCAAATTCTTGCCAGACATGGCAATAGGCCACCCTTGAGCTTGAATAGGAGTAGGATCTTTGTAACCCATGTTGCTTATGCTTTGATTGACATAATCAGGGAAGTTTGCTTCTTCAAAATTCTGAATAGGGTTAGGGACTTCAACTCCACTAACAGTAATCTCATGTTTGCTTCTATACTCTTCAACTTCATAAGGTGATCGGCTTAGAACTGTTGGGTGTGGGTTGTAGAAATCTTTGTTGAATGGTTGGAGAGACATGGAATCCCAATTTGGACGGCGCATGTTTTGACCGCCGGTAAAATCTTTTTTACCGCCACCGCCTCCAAAACCGCCACCAGATCCGCCGAATCTACCACCACTTCCTCCATTACCACCGAACTTCGATCCGCCGTTACCAAATCGGGAGCCATTGCTGCTTCCAAACTTCCTTTCTCCACTGAATTTGGAACCACCGCTACCACCACGGCTATTGTTCCAACTATTAGACCTGCCGAACAAAATAAGTAATATCTGTAGGTGGCATAATTTACAGAAAGGTAAAAAATCAATGAGGTAAAAATATCATCGGGGACAGATATGTTTAGTTAAAGATACCACGTTACATAGTAATCGTGTCAAAAACGTGATAAAGGCATAAGTCGTGCATCAGCACGTGTTTGCAACCGGTTTTGTGAACTTTATCGCTCTTATCGAATTAATTAAGTACCTACAGACTATTGGAATGAATCATGATTGCCCGAGAATTACTCAACGTGGTTTAATGTATTATGTGGGTAAGTTATTGATCGCAGAAAATCTGCTTCTGCGTGATAGATAAGTGGTTAGGCCACGCATGCGTGCTACGGGCGCACCCACCATGGATCAATGAATTTATAGAACAAAATGGCGATGGTTCTATGTGTCGATTAAGTTCCCATTTTTATTAATGTTAGTTGTAACAGCATAAAGAATTAAATTTAATAAATTTTGAACAATACCGAATGTTATTTATGATGTTTGATTAAATCAATAAAGATACTTATGCAAAGGACGGCAATTATGACAAATGAGACGGTGATGGATGTGACGGTACACAGGAGAGTTCAATGATAAAAATTACCATGAATGCCAAAATAAATGTCGTATCTGCCAAATAATAGATTACCAAGACTACTTACATTTTAGGGGATGTGATTTATTCCAGGATGTTAAAAGAAATTCAAGATTATTCTATGTAGCAGGGTCGATCTGTAAGTAAAATGGACGATGTTTAGTTAAAGGTTTGAAAAATCACAACACACTTCACAATATTAACTAAAGCTTTAAAAAACGTAGATACAAAAAACACTGCAATAGTCACTTTATTTTAAATAAAATAATAGGAAACAACTTCAAATTTTAAAGAAAAAATTGGCAAAAATTAAGCAAGTAATTTGAACACGTCCCACCTGGACCACTGCTGACGCCGAAAGGAGAGTGAATGTTAAAGAAATCGCACACTCCAAGTGCCAACCAATCGTTCTCACGAATGAACGAACTACCTCGACAAGAATTTATCGTTCAGTACCTCATTCACTATATTGGTAAGAAAGGAAAACTTACTAAAATCGATGCCTTTAGTCGATTTATCAAAAAGGGAATGGTCATAAAAGTTTATAATACGCTACTTGATACGCAAATACACATTATATTTGATACGTAAACATATGCTAAGATGGTTCGATTGAGTAAATAGGAAATTTAGTCGGGTCTTTTCGTCAAGTATATACCGCAAAGCCTGAAAACAAATATCAACGAATGCGTCCTTCATACCCGAGTAAAGAATAAAAAATCCAGATGATACAGAGGTCACGGAGCCGAGACGTGGACATTGACAGAGAACTAGTCCACCAATTTAAGGTCTGATGATAATGACTAAGCAATAATATTCGAAACTATAGAACTATAAGAATATTAAATATTTGGCGTGTTTGTACGTTGTATGTATATCTACGGTGACTTTGAAAAACAGAATATTATCATAATATCCGGGGGAATGAAAGTTGAAGACATAAGGATCAAAGTGTAAATAGCACATACTTAGAGCTCTCGTTCTTGTCTAGGAGGACCCTAGGGCATAAAGGGGTGATCTCAATAATAGTAGCACAACTTGATTTCCTCTAGTTATTTTATCATCGTACCACAAGACAATCAGTACCTTCATCGTATTTGGGACATCGTACCACCCACATGCACAAAGCGCTTCGCATCAAGCTTCCTTATGCGTACTGCTAAGAAGTGGAATTCTTTGCCAGAGTCTGTGTTGCCTGAAGCGTATGGGTATACCTAGGTGTCTTCAAGGTCCGAGTGAATATTCATGGCTTGGTTGGTTTGGTTGCTTATCCATTTCTCTAAACGTAAAAAAATATAATACACCTTTCTCAAGAAACCATGCTGCGTAATGGTTGATGACCAACATCCAAAAAATTGGCCGATAGTTTTTTAGCAAGAAAGGAGACTAAAAATTAAGTCTCCTTTATGGAATAGGAGTCAAATGAGCAGACTGATCACCTGATGATAAGAGATCAGCGTAATATCAGAGGAGGCACAGGTGCGTTGCCGGGCTTTTAAAAAGGAAATATGCTATTTTCTTGAAGGTCGTATCCGTTCGGGATGTAATACTGCTTCGATCTATTGAGCACACCAAGCTTCCTCGAGGCTAATTTAGCCTTATCCTCCAGATAACCGCGGAACTGGACGAATGCTGACACCGAGTATTCCTGTACCGGCTGAGGCAGTTTCCCCTAACCCTAACTGTATGGGTGCTTTGAAACTGAGGAGAGACGACGTACGGCAGTTTGTTAGCGATAACACCATTACAATATTATTGTAACTCACTTATACATATTATTTAATACACAATATATTATAATAGTGATATTACAATATTTAAGTAAGTACTGAATATATATGTATAAAAATCTGGTTTTAAATATGTTATCTTAAAATTGACAAACCACAATTTCAATGCCGTTAATTGCTCAAGTGAATAAGCGAAATAAAGAATGGCACGGAACCCTTCCTGTACGAGTCCGACTCGCACTTGGCCGGATTTTTCTAGTTACTTCATTCATTCTATAGATAACAATAATTTCATTCACTTTCCATCAGTCATTCCCTCGCGCGTAACCTTTGTTCATTCATTCATTCATTGACAGTCATTCATACTCAGTCTCACTCTGACTCATTCATTCATTCAATCATTCATTCGTTAATTTGAGGAAGTTTTGTGTGTGCGGTGATGTTCGTAGTTCTATTTTATTTTTAAGTGAAAATATAAGTAAATCTTCGACTTTTTCTTTTCTAAAGTGTACATTAATATTGAATAATGGCGATGCAACCACATAGCAAGAAAAGGGTGTGCTATTACTACGACAGTAAGTATTATAAACTTTGTTACCCGCCACTGCGATTGCTTGATACACGCATACTAATTTTAAGTAATTAATCACTGAAAACATAAATCATTTCGGGTGAAAATCGAATTATATATTATGTTTTCACTGCTATATTGAAAAATATCAGAATTAAAGGTAATACAATCGTCTTGACGAATTTATGTTCTTGTGTGATGAATCATTTTGAGGCGTCTGTACTGCGTTCTTTGTTGTGATTGGCTACAACACTTTCGTTCGCATCTTGATATGTGTGGTACAGACGATTATGTGTCAAGCCACAAAATGTACTGAGAAACATGTTCGTATGAAGTTAAATTTGGTATTTCATGATTTGTTTATTTTCTTTTTAGGTGACATTGGAAACTATTATTATGGACAGGGTCATCCCATGAAACCTCACCGTATACGCATGACACACAATTTACTTCTTAACTATGGATTATATAGAAAAATGGAAATTTATGTAAGTTTTAGTTTTTGGCAAATTTTAAAGAATATACCTATATGCTGTGGAGAGTTCCTACAATATCATCTATTATCTACAAAATCTTTATTTTACGACACTTATGTATTTGACTAAATTAATTCATAATCAAAAAAATTAATAAGTACCTATACAAAAAAAAATGCTATTTTATTTATTGTAATAATGGCATCTATGAGGCCTGCAAGCATTAATTTTACTTAAGTTGCTGCCACAATATAATTAATTAGTAGAAACAACTATACCAATAATTTAGATATCAATAAATTACATTAATAGAGCAAATTTGAATTGTGGTATTTTCAATACAGAGACCACACAAAGCTACTGCTGACGAGATGACAAAATTCCACTCTGATGACTATATTCGCTTCTTGCGATCAATACGACCTGACAACATGTCCGAGTACAACAAACAGATGCAGAGATGTAAGTATAATCTATATATATTAAAGTTCTACATTATAGTACTATGCAGATTCATTCCTCAATTATAATAAATAGGCTTATTATATTTACAAAAGGAAGCATAAAATACCACATCTCCAGTAACCATGTGGTATTTTTTGCTTCTGCTTCATTAAAATTTGTGGTTGTTTATTTTCACCATGTGGTAGAAGATATACATCTTGTATCAGTTATTGAAAGTTATGACTAAACTCAGTATTATTTTAGCTTCTGCCAGTAACTTCATATGTATAAATAGGTGATTTTTTCTTAGTTTTCCCCTACATTCCCCAAGGAACATTTCTAAGTTTCAGCATTCTGGGTTCAATAGTTACTTATTTATTAAAAAATGTACATATACAACACTACAGCTTACGCCATTAAGTTATACTGTTAATCTTATATAAATGCTATTATTTAGGTACTTAAAAACAAACTAATTAGGTAATCAAATACAAGAAATAAAAATTAATACAATAAAGAAACAAAATTAACAAAAAGCACAGCTGTGTGTTGTCTGTTATTAAATTTTTCAGTAATGTATAAGTTTTATTTATATAGATTGATAGTGATTCTTCATAGCCCTGATTAATCATGCTGTTTATTTACAGTCAATGTGGGTGAGGACTGTCCAGTGTTTGATGGTCTTTATGAGTTCTGCCAGTTGTCAGCCGGTGGCTCTGTGGCCGCCGCTGTCAAGCTAAACAAACAGGTAACAACAAAGCACTATTATTATTGTAATAACTATGTATTTAATGTGTCAATATGTTTTAATTTGTCTTTAAATATTTGTAACTTTTCTTAACAATGTAACTCTTTCATCAGGCCTCTGAGATCTGCATCAATTGGGGTGGAGGTCTCCATCATGCTAAGAAATCAGAAGCATCTGGTTTCTGTTATGTCAATGATATTGTGTTGGGTATTTTGGAATTGCTCAAATACCACCAGAGAGTACTTTACATTGACATTGATGTCCACCATGGAGATGGTGTGGAAGAAGCGTTCTACACAACAGACAGAGTCATGACTGTATCATTCCACAAATATGGAGAATACTTCCCTGGCACTGGTTAGTATATTGTACTACTGATTCCTAGCATAATTTATGTTTTAAAGTGGTCTTAATTTAGATATTTATCATATTAATTTTAATACTTTGCTTAATCTTTTGACATACTTCATGAAGCATTAATCAAATGATTTGTCCAGGTGACCTCCGGGATATTGGTGCTGGAAAGGGCAAATACTATGCAGTTAACATCCCCCTGCGTGATGGTATGGATGATGAGTCTTATGAATCCATCTTCGTACCCATCATCTCAAAGGTCATGGAGACGTTCCAACCAAGTGCAGTGGTATTGCAGTGTGGTGCAGACTCCTTAACAGGTTTGTAACTTCTTAGTTGAATGTTCCTGAACAGAAATAGTCTAGAAATAATAAGTTATGTAGTATGACATTGTTTGTTCTTGTTTGTAACAGGTGACAGGCTTGGTTGTTTCAATTTGACCGTACGTGGCCATGGTCGCTGCGTAGAACTCGTAAAGCGATTTGGTCTGCCATTCTTACTTGTTGGAGGAGGAGGGTAAGCTATTCAAAATATAGTTACTTGACTGTTTCTATATTCTTATTGATTGATGATTTGCTTAACATTGCTTTCCTTTTTTCAGATACACAATTCGTAATGTGTCTCGTTGCTGGACTTACGAGACCTCAGTAGCTCTTGGTGTGGAAATAGCCAATGAGCTCCCCTACAATGACTACTTTGAATACTTCGGCCCCGACTTCAAACTTCACATATCACCTAGTAACATGTCCAATCAGAACACACCTGAGTATTTGGAAAAAATTAAAAATAGGCTGTTTGAGAATCTGCGAATGTTACCGCATGCTCCTGGTGTTCAGGTATGTAATGGTTGATAATATTATTTTGCGCACAATAAAGTCTTTACAGTATAAATTTACTGGGATAGAGGCCGTATTACAAGTTTGTTTTACGTCTAAATTTAAATAAACCGAAACAAGACCGCGTTCGGTGCGTTCTGCTGATTGGTTGGTTCATTGCAGCTATAGAGCGCCGAGCATAGCATAGAGCGCCGAACGCGTACTTGTTTCGATTACTTAAAACGCAAAATAAAACTCGTACTAAGCCCAGCCTTACACAATTTAATGAATATTGATATTTTGTTAATATTAGTTATTATTATTCATCATTACAGGTGCAAGCCATCCCAGAAGACGCAGTTAATGATGAATCCGAGGATGAAGATAAAGTTGACAAAGATGAGAGGTTGCCACAAAGCGAAAAGGTGAGGATTTTTAGCCTTATTGCTACAAGTATAAAGTTTGCCAGATTTGTCGAAAGTAGTTCTTATTTTATAATATAGTCTATCAGACAGTGATTATGTGAAAGTATAATCTTGAAAAGGTAAAACGAGATAGAAACTCCATTGTTACTCTTTTTTCTAGATATTAAAATATTAATTGTTCACAGGACAAGCGCATCACTGGTGATGGGGAATTGTCTGACTCGGAAGATGAAGGGGAAGGCGGTCGTCGCGATAACAGGTCGTACAGGACACCACAGCCGCGCAAGCGCCCACGTTTGGACAAAGACGGATCGACAATCAAAGATGAAATCAAAAGTGAGTTTTATTTTATATTATCTTAATACAAAAAGTAATAAATTCGGTAAAATTCTTATTCAGCTTTCATGAGTACTTAGTAAACTTGTAACTAAAGTGTCAATATGATCATTTTAGCTGAAGACTCAAAGGACGACGTTAAGAACATCAGCAGTGTTGAAGAGCCAAAGAAAGAATTGCCGCCTAATCCCTGATGTTCGCGATAACCGCCCGTCGCAGTTCAGTTCATTGTCTCCCAGTAGATAATGATACGTGCGATGAGTCTACAATGGTGTTCTGTTTATATAAGCGCAATATCAGTTTTATAATGCTCGATGTAGTGCTCCCTAAATATTTATATATTTGATACACACAGGATTGTAAGAAAATGTCTGCAGATCTCAAGTTTTGTAATGGTTAGGTCCTCCATTGTTGCACTGGTTTTGTCAACACAAGTGGTCCATGTTTTTTCCATTACCCTCAAATTAAGTAGCAAAGACATTTGTTGAAGTTATATAAGACATAAACCCTAACATGGAACAGTTGAATAAAGTACATTCTGGGATGTTGATTGTATTATCAGATAGCTGACGTGTGATTTTGTTTTATACAAATAGTAACTCCATCTAGCAATAAGAATTGTTTGTAATTGATAATAATAATGTAATCAATATTTTAAATGATTGAGATTGTCAATTTGGTTTTGAGACATAAATTATTTTCTTACGAATTCATTAGTTAGTTCTGACACTGAACAGTGTTGAAGATACCATTGTTATAAATGTAATAGATCTGCCTATCGGTGGAGTTAGTAATTTTACACGATTCTACGTGTAAGTAGTGCACACTGCCTATACATTGTATTAAAAATCTTATTTCTAATACAATGTAAACAAACAACTTTTCACATCATAAATATTTGCCTAAAATGTCAACCACCGAATGCTTTCAATTCAAAATAATTATTTAGGAGTTGTCATCTCGCTAGATGTAAATTATTTTTATAAATGTGACATTTCAGGATAAATTATTAAAATAGCCGTAAAATACAATTTTCTCTCTTGTAGTATTTCTTCCAGGTAAAACATTTTTCGGTATTAAAATAACGATTAAAAGTATATAGGTGAGTTCAATGTAATTAACTATAACAACAGTTTTGTAGAGGCTGTATCAGTTGATTGAATAAACCTCATGACACCCCCTACGAAGCGGTTGCCTTCCAAATATTAGGATTGTTAGGCTAGTTATCTTCGAATGTGTTATTGTTTCCGCACTTGCAGTAGTTATTAAAATATAAACCATGTTAGAAAAATTCTGTACATACGATTAAGCAATACGTTTTCTGCAGTTGAAATGACTATCAACTATTTATGTTTCGATTCTGGGAGTTGAACATTAAAATAGTCACTTTTTATTACATTCAAATCACAAACATTTTGTACAACCAATAAGTATTTATGTAAACATTTCGATTTGTGTAGTAGATTATATTTTATCTGAGAAACATTCATGTCTGAGGGTGATGACGAATATTTTTAATTATTCGTAATACATAGAATAAGACTGTACATATATTTTTTATTGTTCAATATATCAATGTCTCTAATCTATCGTTTTATTCCTATTCTTTCAATTCTATAGCGATTTTATTTAACCAACTTCTTAAGATGGAGGTGTTTACCTGACTGTTTAGTATCAAATATTCCAGTGTAGTATCCAGTATGAAAAATCCAGATATTACACAACTTACTATTCGCTGTCGACGATGAGGTACCAAGATCAAGGCTGGATACGGAAAGTATATAACACACAGAAGTAACACCCACTTTTCACTATGTTATGAGTCCCATGTAATTGGGGGTGAGCCTATTGCCATATACCGGGCACATTTCCAGACTCCGTGCTACTACTGTTTTTTTTTTTAAAAAAAAAACGTAATACTTTGCCCGACCCGGGAATCGAACCCGAGACCCTTTGCCCGGTAGTCGCACTTGCGATCACTCGGCCATCGAGGCAGTCAAAAGTGTATTTATTATCAATATCGAAATTCACAGGTGTATTTATCAATGATTGTGTTCCATGATTGATATAAGTACCTACCAACATTATTACTAAGGTCTAACAAAACTCGTACGATGAGTATCATTTAGTGCACACCTTCCGAGAAGTAACAGGACTAATTTGTGTTGACTAAGTCACAATTATTTTTGTTATATCCGCCTATGTATTAGATCATCGGCATCCGTAAATAGATGACCGTTTTATGTTCGTTAACGCATTCAGTGCCCATGACGCGTCTGTGCGTTTTGTGACACGACGCTATGTGCCCGGGACTCAAATATGCGTTCTATTCATTTGACCCTTTTTTTACCTGCTGCCCGTCGACGCGTCCGAGGGTCTATTGTTTCGAAACCCATATTTACACATATGTACTTCCTTATCTGATTTCTTTGATAAAGGTCATTACACACTACATACGAATTATAAAAAAACTTATTCTACTACTACCAATGCAATAATCAACAAATTTTGTTTAGCCGTTTCGAAATATAAATATAGAACAATTTAGAAAAAATATAATTTATCTTTTTTATCCACGTAAGACTACGATCACCGTGGGTGGTATTTTTTTTTTTCAATGTTATCTCGATTATCTCATCTTTTTCCAAGAAACCTAAACTTTCATATGACTCGTACCTACATACGCACAATAGAATCACATTAGTTTGCTGATAACGGCAATACAATGCACGGCGGTGCCTTTGAAGATTTTAAATACCAAGAGAGCTAAAGCCAAAATCTACCTGGATACCTAATTGTTTTTCCAAGAAACCTAATATTTCATATGACTCTTATCTACATACGCACAATAGAATCACATTAGTTTGCTGATAACGGCAATACAATGCACGGCGGTGCCTTTGAAGATTTTAAATACCACGAGAGCTAAAACCAAAATCTACCTAGATACCTAATTGTTTTTCCAAGAAACCTAAACTTATTAATATACCTTTTCCCTAAGTATAACAAAAGCTTTTCTAAAAACGTCATTAAAATCGGTTCAATCAATCGCGAGACAATCGCGTACAAACATACATACAGGTCAAACTAAGAAACTAAATTTTTTGAAGTCTGAAAGATTGGATAAATTTTTCAATTTCTCTACATAAATTATCTTTTGGAATCATAAATTCCATTGCAGTGTGTCATCACCCTAACTTTTATCTACAGATACATAATATTCTATCGTATTTCTGTAAGTATATAACAAACGCACAGACGCGTCGCGGGCACCCGCCGAGAGTCGAACGGACGCATATACGAGTTTCGGGCACACGGTGAGAGCCGTAAGAACGCGTATATGAGTTTCCGGCACACGAAAAGGGCAAACATTGAACGCAATAGTGCGTGCGGGGCACTGTAGAATGTCTTATAATTCGGGCACTGGAGAAAATCCACTGGGCAGTGAATGCGTTAATATCAAGAAGAACTTATGCTTATTTTAAAAAGAAATTAATGTAAAATTACAGGAAACCTAGGATAGTCGGAAAATGGCACCTTAGCGATGTCAGGATGGCAGCTACCGCTAACTATAAAATAAAACACAGACTTTGTATATTGTATGTAATTTTAAACGATTATCACAACGCTCTAGACATAAATTGCACCATAAAATAAAAGTACCGTAAAATCAGTCTGGTACCAAAGAGCTAGATAAAACCAACTAAATTGGAATGAATATAAAAATACTATGAAATAATTTAGCAATATACATCTACCTCGATCAGTAATTTTACATACAGGAAACTCCAGTACGAGACAGCCTTTATGAATTCAAGAGATATAAATGAATGTAATCGTTTACAAATATTTACTCTAATGAACACTTAACTGTATGGGGCGAGTTATCTACTTTCACCAAATTATCGCAAAATTGAACCTTACATACATCTCTGCAAGTGCACTAATCTAAAAATTCACTTTCACGTTTTGAACTTCATTTTAAAAATCACACTTGTTCAATATTTTTAAATACTTCATGTCTACTTTAAAATTTACAAAGGAATGTATAAACTGGAAGATATCTGTCATGGTAAATTATATTAAAAACGAATTATTCTCACAATTCATAATATAATCGGACGTAAATAAATTGTGCGTAATTAATAATATAGGCCTTTTAAAATATGACTAGTTAAGACCAATTAGTTTTCGAACAAAGTTCCTAACTTACCAATGCTGAACGAATTCACAAAGATTATATATTTACATTATTTCATTGCTAAAATTGTAATGCTTTACGCCTAGTGTTGGCCATTTATTTTACTGCATACTTGACAAACCATGGTCCTTTTTTTAATACTATTTTCCTAAACGGATTTTGGTGTTGATTTCAGTACAAATTGATCAACATGTGTCCAATTGAGTCAATCAAGTATGTAGTAGCATCTATTTGTTTCAAGGTCATACTGGTAAGTAATAACGACTTATCTTTATCCGGACTAACAAGCATAATTAAAATATTAATAATTATGGCATGGCTGTGAGGTGGTATTACGCGACCATTAGTTTTTCACATGTCATAGTCATCAAGCAGTGAGGAAATCGAGAATGATCTGCGTTTTGGAACAGATTTATCATAAATTCAATAATATTTTACAATAGGGTGTAGACATTTACCCTACATACGCTAAACGCGTAGATATCTACCGAAATCTGAAGACTTGTGCGTTAGGAGGTAACCATGATTAAAAGCATTATGCAGCTAAAGAGCCCACCTTAACTCCATCTCTGTGTCACATACTCTTAAAATCTACCAAATTACTTCATTTGATTAACGTCTAAAACATCGTGTCTTATCAATACTGACATTAGAACTCTTTAAAACATTTTTACAAACATGGTAGAAATATTGTCTGTCAAGAAACCACGGCAAGCTCAATGGCAAAGCAAAAACGTCTTTGATATTAAATAAATATGAATCTCATGAGATTATATTACAAATATTATCGTATAGATAGAAGAAATAATAATTAATTACATCAAATAATATATATCCCACTTAAAATAATATATCCGTTTAGTGGGATAGGTTACGAATATTTCTATAAATTATAAGCGATTAAAATATATTAATGACTACACGAATCAGTAACATAATACTAACTGAATCACAGTAAATAGAAAATGATTACAATATATTTTAATTTTAATCCTAGCATAAGTTACTTGGAATTATTATGACCATGTATCATCAATTCATAATGTCCTTAATGTTAGAAGTTAAAAATGTATCTTTCCGCACAATAACTAAAATGGCGTTCAGTTTTACTCAAATACAATATTAGAATCCTAATCAGTAACTACTTTACTGTCTAAAACGTTAACATTCTAACTGGCACAATTGTGAGCATCCGAGAATAAAATCCGTTTTTGTGTAATTTCTGGACATTGAACCCTGCTCAACTATCACGTACTGTCTCCGTCACGCTGACTGCACCCGAGCTTGGCTTAGGTCTCAGTACCCTCTGTCAACAAAATAAATCACCGTTAAACAATGCATTTATTCCACAGATGATCAAGTAAGTAAATAATGTTGTGTTAAATATTTTACCTGGAGTTAAAGGATGATCTCGTAACATTGAACCTGAAAGTTAATACAAAACATGTGAGACAAAATAAAATGCAAAATTCTTTAGTAGAGTCAGGAAAAATTAAAGCAAAAATTAGACTAGCTATGATTATAAGTACACTATTTTTTATACTACACAAAGCACTTCTAATTAAAATTAGAATTCGTTTTGCTGCGACTAATGAAATTGTTACATACATTTGCTAGCAAGTAGCAGCATAATAATTATAATTATTGTATTTGCTATATGCATTTGATTAAACTGAGTTATAATTAAGTTAATATTTACCTATTCTATGTACTACACATACTATGTTTCAACAATATTATAACTATGATTTTTCTACAGAAAAGAAAGATAGAATACCTTTATTAAAAAATGCATTAATATTAAAAACAGTTACTCCATTCACGAAACAATGAAACTGTCCATGTTCTAAATTGTGCCTACCTAAGTATAGAGTAGATAGTGTTAAGAAGCATGCAAATTAAAATTCTGTTGTTAGCATTTGTGCAAAGTGAAAGTCATGCAATGACCATGCATATTAAAAACTCGTTATACCATTTCTAAACATTACAATATCTGATTATGTGTATCTGAATCATTACAGAGTAAAAAAATATGAAATGCTACCTTGCACGTCTTCTATAACGCTTTGGAACATCGACGGACAGAAAGAATAAAATATAGTACATGTCAATTCTATAAAATTGAGAAAATATTACAATAAATGACAGGGTCATTCAGTCAACGCACATTGAAATGAAACAACAAAGTGCTTATTAATTCATTTTCCTGTTACATAATGTTTTTGTTTGTGTACTACGACTATTCACTACCGTTTTAATTTGACATGAATGCTCACTTTACCGTATAGTATTCTCACAAAACTGACTAAGAAAACAACAATGTTCAAAAGTGAATAAAATGCAACGTCATATGGGGAAGCATAGGTTTCGAGTGTTGGTGTTTTCAATCCCAAAGCATGCCGTTAAAACAGTAGCACACATAAAGCAGCGTCAAGCGTTTACCTATACAGCGAGACGGCACAGGGCACATAGATCGTTCAGTATAGAATAGCGTCTGAAAGTTGGTTACTGGTTAATGCGGCGCCCGGCGTGATGCCCACGATGCTGCCGCCCACGCACGCCTCCACGCCTTCTGTAGACCACCACCAGAACGTCAAATACTAACCACACAGCTGCTCGGTCATATTCGCTGTGTGCAAGCCTAGTAACTATATTGATTTGAGAATGAATTAATGACTAATTTTGATGATCACTGACTGAGATAATTTTATTGATGTCCCGTAATGAAGTGAAGATCAATAAAAAAGCAATATTTTTTTTTACAAATCGATATTTCTTTTTGATTCAAAACTAACGATTCTGTGCTCGTGCCATCACCAAGTCCCAATCGTTATTGAAAAAGACCTAGGACCTATAGTAAGTCACGAAAGGAACCCAATAAAGTTGTACCAAAAGACCAGAAACAAAATTATTTGTTGAGAAATACAGTAGTTATTTTTTGAAATCTTTAAGTATTATGATGTTAATAAACACACATTACGGATAAAACAATATGTAATCAAATTACCGTAATTAAATACAACATGAACAATAAAATAAAACTAATTAACAAAAACATGCATTTTTAAAAAATACCGTAAAAGAAATTGAAGTTCATATTGTTGTGTTAAAAACTATTTTATAACTTCTTTTTTCGGCTGTAAAATAAAGATAACAGTTTTACATAATAATTCCGTGCATGCGCATTATTGTAGGAAAAGCAATGTAGGTGATTTTTATCGAATTCAAGGAATACGATCGATACGTGGTATGAACTTACAGTCTTGCACGTTGATGGTAACTGTCCTTTACAAATTAAAAAATAATTGTACAATCAATAATAAGAAGTTGAAATCAACTCTATTGTTGGTTCTAGATAGAGGAGTAAGTAGACCGATGCACTTAAAAGTCGAAATGCCAAATGGCTAAAATTATGAATAGGAGCAAAAACGGCTGCTCAATCAAAATGACGGATTAACGATCATGCAATAAAGTGAAAGAATGGTCATGCGATATCTCACCGGTAGTACAAGCGGCGTTATTGTCAGGGTTGACTCCCGCCACGGACCAGGGCCGCGCCTTGCCGGGTGTACGCGCGCACCCGTTCCCTAGTCACACGCACTCGTTACACACGCACACTGCGTACTCATACTTGCCGTACTTTTACGTGCAAAATATTCAAATACAAGAAAACCATAGCATTTGATTTATAATTTATTAACATAAACAACTTCTCTATAAGAATACCTCTTTTCAGATGAGGTTTGCCATAATCTTAATATAATATAAATTATAATAATGTTTGGTAGGCGATGTTTGGGACCAGTTAGGCCACTGAAAATTTAATAGTATGCTATCCTGGAATGCTGGAACATATCCGAGTCCACTTGCAATTTTTATTTGAATATTTTGCACATAAAACCTTTACTTTGAAATACATAGTGTAAATGGCCATCGTCCCGTTATAGGATATGACTGTTCCTGTGAAGCGTACTCTCACACCGCGTACAATTCGCACATAAGCTGTGTTAGCACATCCAGAAGGCGGTGAAAAGGACAACCACTTTACGCAAATACTATCAGATTGAGTCACATTTGCAACACTCGTTCTTAGTCATAAGAATATGAGGTCTATTTTTGTAAAACTCAATCAGGTAGCATTTTCAACAAGCTTTAGCTTTTAACTAATACATTGTATTGTATATCAGTGTTTCGAGAACCCATTGGAAGCCTTGAGTTGTTGTGAATATTATCCTCGTGTATTTGTGAAGAGAAGTAATATAAGTAGCCCCGTTGCATGTTTGTTAGGGTACTTACCCATGGTGTTAACGTTGTCTGAAGATCGGGATGGAGGGGGCGTAGAAGCAGAGGTCTTCATGCCTACATTGTCGGAAGACTTACAACGTGATACTTCTGTGAATCGAAAATTAAAATGTATGTATATTAATGTATAGTTGTAGATTAAGAGACAATTTGTCCACAATCTACTTTTAAACATTTCATTGTCAATACAGCTCTATTTATTTATGTTCTGAACAAAAATATAGATAGGTACTACCAGCAAAAAATCTAAATTAACACCAACTTATAGTAGATAATAGGTTTGATATGGTTAGGTTAAGCTGTAAATAGAGATAACATTGAAAGTGAGATCCGTTTTCTACGCCGTAGATCGGTTTACTAAGAGCCGACCCAGGTCCTAGAATAATATGAAGTGCAGTACTCATATAGTAAGTTTACTATACCAAAACAGTAGAAATCAAACGATAAAACAAAAATAAACTTTTACGTGTATTTAACATAACATAACATCACGCCTTTTATCCCCCTCTGCCCTCTGCCTATCCCCGAAGGGGTAGGCAGAGGTGCACATTATGCCACTGTACAATGTAACATCCACTTTTCACTATTTATGTTATGAGTCCCATGTAATAGGGGGTAAGCCTATTGCCATATACCGGACACAATTCCAGACTCCGTGCTACTACTGAGAATTTTTTTAAAACCCAGTAATACTTTGCCCGACTCGGGAATCGAACCACAGACCCCTTGCTCGCCAGTCGCACTTGCGACCACTCGGCCAACGAGGCAGTCACTTTTACGTGTATTTACTTAGTAACTTAATACTGCAATACTTACCACATTCTAATAGAACCGGTGTGCTTTCACCCGATGTCACACTGTACCTGTGAACATTAACACAAATACTATAATCGGAAGCTACGCATAAATAAATATAATAGCTACGTAAAAGATAAATATGATAGTAAAACGACCGCTATGTAAGGAAATAGAGTCAGACGGGATTATCATTTGTTTATTGTTTAGTAATCTATGTTAATGGCCTCTTTCTCCACTTCCTAAATAAACCCCAGTCGACTTATCAAGTCGATAATTTCACACGTAATTGTTTTGCTTTTAATTTTATCTTTAAAATATTGCGTACGTGAGTATTGTGTGCTTAATAATTATTTTGACCGATTTTCACTATTTTTAATACAGCTAGTAGCCTAGCTGTCTTCTCTAACTGTCTTCTTGCCCATCATTGGTCGAGATTATTTGCACAACCAATGACATGGAGGACCACGATCGAAGTCATTTCCATATTTGAATTGAAAGTTACAGAATAGCTTAGCAGTAACGTTGAAACCTAACTAGGTACTTATATAATAAAATCAGGTTTTAAACAATCAATCTTTATCTAATGTAACTTTTTGTTACGTTCCAAAGAACATCAGTTGTTGGCATTGATATGGAATGGATTGCGTTGGCATTGTCTGCTCAATACCAATGTCATTACGACCTCAAATAAAAAGGTCTGGAAACTAGAAGAGAGATATCAGTGATGACCGATTGAGGCCTGATTGACTATATGCGTAATAGATTTTTGACGGTCGGAGTACAAATGATGTCGGGTCGTTTTCGCCAACTACCTTTAATCCATGGTATGTCGGAACGTATAGATATACCCGAGTCACAATATGTTTTCTATCGTGTCTCAGGTAAGAAGTTAAACCATCTCTTAACTAAAAGTTACTTAGCGTGACGTAGCACCTAAACTAACCCTTTACTTGTACTGTTAAGTGTTACTTATAGATTGGTGAAAATTAAAATGTCGTTAAGTGTCAACAATCTTAGCTTAAGGGTTCCTTAAAGTTTAGGAGAGGATGTTGGTGAAAACAGTCATGATTTTTTGTAGGACTTACTTCTGATTTCAATAACCAAAATTCTATGGATTATGATTGATTCTTTATAGACATTGCACACCTCCAACTAATGTCAAAAAGCGAACCATATTCATAGATTTTGGATAAAGATACTAGTTTGTTGAAATTGGCAGTTAGAGGCATCTATAAGTACATAACGTACATGGTATCATCGCGCTGCAGTGTGGGCGAGTGTCGCAGCGGCGAGGGCGAGGCGAGCGACGACAGCGAGTGCAGCGAGCGCGACGTCAGCGGGGTGCGCGCCGACAGGGACGCTTCCTCGCTGCCCGGCGGCGTGCGACATGTACGCCAGAACTCCTCCAAGCCTGCACAAAGGTAATTAATCAAATGGGATGGTTCTTGTGCTAGTTTTGTGGTTTTATTGCTCCTAAAAGATTCATGAAGCATGAGAATATCTTCATTTACCCCTGAAGTTAGCTGGTACAGGACTAGGTAAGTGCCCAAAGGGCACTTAATTGAAAATAAGTCATGTTGGGCCCAATGTGATGGAACAGTAAATGGAGAATTAAATATATCTTAAGTTCATAACCTACCTATTTTAATTTGTCATTGTTATTTTCTAATGTTTTTGTTTTTAAATATTATTTTATCTTATCTTTCATTTTAGTTTTATCAGAAAATTTAAATGGCCAAACGTACTCGATTTTTACAGTACGTCTGTACGTAAAAATCACTTACACTCCTTACTAAATTCACACACCATGGTCCTTCTGATCTGTCTACTCTATCAGTACTTATGAAAATTAATTAATGTGAAGTTTTTTCCGGGAATAAACCTCAAAGAGCACTCATTCATTATCATTGGCCACTTTAGCTATCAGAGTATCCGTATACCTAACATGATTGTTACAGCACATTCAGCGACCATTTAGTGATCACCGGTACCAATGGATTCCCGACCAATATCGGACGTATGCGGGATGGAGATTGAATCACACGGCAAAACATGACGCAAGCGTCACCGGTTTTCAGCGCGGCTGTGGTATCACACGGGCCGAGCCGGTCCATTCATACCGCAGCATCATTTTCCCACGTTAATATTATTTAGGAGTATTCATAACTTACCTTCATCAATATCTTGTGATTGATCTGTAATGGGTCGTGTTGGTGCCCTAGTCTTGGCTCGTCTAGGTCGACCTGCGAGTAATCAAACAATAGAAGATAAACATACACCTGCCTAGTATTATAACATACATAATGTCACGTACGGGCTAAATCTATGATAATGCTTTATTTACGTTGTGAATATGTGTCTATTTTAATATTGTTCAACTTGTTAAGTCATCAAAAAGCGGTAAGTTATAGTAAAAATTATCAGAAGTAACTACTTATGTAGTGTAGTAATTTATATATTCAAAATGGTGTGGTACACGGTAAAAAGCCTCATAACAACTTAAAATAAGAGTATTAACATAACACCATCACGCTTTTTTATCCCCGAAGCCCTGAAGGCGAAGCCAGAGGTGCACATTACGGCTTTTAATGTCACTGTACAATGTAACACTCATTTTTCACAATTTATGTTATGAGTCCCATGTAATAGGGGGTGAGCCTATTGCCTTATACAGGGCACAATTCCAGACTTCGTGCTACAACTGAGATTTCTTTGCACGACCCGGGAATCGAACCCGAGACCCCTTGTCCAACAGTCGCACTTGCCGCCACTCGGCAAACAAAGCGGTCTTAGGTTTAAAATAAGAGTATTTTAGCTAATTTAACCTTTGTCTACCTCGAAAAACAAAAGGCGATTATGCTAAACATTCCTCACCTTTGACAAGGTGTCGCAGAGTATGCGCGGGTAGCTCAGCCAATGCGTCCGCGGCCTCAGCATGCAGCGGCGGCAGTGAGAGCATCTCATTGCTGCTGCATTGCTGTTCCGCAACTGACTTCGGTCGTACGCGGCGACAACCGCGCTCACGACGACGACAACCCAATGGCGTGGCCTGTGTAAACGGGTCGTTTTTACTTTACAATAAAAAAAAATTTGGCTTCTATTCTTTCTATTCCAGTCGGATGACGTAAATAAACGATTAATAGAAAGAAACAAACATGACTTTAAACTGAGTTCATATCGCGATTTATGCTTTAAAATATAATTCAAATTATGAATTTAGAGAGTCAAATAATAAGGAGAAAGCTTTGAGTTCACAGACCACTTAGATTTTAAAAAGTAGGTTTACATTTTTGCTAATTATCACTTTTTTTCCTAAAACCACAATTATTATTGAGCATCATAACAAAAAAAAAAATATAATGAATTAATATGAACCTCTTTTATAACACTCGCAGGTTTTCCTGTATTTATATTCTTCTTTTTCCACGTTTTCTTAGGATGGATACGAAAACATTTGAAAAGAATAGGGATTAGGTCCAACATTGTTACAGGAGCACAATTTGTTTGCACGTAAAGTAAACACAACACTATTACTGTACGGAAACCACTCAACTAAGTGCGTCCACAATATTCTTGTATAGTTATCAATAAATTTCGTAAACATTGTTATCTTTCTCCGCATATAAAATAATGATTACTTTGTCGTAACGCGTACGGTCAAACGTCACCAATGTTGATAATGTCTAATTATGAAGAAATGTTGTTCTTACCAAATTCAAGTAATCCAATTTCTGGGTAGCGTGAAATCAATGATTGCATGTTATTCAAATAGAAGTTATGATTCATTTGCGTGTATGAAGAATGAAATTAATAAATTAGGCACATTCATTTTGAAATCAAGCAAAGGATGATGTAAAGTGTGGCCGATATTGCTGATACTTCTTCAAAACTTAGGTATTTTAAAGCCTCTCATTACTTTGTGTAGTAAAAATATATGAAACAAGTGAATAACTTTATCTAAGCTTTAAAATATTCTGATAATCTTATAGAAATAAAAATTTGGTCAAAATAATTAAACCTGTTGAAATTAACTTGTGATTGCGAAAGATTAAGAATGATGTCTGCTTGAAAATTTTAATCCCATCATTTTAAGAAAAAGAAACCCAGAATGCTTAAATTTTTTTTATGGAATAGGAGGCAAACGGTCACCTGATGGTAAGCGATTAGCGCCGCCCATGAACACCAAAATAACATATTTAACATATACAAATATTTAATAACTCAAAAACAATATGGTTTTGTTTGATTTCACCTAAAACCTTAGAAAATAAATGACACAATTAAAAAACAATAATTTAAACATTTACCCCAGAATGTGAAATAGGTGTGAGCAGATCAGGAATGTCTCCATCCGCGCTGGGCATGGGCTCACTGTCCATGTGGTCCACGTTCTCGCAAGCTAGTAGGGCGAGGCTCTCCACAGCTTGACTGCACGAACCAAAATAACTTAGTAGAAACATATTATGTACCACTATTTATTGAACTGCTCAATGGGACTTAAGCATATATTTCTATACTTTAACTGTTTTAACCACAGATTATCAGAAACTGTGGCATATACTATCCATGTCGTCCTAAAGACTAAAATTCGATGTGCGTTGAGTCAACTTAGATTACGATTAATTTCGAAGAAGTTCCCGCCCTTGTGATAAATTCGTGTATTTGGTCATTACGATAATGTTTGACAAAACTAATTGTAGTTAAAAAATCTAAGAGAAAAGATACACGATCTTTTTACAATTTGATCAAAGCAACAATTGGGAGCAAAGGAACGTAACCACTAGCGTTTTTTCTTTTTCATTTCGTGATAAACATTTTCTGATACAAGTATTTTATTAATTGGTAACTTATGTCGTATAGATTCTATAATTAGATTCGCAATTTAGTTTCCCTTTAAACGAGAGTATTTTGTTGTAAATAAAATGAAAAATAAAAAGCTAGTGGCTCCGTTTCGTTGCTCCCAAGTGTAGATATGAAAGGTTTGTTTTCCTTGACATTTAAACTATTGACAGAAGCCAAGGAGTCGAAGGCAACAGATTCTGTCCAGCACATCCATTATCACCAAATGGTCAAGGGATTCATGCGCTCTGTAGCTGACCATCATTCATATACTGAAGGACAGGATAGAGAGAGTAGATAATAAGAACATTTTTTATTCAGTGACATTCAAGTAATACCGCGATACATGAAAAGTTTTGAAAATATTACTTTCACTAGCATTGTCTCTGAAGTGGACACGTTTGTCGTAATCGAAGTTCTTAGGAAACAGCTTCCGTATCAAGATTATGATGTCATACTCTTTGCATAAGTGTATTAAGCAGTTTTCGATGATAACAGTAGTGTGTCAGCAATGGCACGTTGCCAACTAATATATCGATACTATGTGCAAACGTTTGAAATGCGAATACTTCGCAATAATAAACTTGACACAATGACCAGGTTGCACGGTTTTTTATAATAACAAGTAGCAAGAAGATTATGGGTAAAAATAAGTTACATAGCACAATTAGTTTAATAGCAGAATTAAATTTCGTAATAAATAATTACCGAAATTAATTATTTTCATCCTAATCTTTTGATCAATCTGCTTTAATGACGTAAGCAAAAATCGATCTTAATCAGCAGATTTTGGATTAAAATTTTAATCGTTAAACTGTTTGATAGCAATCAGAGCATAATAATAAATATAGTTACAGTTACTTATATATAGTTAGTTATAGGGCCTGATACAGACGGCAGTTCTCCTAGAAACGGCACCTATCCTGAGAAGGTTTGTCTCTGGAGCCCTAACCACCGGCTTGGACCATGTTGTCGCTACTGTTCGGCTCCTATTTTTAAATATTATTTTATTTTATATTTTGTCAAATAGTATTTAGAAATATTATTTGTAGGTAATTTAAAATAAATTGTAATATATAGTTAGATAAAAGTTTACAAAGCACGCAGGGACTCACCGGGGATGGGGTCTACGTTCAGTAATGGACGAAGATAATGAAATATCAACATTTTCCACCGAAGCTCTCTTATCGATCACGCTGTAACTAATATACTGGTACGTACTTGAGCAGGTCCTGTAGAGACGTGGTACATGGTGCCATGGCGTCCCGCACTGCTTGCAGTGTCACCAGCTCGCCACTCGGACCACTCCCACCCATCGCCGCGAACACTTCACCGCATCTCTGGATAAAAGTGTAGCAGTTAAAGGATTATTTAGTTCAAATAATAATAAATGAAACTTATATATTAAAGTTTGAGTGACAATAAATTATGAAATCTAGACATTTATTCTCTGGTCTGAGGGCTCGTTAAAGCGCGCTGGGAACGCGACGCGCCATACGCTGATTCTGGTTAGGCGGCAAGCTACCCCGCTTGCCGTCCAGATCCGTGCTTATTATGGTGGATTGACATCGTCGCGTGATCGCCGATTACAGGAGTGCTTCCTGTGGTGTGTTTCCTCACGTGCCCCGCCTCTTTTTTAGTCAGCACTGCAAAAGGATAGAATGCGGCTGCCCAGTCTCTGTTGCAGCACGTGTCGGGCAGGTACCTGCAGGTACTGGTGCAGCAGCTGGTGCGCGGCGGCGGCGGCCCGCTCGAGCGCGGCGGGCAGCGGCGGCGGCGGCAGCGCGGCGGCGGCGTGCGCGGCCAGCGCGGCGGCCGCCTCCCCGCCGGCCCAGGCGCGCTCCAGCGCCAGCGCGCGCAGCGTGTGCGTCTGCGTCGGACTGCAGTTGTTCGCTAGCCTGTCAGATAAACTGTATTTAATACTTCAAACCCCCGGCCGCCTTTGCGGTTTTTCACATTAGTATGCTATTGCCAGTGAATTGCTTCTGCAAAGTACATGTATCAACGTCAATCAGGACTTTCTTTGACAAAAATGCACAATGGACAAAAAAAAAATGAGAAAAAATTTCAATGCAGAATTTCCATCATCATCATCATCATTAACAGCCTATAAATGCCCACTGCTGAGCAAAGCCTCTTCTCACACGGAGAAGGTTTAAGCATTAATCGCCACGCTTGCTTAATGCAGGTTGGCGATTACAAACTTATAATTAGAAATTATAAGCCCAGGTTTCCTCACGATGTTTTCCTTCACCGTTTGTCAGTGATATCTAAATAATCTTAGAAAGAACATATAACTCGAAAAAAGTCACATTGGTACTTGCCGTTGGTAGGTTTCGAACCCGCACCCTCATGCATGAGAAGCGGGCGTCTTATACCTCCGGGCCACCACGACATACCACCACGAATTTCCAACAAAATTAATATTCCATTTTCTTAAAAACTATACTTCATTCAATTTGTAAAGACAGCATTAAATATACAACATACCGTTCGTGCAGATCCCTCCAGAGGGTGGCGACTCGTTCACTAGCGCCGCGCCCCCCGGCGGCCGCGTCACAGCCAGGGAACTCCACACGACGCACACTCACTGAACGACGCAAAGCCGTCGCTATGTCCGTCAAACCTACAGTACAGAATAAAGAAATTATTTTTTAGAAAGACCACATTTAAGGCACTTTTAGACTTCAATTAACAGAGGTATTATGTGCGTAAATAAGTCTAAAAGAGAAATAAAAAAATAATAATTTAACTGAAACTAGTCTTAATCAGATTCCATTGAATGACAAAAATTAAGGTCACTTCCAACCCGCCAGTCTTCTGTTTTTATTTTCAAACGTGGATGTTGACTGATTTTGAAGGTGACAATGACTATAGGAGCGAACTATCTGACACAACCCATTGCGATACCATTGCTGGTTAAACCAGTGGCTGGGTATAATAGTTAGATTTTAAACCTTCAAATTAATTGTAGCCATTAAATAACAATTTCTCACCTTGCAAGCTAAAAGCATTCCTGTCTATATACAACGTCTGTAGCGTGCAGTTACACTGTAGAGCTTTAGCCAGCAATCTCGCGCCCGCATCGCCGGCGAGGTTACCGCCCACATCCAACGACCGCAGGCGACGAGCCCCGCCCAGTGCGTTCAGTAGTCCATACAAATCACCCTGTAAATAATAATGATTTAAAGTTCAAAATTGCTTGTTACTATCGATAACAATAGCAGTTCAAGTTATTTTGAACTTTGCCACTAAAACACATAACGCATTAATTCCCAGAGGAGTTCAAATGAAAATAATATTGAATGCAGATAGATTGATAAAATACACGCGTCGGTCGTAGGGACTTGATGAATTTTAATTTGTGTTTTTGAAGATTGAGCCCTGAGACTGTAAATAATTACAAGCGCAAAGGCTGTCTTACCTTAAGTTTACAATCACTAAGATCCAACGAAGTCAAAGCTGTATCTGGTTCTTGAAGAACATGGACTAGAGCCTGCAGACAAACAAAAACGTATAAAGCCATTAATAAGTACAATAATTATAATAACATGTATTTCAGAAGGTCTCTAGAGAACAATTTGATACTACGCAATAGGTCAATTCATTCAAGATATTGCAAAAATATTTTTACATAATATTATAATGTAATAATATTGTTTAAATAACGATACCTGTATTAAAGGCGGTGCGTAAGACCGTTTCCCCGTCAGCTTACTAAGAGACAAGTGCGTGATAGAATGATTCTTCCCGATTGCCCTCACAATACCAGACAATTCGAATTCCATACCTGAGGAAAACAAACAAATAAATACATTAACTACATTTCCATTATAATGTAGTGTTGTGTAACACAATGACTTCTAATTATGTGTAAATATTAACAGGAGACATTTTTTCTTCTTTCATTTAATACCTTTAAGTTATTGTTCTCAACAAATTCCACGATTGGTATTATGAGAAATACAATAAAATATTGAATAACTAATGTACGCGGTTGCATCTAGTGCCACATTAAGGCGCAAATACGTTTTCTCGCATTTTTTATGGAATATACCGGTAAACGAGCAGAGGGATTACCATGGACAACCGAAACAGGTTATACCGCCTTTTGGGTATTAGGAATTTGAGAATTGTTGGAGATTAGGGGATATGGGAGATTGAGGAGGGACGTCGTAATTGGCCATCCGGTAACCTCACTCACACGACGAAACACAACGCAAGTGTTGTTACACGTCGGCGTTAAAATGAATTTAAAACTAAAAGGCATACGACCATCGCAAGTAATCAACGTTATCTTATAAACATAACATCACGCCTTTTATCCCTGAAGGGATAGGCAGAAGTGCACACAGAAGTAACACCCACTTTTCACTATTTATGTTATGAGTTTCATGTAATAGGGGGTGAGCCTATTGCCATATACCGGGCACATTTCCAGACTCCGTGCTACTACTGAGATTTTTTTAACAACCCAATAGTACTTTGCCCGACCCGGGAATCGAACCCGAGACCTCTTGCCCGGCAGTCGCACTTGCGACCACTCGGCCAACGAGGCAGTCAAACACAAAATTAAACCGTACATTTTCAAAAATGCAGCGTAAAGTAATAGGCATAATATCGTAAATAGTCCTTTCTGTTATTTCTCACACAAAAATACAGCTTAAATAAATTGACATTAAAACGTAAATAGCTATCCCTACTTTATCTTACACACACAAAAATAAACCTTAAACTAATTGACATAAGTCTCTGTCATCATACATACAAAACTATACCGTAAACTAACAATTATAAGACTTACTGTTATCGGATAAGTCCAAGGACTGCAAACACCTGACGCCGTGTATGCAAGACTCGAGCACGTGCGCGGCTTGCGAGGAAGACAATACTCCAGACAGATTCAACTGCACGCCTGTCGCACTCTCGTTGCAAGCTAATCCGAGTAACAGACTCCTGTGAACAAAAAAAATATTGTATAATTCCACCTTATTGCAACGGATTTAAGGATCAATGTTCTCTGTTTTATTTTGAAGTCTTTTTTGAAGTCTTTTTGGACTTATGGCATTCCTGAAAAAGTGTTGTATATAAACCAATAAAGAGTCGCAAACAGGAAAAGTTTCTGATTCAAGTTTAGAATTTTTAATGCAAGATAAAATAATCTAGTCGCGGAATAACTAATTACCTCTCAGTCTGAAATTCTGTTCAGAACAAACAACGATATACATAACACTGCACTTTTTATTATACAACTTATAAACAGATTTACTGATTCCTGTAAATGTTTACAAATATATATTGTGAACAATTAATAATATTTTTTCAAAAGAAACTCACAATATTGAACGTTGTGTTTGTTTTAGTATCACGCAATGTTTGTTGAAATTGTTGTGATTTTACTTCTACCTCATTATTGAATGCAGATGAAACGAATACTAATGAAATACACGACTGGACTAATCGGAAATAGCAAAAGAGAAAATGAAAATTATCTAGAATACTTCAAATGAATAGCCTAAATAACGTGTAAGCGTAACTATAACAACTCAACAAAATTGGGAAAGCCCACCAGTAGAATTAGAAGATTTAAGCCTAGATATAAACTGTGCACAGCTCCTAAACACAATTTAGTGGAAAAGGCCTTAATCGTCTTACAAATACTTGAAAATTATGACGTAGGTAACAAAGTAACTTATATATCAACAAATATTTCGCCGAATAGAAAACTTTAGAACAAAAGCTCCTATTTTTACCGACTTCAAAAAAAGGAGGAGGTACTATGTTCGGCTGATTGTTTTTTTTTTTTTTTGTTTGTTCGCGCATTACTCCGCCGTTTGTGGACCGATTTCGAAAATTTTTGTTTTGTTTGAAAGGGTATACTCCTGAGATGGTCCCATTTCCATGAAGTCAGGATCTGATGATGGGATCCTAGGGAAACCGAGGGGAACTTTCGAAAATTCTATGGGGGAGTAATGCGTCTATTATGTTTTTCAATTACGAATTTTAAACACTACAATTTGATAAGGGTCTGAAGTCGACCTGATGATGGAGTCGACAGACAGTCAAGGGAACTCCTCAGCGGTTTATATTAACTACCTTGTGTTTGGGCTTGATTAATTTGTATTGATGAGGACTTTACACCTAGATAGAGTGGGGCTGTCATTAAGGGTCTGATGATGAAGAAGTGTAATTGTTAAGGGAACTCCTCAACGGTATAGGTACAGTAACTACCTTGAGTTTGGGCTTGATTAATTTGTATTGATGAGGACTTTGCACCTATGTATATTATAAGTAACAAAACTGGTAGTAGCTTTACACTGAAAATGGTAAAATAATAAAATAAAAACTGCGTTTAAAAAACCCGCTTTCAAAAACCAAAAACTAATAACAAACAAAAAGTCAATACTAAAAAGCAAAAAATAACTATTATTAGTACTGATAGGTTACCCACCCACTGATAGGTTAGAAGTCGGTGCCATAAGCTCATATCATAATGATATAACTTAATGTCCACAAAATTGTGAATTAGATACCTATTAAGGTTTTAATGAATAATTTTGTATGGAACTTATGGCACCGACTTCTTACCTATCAGTGGGTGGGTAACCTATCAGTACTAATAATAGTTATTTTTTGCTTTTTAGTATTGACTTTTTGTTTGTTATTAGTTTTTGGTTGTAACTTACGACGTAACTTAGTACGCACTTGAACTTTAGTCTGCTTGCCAATCTGAAAACGTGCCCCTACTAGATAAAATCTATAGAATGTTTATACAAACAATAACGTACTTGAGCGCATCAGGCGGCATCTTGCAGTATGAAAAATCGAGGTCGGTAAGGGCGAGACAGGCGGTGAAGAACTGTCGGAAAGATGGCGGCGGGTCGCGCGCGCGTCTCGCTGCCGACCAGGGGTTACGGGCCACCGACAGAGTCGCCAGCCGGGCTGCGCATCCGCGTAACAATGCACCCCACATCTGCGAATTAAGATAGTCATTTAGATGATCATTTATATGTATGTCACACATAGTTCGAGAAAAAATTTACAGTATGGTTCAAAAACCATCACCACCTTATAATAATATACTTGTGTTTACGTTAATACTAATTTCTTGTGTAATCCCAAATCCCTAACCCCCAAAAGGCCGGCAATGGACTCGTTACTCCACTGGTGTTTCTGGTCTCCATGGGTGGTGTTGATTGCATCCCATCAGGTAATACGTATGCTCGTTGGACGGCTTATCCCATAAAAATGTGTACAAAACAAAAACGTATTAAATTAACTAATACTAATAATAAAACCATTATATCAAAATATTGACATAGCAATGCCCTTGGCTTGGCAATGTTTTTGAGGAGTAGTTATATTACAAGCTATAGCATTATAAACATATTAATGGAAAAAGATTCCTGGTATGGAATCTTAGCTATACATTTATAAATTACTTAAATGGAATACCCACCACAATAATATTGTTATACTGACATAAAGAAAAGATATGAATGAATAATAAACTAAAACTAGGAAGGCATAATAAATAAACCAAGCACAGGATTCCTCCATGCACTGAACGGCACAACTTACTTTATTACTTACGTTTTCTAACGTAGTCTCTGTGTTAGTCAAGTTCAAATACGTCAATACATTCGGTTGTGCCAAGAAGTTGTATAAATTCTGAAACAATTGCATATTCAAGGTTTTAGTCAAAAGTACATTGTGTCTTTAATTCTTGAAGCGCAGTGCAGCGCATGGTTGCGCATGTTTGCGCAACATTTTAATTTAAACGCCCACTTTGACTAGTAAAGAGTCTCATGTAATGGGGATGAGCCTCCTGCCATATTTTTGAATCGAATAATCTTCATAGTTCCGGTTCTATACATATAAATTATGATTCATATGAGGCATGTAAAACTACATAGATGGAATGGATATATAGGGCCTGTCAGCTGAGTAAGTAGGCCTACTTTTAATCTTATTTTCCTGCCCAGTGCTCGACATCAGAAACAATTTTGAACTAAGAATGGTAATTGAAATCGATATACTCATATTCAGAGGTTAAACATGCGCGATAGTTGTTTTCGCATTATTTTCAAAGCTTTTTCTTTATGTAAAATAATGTAATTCGTTGTAAGAAACTTACATGTACGTCATCTTTGAGGTTATTGTAGGAGAGGTCGAGGTGTGACAGTGTGGACAGGTGGCATGGGTTGTCATTGAGCATGGTCGCTAGATGCATCACAGTTTTGCCGGTGAGGCCGCATTGTGACAACGCAATGTGTCTTAGCCCGTCCGGATTGTTCGCGAGCCCGCCGAGTATACTAATAGCACCTAAAACATAAACAATGGCATAACAACATTATTACATCACATCTTTTATTTTTCGAAGCTGTAGGTGAGAAGAGACAAGTTGAGTACAATACAACGACCAATTATTTCTATTATGTTATGAGACCCATTTAATAAATGGGAGCGTAACTATCATATAGGTTGCTACTGGCAGTTTCAGATTATCCTAAATTTATAAAACACTCAATAATATTTTGCCACAAATGTGAATTTAACCTAAGGTCCCCCTTGTTCGGTGGTCTTGCTTCCGAGCGCTTGACGAACAATGGCAGTATGATGGTGTGTCGACATAAATATTCAATGAATAAAACTAAAAGTGAATCACACCTGATGAAAGTGATACATGCATACAACATTTTGAATTGTTACATACTACTGTTATGGGTACTTAACTACGTATTGTCGAAGGTATAAAAGGATACGTATGAGTTTGAGCGCTAACATAATTTTATGAAATTTTGTTTTAGAATGTCCCTAAAATTTTGTTTGGAAATCGATTGTTTGAAAGTCCAAACTAGGTCTTATGAGCTAACAAATAGCGTTTAAATAATATTACCCTATAAGCAATTTTCAGTTTAATAATAAATAGTTGTGTACTCGAACATTTGTACCTATAATATAATGCACACTAAAACCGCGTAACCAAATTCAGACATTTTGACGAGCGATTTCCAAATAATTAACCAAACTGTGTAGTATAATGACCTAATCGATGGTTATAATAATTTACTCATGTAGGTATGTAGTTAGTTGGGTAAATAGGGACGCAATCAAAGCATGGCAAAAGTAGGCACTTTCACAGTACCAACCACGATTAATAACCGATCTTAAATCAGAATGTCTGGTTCAATCTTAATTTTTGATAAAACCTCCATGGAAAACTAAAAACAAAAATGGATCTTAAACCAAACACTTACATATCATTTTCAATTGACAACCTACCGCAATCGCAAGCATATAATATGTTATGTAAACTAAGTGGTCTTACTAAGTGAACAAGACTAACCTTTATCTTCAATATGGTTTTGAGAGAAATCGATGGTATGCATTGCGGGAGGGTGTCTGGCTCTGGTCAACGCGTGTCCCAATCTTGCAGCATGATCATGTCTAAGGGCTGCAGCCCGCCATGACAGGCGCGCTGGAGGTGGTCTAGCAGACCTTACCACGCGACATACACTCTCCCAAGCCTCACCACTCGCCCGTACTCCATCTCCACAAACCCCGTTGAACCATGTATTATGTTGTAACGCCATTACTAAAGGAATTAGATCCCTGGAAACAAAATTAGTTATAAGTATGACAAATATTGTGAGATATACCAACTTAATTCGGCAACAATACGTGTTCAAGAAAATTGCTAGACCGTTGCGTAACGTCATTGCATCGGTCGTCCTGCATGCTGCTCGTATTTATGAGCCCTTGTCGTGGCTTGAAAGTAGTCTAACAACCCCTTTGAATAGCTACGTGAGTACGTCGTATTTTCCAATTAAAAATGTTCAGTGTTGACTTTGTTTTTAAGGTTCTAAAGTAATACATACCTTTGATCTAAATGATCGAAATCTTTTAGGTGTAACATTCTAATGTCATGTGCCAGATATATTGTATCAATGTCCCATGCTACTTCAGCTCTGAAACAAAAGCAATAGATATGTTATGACTTTGTATACAAAACCCGCAAGAAACACATTAGAACAGAAATTAGTTCAGCTAAAACGATTAAGCAAACAGTTTTCATTATAGTCTGCAGTTATACTTGAGACGATGGCGTCACCGACCACCTTTTGTGAAGATTTATACAGACTATTATATTATGTATGTGTCTTACTATCCTGTCCAGGACTTGGAACTGAATAGAGACAAAACTTCTTCAAATTTAGTGTCCATTATTATTTTAGAACAATATCACATACCATTTCCAGAATGTGGCCATAACACTGCAAAATCTGATCGTCAATACAAATAAAATAAACTCAAGTGCATTATCTAGGATACGTAGACCTTACAATACAATTGAACTCGATTGAAACGACCTCTATGTATGCAGAATGCATTCTTCCTCCTTCATTTATATTATATCCGGTTCCAATCCGTCGTATTCGTGCCCTACATTTGTTGTGGTAGAGTACAAAAAGCAAGTTGAGGTCGAAACAAAATAGCTAAACCGACGAAATGTTTGTTGGTCATTGTTAATTTTCTTATGAAGTCCATTGATAATGATCTTGACCTAGGTGATGTAGGTAAAATTCGTATTGCTTTGATTTTTATAAAAATAAATTAGTTAAAATTTAACATGGCTGTATCAGTATCAGAAAAGATATAAAAGGAACAATATTATAAAGAATAGAAGCGGCATAATCTTTTGTTAGGTATATCGTACAAAATTAAAACCAAAAACAACACCAGTAAAATATCTGGGTCTGAATGATTTGAGAAAATACACAGGATAAAAATCCATATTAATTGATAAAATACAATGTGACAATCGTGTTCACATGGTAACAAATATACCTCACAATGCGGTATCGAAACTATTGAATAATGCCATAAACCTATTTTCAAACCATTCTATCTTGGCTTACCAATTACAGGAAAATCTAATTTTCCATACTTTTTTATCCTTATTGTAGCTACATCCTGTAAAAAAACTATGCTACCATGCATATTAATGAGTTACCTGAAGGGCGTTTGGCAGAGATCACACATAGCTGCGTACTGATTGGAGAAATCACCGCAAGTTGAATGTTTTCGAGTGCCGCTCACTTGCGGTACTGGATACGGTAGATTCACCTATGAAAAAGACATAGTGTAAACAGAAATGATACTTATTACGTATGGTTTTTATTGCACGGTTCGAGCCGCAGGAGCCAACAACTCCCGAAGATGTTTGTATCGCATCTCTTCTGCATGAGCATTAATTTATCTACGGTCGCTGCTGCATACTGCATGCTGCAAATTCATTTTTTCAACGGAATGAAAACTCTACATTTTCCCAGTTGTTAGTGTAGATAAGTTTGACATTCGTAAGTTTCGCGACTCCCTATCATAGACAGGACAAGAGAAAAGGTTATTATAATTATTAAGAATATACAAGATCTCGTAGTCGAAATACGGGCTCTGGGTTTTTAATCACACTTTATGATAATGATCTGATTGAAATCGAGACTTCAAGACTATTTCATAATACATAAGTGATGAGAGGAACATATTTCGGCAGAAGAACATAACTTAAGAAAATTTTTCTATTACTAAAATTAATATCAAACAAAAACAGTCAGTCATAACTAAACAACGCCATCATTAATTTTAGTTAGTAGCTTAATCAGCGATAGCTTACTGACCCCTTATCCGGGCACAAACACAACATATATAATAATGATACGGAAAAAAGGATTATTATTATAAGCTATCGACTGCCTCATTGGCCGAGTGATCGCAAGTGCGACAGCCGGGCAACGGGCCTCGGGTTTGATTCCAGGGTCGGGCAAAGTAGTACTGGGTTTTTTTTAAAGATCCTAGTAGTAACACGTAGTGTGGATTTGTACCCGGTATATGGCAATAGGCTCACTCCCTATTACATGGGACTCGTAACATAAACAGTGAAAGTGGGTGTTACATTGTACAGCGGCATTAAGTGTCGTAATGTACACCTCTGCCCTTCAGGGATAAAAGGCGTGATATTATGTTATTATAAGCTATGCAACAGACACACGTTTCCTTATTATGTTTTCACTTGGCAAGCGAACTGATGAATCATACAGGACGATTACTTTTATCCTTATAATATAGATATTAATGCCGCGACAATTAGATAAATTAATGTTGATTGTCGCGCTAATTCGAATGGCTGGTGAGAGCAAATTTTGTTTAATAAGTAGGTGACGCGTTCTGAACGAAAAATGCTATCTATTGTGTTTATTCATAACATACACGTTTAGTAGCTATATCAAAATCAAACATTATTTAGGACTCCACCCCAGGAATCGACCCCTTGTCGCTTATGTACCTATGCGACAGTAGATAAAAAATACGGTTTTATTATTTGAGGCAGAAACCCCAAAATTGGTTATTCATTGCGATATATTAAAGAAGGGCCAAATTAAAAGTGTGGGAGAGCCATGTTTCGGCACGAATGGGCCGGCTCGACCGGAGTGATACCACGGCCACAGAAAACCGACTTGAAGCAATGCTTGCGTTGTGTTTTGTCGTGTGAGTGAGGTTACCGGAGGTCCAATTACCCTCCCTTCCACCAACCTCCCCAATCCCTGAATCCCCAACGATGCTCAAACTCCTAATCCCCAAAAAGCCGGTAACGCACTTGTAACGCCTCTGGTGTTCCAGGTGTCCATGGGCGACGCCGATTGCTTACCATCAGGTGATTCGTCTGCTCGTTTACCGGCTTATACCATAAAAAAACCCTAAACCGAAGAGCATGCATGAAAAAATTGAGGACTGTTGATGAAGAGAAAGAGGTATCTAGGAATCGCAGCAATTGGCGTTCCATAGTCTCTGCCTTGGGACACAGACGTGAACTAATAAGTATATTTAAATGATCGGCATAGTTCTTTCGTTTTTGGTTAGATCGGAAAAGAAAACCAACCTTGGATATAATGTCAATCATGGCTACGTTTGGAAATAAGTCATCAAAGGCTGCACCTAACGCATGTAAGACATTTAGCACTCCATCCGATGTTCCTTCTTCACCTGCAAATAGTTGCACGTTTAGTAACAAAATTACTTAAATATAAATACAATATAGCTCTTATATTCCTATGAGATAAAGTGGATTTTTATTTACATAACATTTTTAAGTACCGTCGCGTTTGTCTGACTGATACCTATCTGATAAAATCTGATTGCATTAATATGATATTATTCACACAAATGCAGTTAATGCATCGATTATATAATATTTAGACACACTGACCTAAGTATTTTAGGAAGAATCAATGATAATATTCGATTAAATTACCATCCTTATTATCCTTACTAATATTATAAATCGGAAAGTGAGTTTGTTTGTTCCGCTTTCACGCCGTAACTACTAAACCGATTGCTTTGAATTTTTGCAGACGTAAAGTTATAATTCTGGATTAAATAATAGGGTACTCTTTATCGCGGAAAAATTTGATATTATACAGGGAAAACGAAACTATTGGTATAGATGGCGCCGTGTGTATTGGTGTATGTCACATAGGCTACTTTTTATCCTTTTGTGACGCGAGCGAAGCCGCGGGTAAAAGCTAGTATGAACATAAAGTATATCCTCCGCGACTACATAAAGGATTTTATGAGTGAAACGTCGGAAGAATTACAATTACCTGGTTACTCATCCAGATGTTGAGTTTTCCTTATTAAATTTCTATTTATTTTTTAATTTAAGCAGGCACATCGTGTGACTAGTAATTAAAGAATTCAAGGCAAAATTAATTATTTCTTAATTGAAGGAAAATCGGCAGTAATCATAATCGTTATTTATATAATTACAGCTATTTTGTCGAGTGTTGTCCGAGCATTAGCATACAATGCTAGTTATAAATCTTCCAAGAACGTACTTGTGTTTGGCTCTTTAAGATTGTTGAATGTTGATTGGGACGACTTTTTGTAGAGTCATACTTTGTACATACATATATTAAGATATGTTTGCCAACTTAATATTCGGGTTTAAAATTTCGAAAATCTGTATGCATGCAGTTTAAATTCTATTACGTCTGCTTAGACTTCTAAATAGTTAAGCAATTTCTATTGAATTTTCTTATCACGACTAGGTACACTGCTTTCATTTCGCTTTCGTCTAAACTAACATTGTATTTGACATTCATTGGTGGATACGGATTCTAGAATCTAGCTAGACGATAGTATTCATCTTAATTTTATAGAGAAAAAATTGTCGTCTTCAATTGCAAACTGCGCAAATAATGTTGGCAATTAAAACATCCGCCTTAGACTAATCTGTTACGTTTCCTTTGTAAAAACATTTCTTAATCTAATACACTCGACTGGGCTATTAATCGATTGAATGCGTCAGTAATTCAGCGGTAACTGTCCCCGCCTACGTGTCATTTACTAACAATCGCCTTAGTAATTCAGCCAAATACTCGTCTAAAGGCGAGAGCTGTGAGGCTTGCTTGTATTATGCAAAAGTATTGAAGCTAATGCGAGCAATGTATGAAATTATAACGCGGAGGGAATCTAGACAGTACTAGAGTCTAGACATTACTCTATTACTAATAATAGCATTTTTAGCATTCTATGTACTCTGTAGGATTCATAAAGATTTCTTCAAACTTACCTATAAGTATGGACACTGGCTTGTGTTCATGGATCAGTGTTATAGACAGATGATTGGCCTTTTTACTCTCGAGCGCTTCTATTTCCATCAAGTGAAATCCATTGTCGACCTGACATTATTAACAGAGGTTATTCCATTGGCCATGCAAATTAATGTTTCCTGTAAGGCTTGGGCTGTACCAGCTATACTTGAAAGTCTATGCACAATGTATTACTGTGTCCTTCATGCCATACTAAATGTGTAGTTGATTTAGAAGTATGAGCAATTACATCCATTTTAAATGTAGTTGATAAATAAATCATTGTCTATTAGATGCATATTAAAGTACTACATTAAAAAAGTAAGAATAAGTAAGGAATGGAATGTGTTTGTTATAAAAAAACTGCTTTTTCTTCTTTGTAGGTATGAGAATTAATGACAACACTGATAATAATATATTCATCACAGAGATATTCGATTTTCTTTTAGATTTGAACAAATATAATTGAATAGCTATTGTAAAAAGAAATTTTAAATTTAAAACAACAGACTTTTTTCAGTTCTCTATTCTATTACTCACCCTTGTCGGAACTTTAGCTGTTGTTATGAAAATTCTGTAAGCTGTTACAACCTGAAATATAGTTTGTGTGTTAGTAAACTTAGTTATGTAATATTTAATTTAGCTGTATAAAATGACAAATTCAGTTATTAAACTGGGCAACACAATTTATATATTTTTATTATTATTATAAAATAAACAAAAATATTGAAGATTCTAGAGCTGATAGACATAGTTACTACAGTTTTTTTGGGGATTCTATAGACTGTCACAATGTACCTAGATAATTTAGGAAATTAACTACTTGTTTGTTCAGTTGCATCAAAATTTCGCCTAAGCGGGTCTTGCATTAGTTATCAATAAACATAATTATGTTTCATCATTATACATCAGCTTGTATTTGTCTCTAGGGTCAGCAAATACCTCTTTCCACACAGGGAAGAAATGGGCATTTATAAAATAACCAAAATAACTTAAAATAAATTTCCAATAAACAAATTTCTGTTTAGCAAATTCATTTCATTCAGTTCACGTTTTAGAACAAGACAATCTAGGATTATATTTAGCTTTAGTAGAATTTGTGTCAATGAAAATAATAAAGCCAATGAATGGATAAATTGGTTTAGTCATTGTGTTTAAAGTTGACCACATGTTTTATTGTGATTGTGTTTGTGTGGAAAGGGAGCACAGACACACACAACTGTCTGAATTAGACATAGGCACACCTACATGATTCATTCTATTGTCAATGCTTATCTATATCAACAAAAACTGTTCTATGATGCAAATGACAAACATGTTATGAGATCAGTGTTTTCATTATGTTCCTTTCATTAAATAAATACTAAGATAGTCATTTTATAAATAAACTAAATCTTAACTTTTATAAGTTAATCTATTACACTTCCAACTATTCCCAATAAAATGTTTTACTATAGCTAAAAAAGATAATAATCAGTGGCAGTCAAAAATAGATTAGACAATACAGATAAGTAGTATCTTTCCTTGAAATAAAAGACAGTACAAAAATTACTAGCATGTGTAAAATTAGACTCGAAAACCATTATTTGAAATAATTTTACACAAAGATAATATTTTAATACTTATCACAATAATTTAAAATACATTTATTTATCGTGATCGTAATTAAATTAATAAAACTATTATTGAATAAATTACGTAGGTACTAAATTATGAAATGCTTACCAAAACTTTGTTGTCCACTTTATCACCTCTTGATTCCATTCGTATAAGGGTTTTGTATAGAATTTTAACATTTTTACCCAAAACATTGCTTATCGTTTCTGTAAGAATTAAAATAAAAGAAAAATCGGACGATCCAGTTAGACATAAAAATCTCAAGAAAAACATTAAGAGCTGGGTAAAAAGATGCTTTCATATTTTTTACAATTTATGAAGAGAAATAGCTGTTATTAAATAAATAAATACGTACCACTCAATTCAGTAGAAATATGAGATTTTGTTGACATTTTCGCGATTTTCTTCAGTGTCATTACTCCCACAAAATATAAATATTTTCAAAGCACAATACATCCATAATAGGCACAACACATGAACAAAATATTGTTGCTGTTATGATAAGACACAAGAACACTGCATTTCAATAATTTATTAAATAGATATTAGGATTATTGACCTAAAAACCACCACAACACCATTTCATTGGGAAGGTAGGGTAACGAACCACAGATTACAGATTACAACTTATAGCAATAGTGCTGTCCAAAGTACAAACTTTGCAAGTAGAGTAATAGTCTACTTGACTACAAAACTTACTAAATGCAAATACATTTTTATACATCGAAATATAAGAAGTGGCTATATGAGTAAAAGATGGACAATGACTGATTTAGCAAGGTATTCGATAGTTCACCGTTTAGTTAGTTGCGTTCAATGACAATCGATAAAATTATATTGCATTATTGACTAACACGGGCCTATGGCCAAGTTGTCATCTGCCATTGCTGTCAAAATACATAATTTGTCAATGTCACGTTTGATGTTTGTAACTTTGCCGAAGAATCCTATTTTTGTAACAAATACACTTTAATATTTGGAATTTTATATCAATATTGGGACTTAAATCTTTGCATCAACAATGAACAAAAACTACGAAAGATGTACTCATTGTAATCGCCGTAAATGGCTTGCTTCAGGTTGCCTACGAAAGTGGTTAAAACCACTGGAATGTAAACATTTACAGCGAACTGTTGACAACAAAAGAGATTTTAATAATACAGATGGTGTTTTTATACCAGAACGTATGCCTTCAATGAACACAAATAAATTTGTAAAGTTTTGGAAAAATAAGTTGTTTATAACTGGCAATGTTAGATCACTACAGAGATACTTCGGCAACAAAAACAGTGGTGGAGAACATCTATGCAGTCTTAGCAAATGTAGCGGTGAACCATCAACTTCGTCCGACAAGAGAGTTACTGCTGCAACGGGACACGAGTCCAAAAAAGATTTCCCACTAAACAGACAAGCAGTAAAATGTCAACATTCAGATGGTCACTCAGTACTTCGTGGACATCACCAACATGTCTCACTTGAAACTTGCGCAATTTACTGCCAGTTGTCAAAGTAAGCCCTATGATTATATAATAACTATCATGAGCCATACTAAATTAACTAATAAAAATTGCGGGTTACTCACGTGAATATAATGAGAAAAGCTCTACTAGTTTCGAACCACAGAGGGGTTCTTCCTCATAAGCAGCGTGCGCGGTCGCGGAGATGTAGATCCTACTAAGTAGGCGAAACCATGTGGTTTGAAACTAGTAGAGCTTTTCTCAGTATATTCACGTGAGTAACCCGCGATTTTCAGTTAATTCCCTATGATTATTACTAGATTTTGCTTTAATTTGACACTAGTTTAAAATACTATGACGCGTAACTAATTTATGTAAGAAGTAGGTAGACTATATTATTTAAACATAATCTTTGCAGGCATGGATGGTACTGGGGAGGTATCACCTCAAGTGAGGCAGAGGAACTGCTTGCAGGGCAACATGACAATGTCTTCTTAGTGCGAGACTCGTGTGACTCTCGACACATTCTCTGTGTATCTTTCCGCTGTGTGGGCCGCACACTGCATGCTCGACTCAGACACGCCAATGGTCTCTTTTCTCTGAACAATGAAACATTTGTACCAGCTAACAGAATATCAGAACATTGTGCTGCTGTTGATGTGAAATCAAACCTTTTCGAGATGCCTGTTAAATTAGCAAGGCCACTAAATAGGTAAATATTTTTAAGTTTTCAATTATGCCCTAAGAAACTTAGTACTTTTAAATGTTATAATAAATTTTGAATCATATTTTTACAGATTTGCCAAGCTGGACTCTTTACAAATGATCTGTAGATTTGTCATAAGACAAACTGTATCAGCAACAGTATGGAGCAAGTTGCCACTACCACCAAACTTAATATCTTATGTTACTATTGGCAGTGACTATATTGTACCAACATAGCCAATACATGCCTTTAGTACCTACTCATAGATCTATGTACCTATAGTTTAAGTATATACACATATGACTTTCATAAGAGACTGCTTATATAGCTATATGAATAATGAATTATTAATTGTAAATTTTATACTAAAGTCAATATTTTATTAGGAAATAATGAAAATAAAATTAATTATAACAACCATTTGAAATTTAAACTATTTATTATAATAACCAAGTAAATGTCAGTAATACTTTGTATGTTACTTTGTCTCATAAACCTTTGTGTGGATTTTTATATAACCATCACCTATTTTGCCTATTATAAATCTTCATATTACTTCAGTGTATTAATTCCGAGCATATTCTTGGCCTGAAATAAAAAAGGCATGGTTTAATACAGTAACAAAGTTATAGTTTATTAGAAGACACAGGAAAGATAAATAACTTTACGTCCATTATTGCTAGATTCGTTATTTAACTCGTCGAGTACCGTATTTATAGACACAATTAAAGAACAATAGGTTGCGGTCACCGGTGAGCGGTGACCGCTTGGTGTTCGACAGTTTAATATCAATCAGTGGTAATAAATGTAGTTATTGTGCCAGACATAAATATAAGCCCTGAGATGAGCTTATTCGAACTTTACTCAACCTGGATTTTCAGTGGTATCACTCGCGAGGATGTAGTACCCAACAATCGCCCTTGTAAAATTAGAACAAATTATATTGATAAGATGAAAATTATTTGTACATCACTTCTTACCGTTGTGAAAGCAGCAGTTAGTGTCTGTGGCGCTGCAGCTACTGGACTCAAATTTAATGCCGTTTGTATTAGTTGGGCGTCACGTATACGTGAAGCAATAAAATTTCTAGTAGCATTACAGTCTTGGCTGCTATCGGTCAGATAAAACAACTCTGCTGCCTTATATATTCCCGCCACTCCCACTCTGCGCATATACCAGTTAAACTGAAATTCATAATTATTTTTAATTCATTAGTTTATTATTTTGTTCACCGTAAGTCAATAATAAACGTCTATAGTTTGGGAAGATTAGAAAAAATACAAAATAAGTCATACTCACATCTACACTTCTGTCCCCAGAATGATAGCAAATATCATCAACAAGTGATAATAATGTTGCCAAACAGTTGGGCACATTGTTTGGTAGAGTTTGAATTGCCATTGCTTTTGGCCATGTGCTCCTAAAAAGAAAATTATATTGTTTACATTAGCAAATGTAATTATAAAAATTGCGTAGTATGTGGGTAGGTGAGCACTTTAGTAAAGGAGCAAATCCTCGATATTTTTTTTGTATTCTTTAGTGATAAAATCATTAGTTCCACTCACTTGTATGGATCGATCATCAATAATCTTTGGTAAATGGCATTTTCAACGAATTTGGCTGGTACTTTTTCTTGCGTATCTACCTTGGGCCACTGTAAAAAAAAAAATAGTAGGTAAATGCAAATATTGCATATTACAAAAAATAATATATATTTTTACAGCTAGGTACTTACAGTTTTCATAGCATCCACTAATCGTTCATTACATCTAACATTAAAATAGTGTACCAAATCCGCACCCCCATTAGGAAATAAGCCATGAGTTATAGTAGGATAGCCCGCTGCTTTAGCGCCGGCGCTCAATGATTCTACAGACCATCCATTTTTTGGTACAAACTGTAAGGCATTTTCCAAAATGTTCTTTTTTATGTTTTCCTCATATTGATGATCTTCTTGCTCATGTTCACTAGAAGTTGTGTATGTAGCAGGAATAGTAATTTTTGTATCCTTTTCAGGATTAATTTGAATTTGAGAACTTATTCCTTGTGAACGTTTGATAGCAATAGAGGCGAATGGCCGAAGGGTTCTATGGCCATTCTTCAAGGCTGTTAACAAAATAAATATATAACTGAAAAGTGAGTAGGATAATGCCAATGTTGAGGACCTCAGAACAAAATAAACAAATCAGTTATTTAAATGAGAGTAAAGTGATTTATTATAAAACAAAGCTTAGCTTTTATATTTATTCACAGTTCATTTGTAATCCCTGCATTTTGTTTATATTTATACATTCACATAAGCGCCCTATCAGACCTTCCATTAGATGAAAAGCATTCAAAGCAGAATTTATTATTTCTTTTGCATTTTCTTCAGGTATCTTGTCCAATACATTTCCACCTACATTAACAGATACATTAACCTTATTTTCAAGTAGATTTTTCCCTTCTTTAATATCCTTAAGTTTAACCTCATAATGAGCTTTAGACATATTCAATCCAACTCTTAGTTGTTCTAAATAATTATTCTCAATAAATGAAAAGCAGTTCCGGACACCTGTTACATTATTCGTATCTTTAATTGCTAAATATCTAAGAAAATTTAAAGAAGTTATAATTTGATCAGCAAGTTCAACAAGATCTGACTCAGCACCATGAGGGAGATGGCATATTTTCTTTAACATGTTTGAAAATTGATGACCAGTGAAACAATCATCCATCTCAGGATCCTGAAATGCTTCATTTAATGAGCTTTTATATAAAGTTATTGCATAGCCAATCATGCCTGAATGATTTGATGTTTTAATCAAATATTTAATAAGTATACATCTTCCTTTATAATCAAACTTATTAATTTGTTGTCCAATCAAGGCTACAGATTTCTTACGAATAGATTCATAACTAGAGTATATAGCTATAGTATATAATCCTTTGCACATACGAAAATGCACAGATGACGATAGAAGTTCATGTGACATTTTATTGGGGAAGCGTTTAACTATTGCTTCAGATAAAGCAAGTGCTTTGGACAACAGGCCATATTCTGAAAAATTCAGCAAGTGAATCACGGAAAGCATTGCTGTCTGGAGAACATATTCTAAGCTATAAACTTGTGGTATTGCAGTTTCTGGTATAAGAAAGTGTCCTGATAGAACAACATAGAACAAGCCAGATAATGTGGTCATGTTAATCTTGTCTTCATATTTGTAGGGCAACTTCTCTTCTTCTATATCATAATCCTTTGAAGGTTTCTTGTTTGAGTCCCTATCGCAACCTTCCAAGTATACTAAGAACTTCATAATGTTTTTCTCAAGACGACAAATGTCTCGTACTATAGTTGAACAGTTTAGTCTGGCTTCACTGCTTCCATTTGTTTCTGGATCCATATCAATGTAAATCAAAGGTTTTCCAAGTAGACTTATCAGAAAAGCTGCTATTATTTCTTTTGTTTTCACATTATAGAAATCAGCTTGATTGACCTCATCAATGAAATATTTGTAGAATGGGGGTAAAAGGCTGTATACCCTCACAATCCTCCTGATGTTAGGGTCAGAATCCATCAACAATCTCTCCTCGCCTTCCAAGTGGTGTTCAGGCACTGGAATATCTTCAATATAGGAGCTTATAGAATTAAAACACCATTCCAAAGATCTTCCTCTCTTGAAAGCCAATTTTTTCAGAATTTGTTGTAGTGGGAGTAAAATGATCCCAAACTGTGCATCATTCTTAGCAAGTTCTAATTGTTCTATAAACTCCAGCAGGGCTTCTTCTGGAGCACATTCCTCAATTATTATTGTTAATAATTGTTCACATGTGCCATATAGTGATGGTTTTATGGTAACAGTATCATCTTTTATTTTACCCACAATTGCAGATATTAAATCTGAAGAATTATTCTTAATAGTTGCAGTTAATTTTTTCTCATTAGAAGCATTTAAAGCCTCCTTATATTTTTCATTATCCAGTAATGTAGAAATTAAATCAACAACGTCTACACTTTGACTCATTTTGTAGTTCTAAGATATATTATATATTCCAAAAAATTCTGAAAGTCAAGTGCTCTAGATATATTAAAAATACTTTATAGAGGTTAGTTTATGTTCCATTTTCATCCACCGAGAAATCAAAATATTGATCAAATTACATTAGCATTCCTACTTTTTTATGCAAAAAATCGATAGATTCTTATACTTACAGCCAAGAATCTTCTGTAATGTACTCATGTCCAGTATTTTTTTTCAATTATTAATGTAATAAATAATTCATCTATTTCTTTCGTGAATGACAAGCTTATCTTTTGGTGTGATGACTTTTGCTTGTAATGGTAAACACGATGACCGATCGATCGAAAAAATTCAATCATCAATCAATGAAATGAACGAACATCAAAAAAGAAACTAAGCATGAGGAATTGAGGAATGGGAATATTCTATGATTCTATGAAAATGAGTCTTTGGCCAATGACAGTTGAATCTTACAAACTCTGCTCAATTTGGCTTTCTATTCTTTAGATGGCAATATTTTTTGTTAGGTATGTCAAGATAAATATTAAAGGCTATCGATATCAAATTATCAAATAGAGTAGGTATAGAGAATAGAGGGAACAAGATGTAGATGGTGGCACCAAAGAGTAAAGTATAGGGCTGGCAATATGGCACAATTTGTCTTGTCAGTAGACCAAAGAGTATAATAAGTAAGACAAGATATACGTCAAAGTTCAGTCAGATTCTAATTGACAAAAATATGTCAAGTTATTCTTTGAAATTCTGGATTTCACTTGTTAGATTTTTTCCTATAATTAATTAGCACCTAAATTACAGTACAATAAAAAAATAACAAATTTTAATCAATTTCACATATTTCAATGAACACTGTAACACTGTTTCTCTCGTAGTAAGGAGACCTAAAATTATTTTGTATTTTTTTAGGAAATAATCGTATTGAAACCAACTATACCTGTAAATAAGTCAACTTTATATTGTTAAGTATCGTGTGCTTGGTATTTTGTTTGAATTCGTGTACTGTTACCAAGAATAATTGAAATGACACTGAAGAAAATAATAGGGAAATTGCTAAAACTTGATTAAGGCAATAGTAGTTCTAATTATTGTATTTAATCTAGCCACATAATAGCAAACATGGCAACAAAACAGAAAAACATATTTACACGGAGCAAGCCTTTGATGAACATCTATAGTGGTCTTGACCATGAAGGAAAGGAGGTATGGAAATTATTAATTTATTTAAAAACTTAATCATACTCATTGTAAGTGCATGTAGTTGTTACTATTTGGGAGAAGCATATTAATTTATTGTGCATAGCAAAATAATGTATGTAGTCATGTTATGTTGCCAGGTAGAGGTTCGTGAGGATGCAGAGCAGTTAGTGAAGTGGCATGAGATATCCGATGCTCTGGTTGCTGCAGGGTACTACCGGGCCCAGCTACAGGGGCTATCTGCATTTGACAAGATTGTGGGTGGGCTCACATGGTGCATAGAACTGTGTGACATAGATGTTGATATCAGCCTCCTATTTGAAGAGAATCTCACGATTGGCAAAAAAATGTATGTTACTTAAACACTTTTATTGATTACAACAAAAATATTACATAATATACTTCAAATATTATAAAAAAAATATTTCATCATTTCCAGAGCATTAACAGAAAAAATAGTAAAAGTATTACCATCAATGAAATGTCCTCACACAATAGAACCTCATCAAATCCAAGGTTTAGACTTTATCAATATTTATCCACTAATTTTGTGGCTGATAAAATATTCAAGCGAGTTCAGGGAGGCCAAGGAAGATGAATTGAGGAAGTTTGCAGTTATGCAATATGATAAGTTTCATATATTTGAGTCAGATAGAGCTGTATTTGTTCAAAAAGAAAAACTGCTAAGAAACTTGGCTGTTGTACAGGTAACCTATTTTATTATTCACTTGAATATAGAAACTGCTACAAAAGTGATACAAGTGTATAGTCAGTTGCTGATAAAAGTAATGTTTGTTTTTCGTGAGATAATGAACATGAGTATTATATTTCAGCTAAAGCAAAAATAGCTTATCAATTGGTTCCATACAATGTTAGTTAATCAACATAATAATACTAATGTGCTTTTTTCAGAATTTGTATAAGCCATGCAGAGTACGCAAAAGGAAGGGAGGTCTTCCTGCCAATGAGCTAGAACAAGTAAATGCCACTCTGTCTGAGTATGATCAACGCATGCTAATGCATGTGTCTACCAATAAAGCTGATGTCAAAAATGATGATGGGTTAGACTTTTTGGTAAGAACGATTTAAATACTATTTGAAAGGTAATTTGTTGATTTTCATTATTGTTAATTTAATTTAATTTGTTTCAGTATGATTATGAGAAAACTTTAGCAGACCCTACAGAAATTACCACAGAGGTAAGTATAAACCAAACAGATACTTTGATTTCAAGTTAGGGTTTCTTTTATCCACAAAACTATTTAAACTGACAACATGACTGTGTTTACAGGCTAATAGATATGTGAAGGACCAAGAAAGCAAGGGAACTGATGCAGATACAAAGATTCACTATGCAGTCTTACATTCTGAGCTCACCGGAGAGGTTTCCAAAGAGTTGGAAGAGAGAGAAAAACAAAAATATTCTGAAGATGTTGATAGACTTACTAAAAGCATTGATGTTCTGGAGAAAGAAATACAAACATTCAAAGAAACCCACCAAGGCAGAATGGAAAATACTAAGAAACAATACTCAAATGTACTCGGCAAGATGCAGAAGATTACTAATAAGTTGATGAAAACTGATGGGTTTAGGTATGTTAGATATGATTGCTAGCATTATTCTTTTACTAAAATCTGAAATATTAAATGGGCCTAAACAAAAATGTTAAATCATTGAGGCACTCATCTTTACGAGGTCCTTTAGGAGGCCGGGCTAGCAACGCCACTGTATAATGCCATTATAATATTGTCGTAATAATTTCTCAATGTGTTGTTTCAGTGATAAAGATATGAAACATTTCTACAAGTCCCTCAAGGAGCTAGCAAGGGAAAGAAACGAATTGTTGCAAGTGATTCAGCATAGGAACAAGGAACATAGTAAACTACAAGATAAATTGCAGTAAGTCGCCTAGTAAAATAACTTCATATATATTGAACCCAATTTAAATACAGTACATATAGTGTATGCTGTAAATAATAAAGAAATAAATTAACAACAATTATGAGCTCCAATGTTTTCGCCCTTCAGCGTACCACGAATCGCCGGCGCCGTGGCGTGTGGTGAAGTGAATCTCATGTCGCATTGGCCTCTAATAAATACATACATGTGCATAAATCGCGTGATAATCGCTTTTTTCTAGGAAAGGCAGATTAATTGATAAATACACCACATATTTTTGTTCAGCAGATTTCATACTTATTTGAACCTAATACCTATTTTTTTTAATCATACAGGGTAGCAAAAGATCCGGACGCCAAAATCGAAGATAAGCCGCTATCGCCTGCTGAATTAAAAGAGTTCAATGAAAGAGAAGAGAAGTTGAAAGGCTTCATAACATCAATGAGATTGGAACTAGCCAAGTTAAACAGAGAGGTGCTACGGTACTCTACTGCCATTGATGAAGTGCCTGGCACTGCTGAGCTGCTGCAGTATGAGAAAAGGTTCATCGAACTTTATAACCAAGGTAAGACATGGTCAATAACAAAACACGAATCGAATCTACTTTTTGGAATGAGCACCTAGCTTCACCTAGTTTCACTGACGGACTGACTGACAGACTATTATTTATTTTGTATTTGTTGACGTTTCAAAAGTACCAAACTATGGTTTAATTGAAATATATAAAAAAAAAACACTGAGTTACTAGGTACTTTCGTGTGACCAGTAAAAAATATTTTATTTTACTTTGGATTTTAACAGAATCGTCACCTTGTTTTATTTTTACTTAATATTCACTTCCTAATATTCACCTAATATATAATATTCTGTGTTATCAAAAAATATATTAATTTAATCTTTTTGTTAGAAAATGAAGTGTGGTAGGTATGTCCCTCCCTCCACTTGTGTTCACTTCTGGTGTTGCGGTTGTCCATTAATGTCCATGGGCGGCGCTAGTTACTTAACCATTAGGTGATCCGTCTACTCGTTTGCCGTCTACTAAAATATTTTTTTAAGTGCCAAATTACACTTTTTCTCCACAGTTGCATCAAAGCATAAGGAAACGAAACAGTATTACATATTCTACAATACATTACTTGAAGTGAAACTATATACCTCAAAAGAGTTGAGTCTGCTCAACTCCATCCTGGATAACTATGAAGAGTAAGTATTGTTTAATGGTCTGCCTATTTTAAACGTGTTTCGATATGATGGGCCACCCCAGTACCAGCTTCTTCCTCTGGACCGCGTTCGGCGGCGTACCGTTCGAATTGTTGGGGGTCGGAATATTTTAAACCGGCTATACATCTTGGTAATGCGTAGAAATGTAGCTACACTGTGCATCTTCTATCGCTTATACCACGGGGATAGATTGTTTGGTCTGATACCTGCTGCGTCTTTTCGCCATCGTCCCACACGACAGCATTTTTATCCCCATCATAGGTAGTTGGCGACCCGAAAATGTCGCTTTTCTCGGAATGCTGTGGGTGTCCAAAGGCCATCCTTGGACACCAGCTGATCGCTTACCATCAGGTGATCCGTCTGCTCGTTTGCCTTTACCATAAAAAATTAAAGTATTTCAAAAGAATTTTAAGGTTGTAACTCGTGCCATAATCAATAACACTAATTATATGCCTTTTCTCTAATATTGAACCAAATGTATGTACAAATAAAAATGTAAAGAGTGCGCGTATGTTATTGTTTTATAGAATAGTGTCGTACGTAACCTTACGTAACTAACTTAACCACTGAAATGATTCACGAGACTACATCAATCAATCTGTATTAAATTACTACCTTTTACCCGCGGCTTCGCTCGTGTCACAAAAAGGATAAAAAGTGGCCTATGTGACATATAACCAATACACACAGCGCCATCTATACCAATACTTTAGTTTTCCCTCGGGAATATCACATTTTTCCGGGATAAAAAGTACCCTATTATGTAATCCGGACTTCTAACTATACGTCTGTAAAAATTCAAAGCAATCGGTTTAGTAGTTACGGCGTGAAAGCGAAACAAACAAACAAACTTACTTTCCGATTTACAATATTATAGTAAGGATTTGATAAAACGGTCATTGGTATTTCAGAGCTATGTCTTCAGTCAGAAAGCGAGAAGAGTTCATGAGTCAGTTCGAATCCATAGTGGATTGGGTCAACCACACGGTCAGGAAGGTCGAAGAAAAGTTCAAGAGTGAAAAGGAAAGGAAAAATGATCTCTACAACGAATACTCAAGGTTGATGGATGTTCAGAGACAGTATGCTGCCGCATTGAAGAAATTAGGGGAACAACGCCAGAGGATTGACACAGACAGACACAGTTGACCTACTAACCATATCTCTTAAATATTCTAAAGACCTTTATCTCGCTTTTATATTTCCACAAGCATAGTTTATCTAGTCCCCAGTTATTAGAATATTAATTATTTTCTACTTTTATACATATTCATTCCAGAGCCCTCAAACATATAATTTAAGACTGAATATAGGTTTTATATTGTTCAATGTATTTGTAATTCTGTGTTTGTAAAGTATAATGCTAAATTTATTTAAGAATAAATAAATAACACGATTATATATACTAATAATCTTTATTTTATACCCTGATAGAGGAACCGACACTGGCTCGAGTAACAAAAATATTGTGTCGCTTGTTTAAAAAAATACTGTTTTGGGCGGATAATATTTTTATACAAAATGAGATTCAATTTTGAAGGCGTACGTTAAACTTCCATGCTATGCACAGCTGAGTGCGGTATCTGAATGGTAATGTCTTTCAACATTTACGATCTTTTAGAGTGTGACCACACTGCTGTGGCCCTTGGGAGAATTCCTGTGTGAATGGCTGTGTCCAGTGACATGTGCTTGATTGTGGCTATGTCCTTGACCTTGTGAACTTGTACTGGTTTTCTTGTACATAGTAAATGAGACCAGCTCCCGATTGGCATTTGTCATTGCCATGGCGTGTGAGACGACGTCGTACCCAAATAATGCGTGAAGACGATTCACCACGACTAGAGTAAGCCCTTTCTGTGTTACTCTTACTGTTCTCTCCGGCTCTGATAACATTGCTACCTGCATGCCGAAAGACGTGTTCAACTCCTGAAAAGAATAAACATTAATGAATGGACAAATTATTAGCTATTTAGTTATAGTTCGTAGGCAAGTCGTAACTTTTAAGCGCCTATTCGAAACAATGAAAAAAGTGTGAGTCATGAGTTGCATGTAGGTAAGTGCAATCACGTATCGGCTATGCAATTTTGTTCCCTGATGCATGTGATAGTATTTTATTTTATACCGATTGGTGTTTTGAAATTGTCAATAAAATTGAATCTGTGCTTGTTACTATGAGATTAAAACAATGGTGTAGACCTAGACAATCACAATACAAGTTTGCAAGTTACCGATCCTCTGGTGAATAAAAGGCGCGATGTTACATTATTTTATAAGCTTAACGAATCAAATATTTAAGAGGGATTTTAGTATACCTGCAAAATAAAATATTACAAAAAAAAAATTATATCAAAAATTAGAACAATAATACTTGGAACGTTAATTACCCTTACTAATGAAGCTCGCTCTTCACTTTTAAGTCCATACACAGTAGCACCCTCATCTTTTGATAGGTGAGGTGCGCTAAGACTTCCCATAACCATGACGTACGGCATATTTATTTGTTTACAAGTTACACTTCACAGCTAAATTAAAGTAAATTGATGTATTTTGTTATTATTGTATAAAAGTATCACCGGCAGATTACGTATATCATTTTAATTGTACGCGATATAAAGCAAACAATCACAAATATTGTGTGAACTTGTGAGTGAGGCAGGTAACCACGCGGACACACAGCCTGTTGTAACCGCGATCGTTCGTGTACTCATGTGTGAGTTGAGTCCACCAGATAAGCACTACCTGCATGTGTGGTATACAATGGTATTTCTATGTAGGTAGGTTGCTGTACGGATTGCTAATGACGCGCTTGTAGTTGTTCGAGACGTGACGTCGAACCAAATGACCTTCACGGGTGCTTGCTCTGCGCGGACGCAAGTTGTCCAACAGCTCGTGCTCGACCGTTGACTGTCGCGTACACATGATCAAACATTATAAAAGCAAGTGTAACTATATAATGTACACGAAGAAATTTAAAAAACCCTGTTATCTCGTTTTTATAAAATATTACAAGAAACGATACTGACATGGAACAACACTGGCGACTTTCGTCGCCGTGGTATGGAAATCACAATAAAAACAAAATGTAAATCAGGGTGTCATGACGATTTTGACATATTTTCATGGTCAATAGTTTATAAATATTGGAAAGTTATTTACAAAATAATATATCAATCATGAGCCATTCTATGAGCAGCCCGAGAAATATTCAATTAGGTGAGGTTTCATGCTGAATTTTATTAATGAATGAATTTTATTATGAGAAATGTGCGATAGTACTGAATTTAAAATATCAATCTTCTGCTTCTCATCTATCATTTACCTGAAGATGGTCTTCGAAAATGTACCAGCAATGTAGCCATGATTTCGTTATATTGCAAGATTATGTGGGTAGTAATTTATTACAAATTGCAATTTGAAATTTTAGTTTTCGAGACCTACCAGAAGGCTCGACTGGTGTTCGTTCAAACCATGGCTGAACTGGCGACTCGAGCAACTAATGTTAAATGCTTGGAGAGCGCGGGTGTACTCGGTAAATATCAACCTATCATAGTTAATGTAGCTAGGTACTTTAGGTATAATAACTACCTACTTAATGCCTAATAGTCATGCGATAGATACTTTATCTACAGTGCCTACATACCTATCTAAGTAAGTAGGTATCTATCTACCTTGAGTAAATGCATTAGTTCGTTAAGTGGCGAAATCTAACATTAAAAGTTATTTTAATACAGTACCTCAGAGCTGTCTCTATAGCAAATTCCAAGCCAGGCAATTCAAGACATTCGGATTCAATTCTCGGGACGAATATTGTTTATAATGTCAAACACCAAGCGGTCACCGGTGACCGCGACCTATTGTTCTTTAATTGTGTCTATAAAATGGGTTTTCTTAAAATTTTCTATTGCAGAACAAACTCACCGCCAATCTGAAAGGCTCACCTCCACATAGAACTTGTAAATTATTACCTAACCGGCCAATAGTGTATGTTACCATTAATAGGTACCTACTGTATGCATCATTGCCTTTGCTTTGCCTAGTTACCCCTTAAAAAAAACTGTGTTGCGAAAAAAACCGTGATGTTTATGATGTATAGCATATACATGAGTTAAAGGCGTAATATTTACACAGATTTACTGAGACCTCTACTGTCTGATGCGTGCAGTACTGTCCGCCAATGTGCCGTTGTCGCAGCCGCGCGTCTTGCGGAACACGATGAGGGGGTAGCACGACAACTCCTCAACGGAGGCATGGTTACCATCACCCTTGAAAATCTTAATAAATACAATGTAAGTATTTCTCATCATATCAGTCACAAGATCCACTGCTGTTGAATCCTGAAAAATGTCTTCCAGATCGGGTGGTTAGAAGCTATGTAAATACCTATCCTATCTTATCTATAGGTATGTAGGAAAACCTGGCGAAACGCTTAGGCAGATTACAGTGTCATGAATGGTACCTAGGTAGGTACCAATTTAACTATTAGGTCAAGTGCAATTCATTACTGGGTATCATCATCACTAATTCCAACAATTTATTTCAACAGGTGTATTACAAAAGGTCTGCGTTGTATTTAATGAGAGCTGTTGCTAAGTAAGTATTAACGTTCAAAGCTACGAACAAGTACTGGACAATTATTTATTTTATTTACGCTTATTACATTTTTCAGACACAATGAAGAACTTGGATCTGCGATTGTAAGACTCGGGGCGTTGGAACATATTGTTTCGTGTTTAGAAGATTTTGATACGCAAGTGAATAAACATCTAACATATATGCATCTTAACATTTCTGACACAGAAAGTTTATTTTTTAATTTTATTTCTATTATATTTTAGGTGAAAGAGAATGCAGCATGGGCCCTAGGGTATATAGGCAAGCACAGTGAGCAAATAGCGGGGCAAGTAGTCGATGCTGGCACCTTGCCGTTATTGGTTTTAGCTTTCCAAGAGCCTGAAATGAGTTTGAAACAGGTTGGTATTAACTGGTACAAGACTACCGTTATTATTTCTAATTTTGATAGTTTTCTTGTGGTACTTAATTGAATTTTTTATGGAAATTTTTAGATCGCAGCTGGCGCTCTGGTAGACTTGGCTCAACATAAGCCCGAAGCTGTAGTTGATGCTGGAGCTATATGTCATTTGGTTCATGGGTTAGAGAACCAAGATCCTAAGCTGAAGGTTATTTGTTTCTTAATTACCTATTATGATGTTGAACAGCTTACTCGTGTAACTGTTTGACGAAGAACTCGAATAGTTTCTAGCTACGCTAGGGGCTCGTATTCATAAGGAGCATTGTGCGACACACCGTTGTCTCACGATAGTTATAATAAAAATATATTAATTTTTTGTTAAACTTATACAGTTTCGGACTTTTCGGTTTTCTGATTTTTGCGACCCATTACATAGGGATCTAAGTATTTAAGTGATGAAAATTGGTAGGTAGTCACATTTAATTAAATATTTAAATTATCTATTTACCTATAATTAATATAGGTAGGTACATACGTATTCTATTATGGTTTTTATATTCTAACACCACAATCTGTTGCTTATCGTTCAGCGTAGCACACTGTGCGCACTGGGTGCAGTGGCGGGTGCTCGCACGGAGCTGGCCGAGGCGGTGGTGGCTGGTGGCGCTCTGCCACCAGCGTTACTGCACGCTGGACACGACGCCGCCCCCGTGCGTCGCGCCGCGGCCTGTCTTCTCAGAGATATTGTCAAACACTCCGTTGACGTGAGTTGGTGTGCTAAACGCCTATAAATAATACCTAAATGTAACTGAATGACACCGTGGTTGCGTTTTGTGTGCAATAAATAAATGATGACTTTACATGTAATATCTATGGGTTTTAGAGTCGATTTATTTACTGTATTTTTAGTTGGCGCAATTAGTCGTGAACACAGGAGGATGTGGTCCGCTTGTAGAACTTCTAGCTGAGTCGACAGGTGGAGCTCGTGTGCCTGCTTGTATGGCACTTGGTTTCATCGCTGGACAGTCTGACCAGCTTGCTATGGCTGTTGTTGAATCTAAGGTTTGTATAATATAGTATTTCGCACCAATTAAATAAAACAGCAGAACCAACTTTTGGCTATATCTATCTAGCATTTGATGCAAATAGGCTGATGATATGAAAATAATATACTATTATGTACTTACTGTTTGTAACTAAGTATTTATTTTATTATGGAATTTTCAGGCCATCCCATCATTAGTAGAAATACTGCAAAATAATGATGTAGAAGATGCGGAAATCTGTGCAGCTGCTTGGACACTGGGGCACATAGCAAAGCACTCGCCACAACACAGCCTAGCTGTAGCAGTTGCTAATGCTTTACCTAGACTTCTTCAGGTAACCCAATGCAATTGTTACATAGAAAGAGTAATGACACTGAAAACTTGACTTTAACCACTTCTATTACTGTATTTATTTCAATGTGTAATACAGCTATACACCAACCCTAAGTCCTCGGGAGAAGTTCGTGCAAGAACATCATGTGCTTTGAAACAAACCCTGCAGTGTTGTCTACATAGACCCGCTCTAGAACCATTGTTGCATTCTGCTCCTGCATGCATCCTAAAATATGTTCTAGCACAGTATGCTAAAGTAAGTATAAATAAAATTATATTATTCTCACTTGTATAGAGTTGTAGCATCGAAATATGATAGAAAAATACCACATGTATACTAATTTAAAGATTTATTATGATTGTAATATCACAGACCATACAGTAAAATCTAATGTCATAGAAAACGATGAGATACAAAATATTTACCTATGATGAATGGAGCTATACTGAATAAGAAAAGGCTTAGGAAGTAGGTGTACTTCAAAGCCACATACCTGCTCAGTACACAGGCCCATCATCAAGATTATCATCTTCCTCATCATAGTCCTCACCATTATCAAAATAGTTGTTGGCATAATCTGTCCCATCATCTATTTCAAATTCTTCTTCATGTTCATCTTCAACTTCCTCATCATCATTTACTTCTTGGTTTTTCACAGTCTCTTCATTATCATTGGTTTCCATAGCTTCATCACCTTCTTGAATTTCTTTCTTTTCTAATGTCTGCAACCTTTTCGCTATAGCTTCGGCATTACTTAATTTCGGTTTAGGAGCAGCCGCTGCCGCCTTACGCACTTTTTTCGCCTGTGGCCTGAGTTCAGGTGGCATATTAGCCCACACACAATCTAATACTTTGTCTTTCTTAGCATTAAGAGCAAGCATTTTGTATTTATCCGAATATCGTTCAATGCCATCTGACTCTGCTTCTTTTCTAACGTAAGCCGGAGACTCGTGCAAATACTCAATAAACTGTTCCTTTACAATTAACATGTAATCCGTGGCTGCGTCGGAAGGTAATGGTAGCGGTTTAACTTCAAGTTTTGGAAATAGTGGAGGCGGTGCTACATTTTGTGGTGTATTCTCACCTCTTGCTATGCCGAGCGCTTGCAGTTGATCGTGTGTTAGTGACAAGTTGCTTCCGCCACGACCTCTTCCTCTTCCAGCCATCACAATTTAATTTAAAATCTGAAGTTACTTTTAAAATGTTATATTACCTTGATCTGCTTTAGACCGTCCAGTTCCACAGCTGCCAAGTGACTACAGGTGCCGGGTGCGGTGCGCGTTGTATTTTATGTTCGTCAACAAACGTCAAAATATAAATACCATGTGTTCTTGACATTTCTCAAATGTCAAGTTTTTTTTTTATAGTTTACCTACATCTAACTTGTAAACTTGCCTTTTTAGTAGACAATATTTATAAAATATTTTCACTTTTGAATAAAAAGTGAGTGCGATGTTGACCTTTCTATGCCACAAAATATTACAAGGGTATTACGAATTAAAATTTCTCACCTATCATCTTCAGTCCACATCAAGTGAACGATGTGTAACCCTAACATATAATTTATTAATTTTTATAGATATTACCAAATGATGCAAGGGCCAGAAGACTATTTGTTACCACGGGGGCTTTAAAACGAGTGCAAGAAATTGATACAGTTCCTGGGTCTTCGCTTAAAGAATATATCAATATTATAAATAGTTGCTTCCCTGAAGAAATTGTGAGGTGAATATTTTATTTATAGTTTATTTATTATGAATATCTAATGAAAATCAATGAGGGCGCCACAGGTCGTAAGTACCTACCAAAACTAATCTATAAATGAATGTGCAATGTAATGTAAACAATCCTTATTTGATCTTCGTTTATTTTGTAGGTTTTTCACTTCTATCAGATAAAAAATATAAACAGTAATACGATTCCTACCCGACATAGCCTTTGTTCGAGAGAAAACAATCTTAATTTTATAAAATATGTCCAGCTTCTTGTTCTATTGAAAATCACTTTATATTCGAAATACAATCAGTCGAGCTCCACTCCGAATTGTTCTTTTGCATGTTTAATAAACTTCTTCCAAGTATTATTCACTTACATTCCAAACTAGTAGCTAATTAACAAAAAACGATTCGCAAAACAAACTCGGTCACAGCTGCTGACCATAGAGCAACTCCGATCCGCCAGTGGCCTGTGTTGCTCTCTAAGCTGTTGACATTCTACCGTTCTACGTACTTTTATTGAGTGTTGCCATAGTTTTAATGTTTTTAGTTTCTCAAACATTCATCGTCATTTTTAAATAACAAAAAAAAAACGATAATACTATGTCACTCCAATTGGGGCTACTGTATTTTTGGCCACCAGATTGCGCAAATGTAGCAAGAGGTTTTTGGTCCAATCCCTGCTGCTGTCAAATATTAAACATCCAATGGTGTGTTTTAAGTGTGGGAGAGCCATGCTTCGGCACGAATTGGCCGGCTCGACCGGAGTGATACCAGGGCCTCACAGAAAACTGACGTAAAACACCATTTGCGTTGTGTTTCGTCGTGTGAGTGAGGTTACCGGCGGCCCAATTCCTCCACAATCCTCAAATTCCCAAAACTCCGGTAACGCACTTGTAAGGCCTTGGTGTTTCAGATGCCACGGGCGGCTCCGATTGCTTACCATCAGGTGATCCGTCTACTCGTTTACCGGCTTATGCCATAAAAGTTCACTAGCTAATTCCCTATTAAATTAAAATGAGACTGTCACACCAGCGCTATCTGGTGGAAAAAAGTACAGTAGCCCTTATGCTTTGTAGAATACAATTCTAGTCACCAAGTTAATTAATTCGTTTTCTGTAGATACTATACTCCCGGATATTCGGATTCGCTCCTAGATCGAGTAGAAGCTTACACACCTCAGGTAAAAAAAAATTTTTGATAGTAAATTCTTAAGTGATTGGATGACTTAGTCTTTACATCATCAATATTATAACAAGATTAAATAATAACGATGCCATTCATGTTTATATTTTCAGATACCTGAACTTTTTACGGACAGAGTTCCCAGCGACTGTCAAAGCGAATTAACTATAGAAAATGCAAACTAATATTTTTGTATTTCTTTATTAATAAATTAATTAGTTTTGTACATTATGTTCTTCCTAGTGTCCACACTAACTTTTGCACTTGTATGGTCCTACCGCCAATATTGGTTTTCTCCATCGCCATGGATTGGCTTATGATCCTGTAACTGTTAATGTATATTAAAATTTAGACAACGCAAATTTGAGAAATAAGATGATTAAACAATACATTATTTTTTAGATACTCACTTGTACTCATTGCCAGATAAAATATTTAGAACGTTAATTCCTTGAGTATCAACTTCAAAAAAATGTTCTTGTTTGCTATTTAGTAAATTTAAATCGGTGAATTTTCTTTCTAGACTCAGTATTTCATATGTCTGTAATCCCTGGAATAGTTTTAAAACATAATCAGCTTAAATTAAGTTAGGGTTAACTTTAACCAGGGTATTCCACTTTGAACTCACAAGATGGCACTAGTATTATTATTAGATAACTAGGGCTTTCTACTCATTGGCATTAGTAAGGCCTTTTTTTTTAAGTGGGGAAAATCATCGAATGACTGCTCCCGCCTGGGTGAGGCGGAAGGGAGTGTCAGACTCTTACGACTAAAAACCACCTCGTTCCTTCTCCTGCACGTCGAGCCGGAGCCCCGGTTACCCGTTAGGTTCTCCGCGACTCCGAATCGGCATCGGCCCTATCGGGCCCCATCTGTGGTGGTCTGATGGCTGCATTAGTAAGGCCTAAGGTCTATTAGTAGGTTGATTGAATCTAAGCAGCTTAGTTATTACTTTAGCTGACTAATAATATACTTAATGGAAAATTTTGTTGTATAGGGTCAATAGACCATAAACTGCACTAGCGCCTCTAGAGCCACGAAAACATTCGCGCATATCATGGTGATGGGTTCGGTGTGGACGTACCACAAAATCTAAACGCATTATTATGGTGACTAGTGATCCTAGTTCCATTCAAATTACAACATAATAATAACATCACGCCTTTTATTCCCGAAGGGGTAGGCAGAGGTGCACATTATGGCATTTAATGCCACTGTACAATGTAACCACCCATTCTTCACTGTTTATATTATGAGTCCCATGTAATAGGAGGTGAGCCCCCTTTTATTATACTCTTTGGGGTGAGCCTATTGCCATATACCGGGCACAATTCCTGACTCCGTGCTACCACTGAGAAAATACCGTTCGGAAATTATGCTTAGTAGCACACAATTTTTGCTGACACGATGTTGTAGTTTTATGTATTAAAGATAAAGATATTTTATTTCGCAAATATGGGTACATATCATGGTAGTGCATAATAAAAAATACAGAAACAGCCATATTTTGCCAATTATAAGGCATGCAAAAGTTTTACACATTTTACAATTCAAGACAATAATTCTAAATAATGTCATTCAATTTATAAATAATTCCAATAATTTATCAGTCAATAATATAATTAATGTCACAATTTCTAATAATGATTAAAAAAAAAACAAAATATAAAACAGTCAAACAATTTCTTTCTCCAATAAAAAATCTGCAATCGATACTTATAATAAATCTGTAGAGAGGTAAATTCTGTACATAAAATATATTTAAAAAATAACTATCAAGGGGTGGTTAGGGATCGCTACTGATGCCAAAAATGCAATCAGTAAAATTTTTGTCTGTCTGTCTGTATGTTCGTTATGGAAACAAAAACTACTTGATGGATTTTAATGAAATTTGGCACAATTATTCTTCATACTCTTGGGCAGGTTATAGTATACTTTTCATTACGCTACGATCAATAGGAGCAGAGCAGTGAAGAGAAATATTGGGAAAACGGGAGAAGTTACTCCATTTTTTAAACTTCATAGAAATCATGTATGACGGAAATATTCTCCTTAAAATTATATAAAAAATATTCCTCGACAGCATATGTCTATCTTTTATGGTTGACTCACAATAACACGCGAAACTCCAGATAGCTTAGCAATTCGGTGATTACTGATTGTATTTGTCTACTCTAACGTTTACAATACTCATTCATAGACTTTACGCTGTAACTGAAAGGCCAATGGTTGAAATTAGCTTGACTCGATATTATAAATGAAAATAATGTGAGTTTATGTGTATGTTTGTTACTCAGTCATATTAAAACGACTGAAGGGACCGGAATGAAATTCGGAACAGAGGTAGATTATGGTCTGAAGTGATACATAGGCATTTTACCTCTGGGATCGCGGGCGAAGCTAGTACTATAATAAACTTTGTCGAGTAAAAAATTCCTCAGTCTTTTTTTAAATAATGACACATTATATTCCTTCCAACAGCTTATTAAATGAATTATATGAATTTATGGTAAAAAAACAATACCTGTAATTTACAGGATGTGAAGCTAGTAGTTTCCAGTTCAGTAAGAAGAATATAGTGCATCATGTTGCACGATATTTAGTAGTACTGTGTCAAGTCTTTCGTTACTTGGCAATTTATACCTAGAAATGATTTACATATCTACTTCCCGTTCCCATTTCCTGTGGTGGGTGTGGTATAGTAATGATTAAAATATCACAAATGTTATTGACATATATTTATTTATTTGTAACCAACATAACAATGAAGTGACACAGATTTAGAAGGCTTTTTGTTTGAACACCATGACTGCAACCCTGTGAAACAAAAAGAAAAATAAGTTAGGAAAGAGAACAAGCTACTTCTGTTAAATTTGAGTGTAAAATGTTATCAGATTATAGTTATCTTCAAAGATTTCGAGATATATGCTTGTCTAAAAAATATTCATCATTTTAAATTGTCATACTGGGTGGCACTTTGTAGTTTTGCATACCCTCACAGCAAAAAGGCGTGAGTTTATTTGTTTGTAATATATTAGTTAAAGAAGAAAATAGAGATGACATACTTAAATCGAAAAAAATCTTCCTTCATCTTCATCAGAGACAGCCTTAAGAGACAATGTAAGAATTTTGTTCAAATCTGTAAAAAATATGGATTTGATAAATACAAACATTTTTTGAAAGTAAATGATGTTGTAGTTTTTTTAAAAATCAGTTGTTACCAAGACCATAGTTTCCCCACGGTTTTGTGAGACAGGGATAACTAAGATATTCATCATTATAATATGATTAATAAAAGAAGAAAGATTGTTGTAAAAATTATATACCTTTTGAACTAATTTCGATTCTGCTGCAGCACATGATTTATCAGTAGTTTACCTGAGACAATAAAGACAAGTTAATATACATAGGAAAAATATAAAAGTGGGTTATGTATGGTAATAATTTCAGTTGTTACCATACCATCTTTTTCCCCATGGCTTTGTGAGACAGGGATAACTAAGATATTCATCATTTAGGATTGTGATTTAGTTTCAAATTTGTATTATTTATAAACCAAGAATTGGATCTGACTTTAATGGACTTAGGAATTAGTTGGATCATTTTGTTTATAATAATAATTGTTTTATAACCTACCTAATTTAAGGCATCTATTATAAATTCATTCACTGCCAGTTACTGTAGCGTAGCACAATTTACCTGCACAAAAGAAAATCAAATTAAAAACAGTGTTAGTGTTAAAAAGTTTTGATTGTAAATAAATATAACTTCAGTTGTTACCATACCATACTTCTCCCCATGGCTTTGTGAGACAGGGATAACTAAGATATTCATCATTTTAATATTTATCTATTGAAATTATGAAAATAAAATTATTGCTATGTTGCTTACTATTACTAACCTTTCTTTCTTTAATTTTTAGGTAGACATTGGTATTAGGCAGGTCAAGGCTTTTGTCCTCTAACAGAATTCTGAAATAATATAAACACAATATGTAACAAATTGTCTGGTATGTGTTCATTAAATAATAATTTTGTATGATTTTATCAGTTGAAATGTTTTCATCAAAAGTATAAGATATATGCTTGTTACCATCATTTAAAATTATTACAATTAGTTGGGCTAAATCAGTTTATTTCCTCACCTCAGGTATGAATTTATTGGATTGTCTTGTGTACAGTTTCAACTATTCTGTAGTATGTTTCCTGAAACAACACAACATCGGATTAGTAATTTGATTTTACCCTTATTTGAATTATACAGTTTTATTTTTTTAGTCAGTAAATCAATCAACATAGTTTTTCAGACTGGGGCGATATAAAGATCATCATTTAAAAGCTACTAATGTCAGATACATAAAAAAAAATTTTGGCTAAATTAGGATCTTGTTGAATCGAGCCTGCAAGATAAAATTGACAGCTTATAATAATATAGCAGTCATAAAAGTTGACAAAAAGAGTCAAAACTTACTTGTCTGAAGTCTAGCCACACACCATCTATTATTTGCTTCTAGATACCTGAAATGAAACAAATAACATTAATTTGCATAGTCTTTAGAGATATTGTTATAAATGTGTAGTAAAATATTATCAGTTAATCGGATCCACACATTAGTTCAGACTGGGGCGATATATGATCATCATGAAAGTTAACTATACTCATATATTTGAACTATGTACTTACAATATAATAGAAATGTGTCGTGTTTCTTTACTTACCAAATTCATTTTTAACTCTGAAACCATTTTTCCATCACCATTATCACCAACCATTTAGTTGTTTACTTCAGATTTGCTTTCTGGAGGGCCCTGTAAAAAATAAATTTTATTAGTATTTTGCAGTTTGAGATGACTATGACTTTGTTTGTTTGTTTTATGTTCAGAAACTATCAATCATCAGAAGTCAGACAGGGGCGATACTAAAAGTCATCATTTAAAGTTTTTAAAATGTGCATAATTCTTATGTTAGTTTACATACCTAGGACAGGACAGAGTATGTTTTTTTTATATATTAGATGAACCAAAGTTGAACACCTCATTGTAACTGTGAAGATCCTGAAAAGAAAATTAATCTTTTAAGTCTGGATGTGTGAACTGTTGCTTTTTAAGACTGTTATTTAATGTTTACTCAGTAAAGATCAATCATCAAAAATCTGCCAGGGGCGATACTTTTAGTCATCATTTTATTTTATAGAATGAAATTTTAAAATCAAATCTAGTAAAATCATGTATTAATTTATTTAAGAAATTATAATTTACCTACCTACTTAAAAAAAATTTTCAACTCGTCCATTGGATTGTCATAATAGTCACTGAAGTAAATGTAACCTGCCAAAGAAATAATTAAAATTAAATAAATGGAAATAGATACATTAATAAAATAAAAAACGATTTGAAATAAATATTTGTCACACTCAACCCTTGGACATACAACTATGACAACTGCATGTCTTACACAGAGTGTGATAATGTTCCTATCCAGAGTCAAGCATGCATGACTTGACTATGCACACATCGGCTTTGGTAGGGTATTTTGAATATATTCTAGAAATATAGTATGAATATGATGTAATTACCTGTCATATAAACAGTGTCATAAAGATTTCGAACATTATTCTTTATCTGGTTTATATTAAAACCCTTGGCTTGGCAGCACAACTGCTTTTATAACTGTGGTTGCAATAAAACCTGTGAACAAAAGACAGAAGTTTAATACCAGGCTCTATGTTCCAGTGCAAAAGGTATTTTTGCATCCTTAATTTTCTTGTGTCTAAAGCCTTGAGGCATTTAGTTTACCTACCCACTTCAGATCATGTAATGAGATGTAAATATATCATCTTCAGCAGTAACAGCTGACAGAAATATTGCTGGACTAAGGACCTCCTAATTAAGGGGTGCATGTGGTTTAATCAGAATATTTGTCACACTCAACCCTTGGACATACAACTATGACAACTGCATGTCTTACACAGAGTGTGATAATGTTCCTATCCAGAGTCAAGCATGCACAACTTGTCTATGCACACATCGGCTTTGGTAGGGTAAGTTAGATGAATTATAAGATTGACAGATGGACTATAAATATGATTTTTCCAAAGTTTCTTCTATACAATTTATCAAAAGAAAATCAGTTCATGTTCATAATAGAGTAAGAAGTTCATGTTCATAGTAGAGTACTAAATTGTAAGATAGTATTAAAAAATCTTACCATTTCATTGTTACTGGATGATGGGTGACTTCAGTGCGAGATATTATTTCCCTGTGAAAGAACACAATTATTAGATAGAATACCTTTAATTAGTGTAAAAATAATGTAATTAATTAGGCAGATACAATCAGTTAGGTGGTAAGTTTGAAATCATGTGTTTCATACGAACGAGACTAAAATATAATTCATCATTGTAAGGATACAAAATGTTGAGTAACTTAGGTTAGATTTCGAATTATTTTAAGCAACTTACGTTGTCTGATGATGTACACACTGATGTTTCAGGCCATATCTGGAACCAACAATAGAGTTTCAATATATTACATCCTAAAGTTTAAATAATAATATTAAGATGTCAATTCAGCAATGTGGTGAATTTGAAATCATTGATTCTCATACGAACGAGACTATAAAATAAAATTCATCATGATAAAATAAGTCGAAACTTGATACAGTCCAACTGTGTCTACTAACCTTAAATTAACTGATTAGCACGCCTCAGCTGAAACATAAAACAGTTTGAGTAAAGAAAACACACCACATGTTCTACAATATCAAATAAACTCACCTATTTAACAATCATGGGACTGTTTATAAATAACAAAAGACACAAAATTTGGCTTAGAGTAATTCTTTATTTACTGTCCCTTGATAGTCACACTTTATAACCTTGTTGAGGCACTAAAGAATTACTTCTTCGCCGGTTTCTTGCCGCTGGGCTTCTTGGTGCGGACCTTCCTGGCGGCTGCCTTGGGCACCAACTTCTTGCCGAAGGTACCGGCACGCGCGGCCTTCACCTTCAAGCTCTTGAACACTGCCGTCCTAGCGCGATTCCTCTTCACACGCGCGGACGTCAGCTTGAAACGGTCGAAGTCTGTCATCTGTGCACGTTTCTCTTTGTTAGCGAGTTTTGTGGCCCACTGACTTTCTGTCCACTTTTCGCTGAGTTTAGCATCCGTCCATGCTTTCCTTACGATGCGAGTGGGCGCTGTGAATGGGTAGTTCAGACGGAACTTGGTGAGATGCAGCTGGTTAAGGCGGATCTGTTGACGTGAGACGCCGCTGCAAGGCCCGTCGACGAGAGCACGGGTCTGGTCAATAACATCGACCACGCTTACTAACTTTCCCTTCAGGGGACCGTCAGCTACCAGGGCAACACGCCCTGGTTCTACAAACCGCGCGAAAGGCATGACGTCCTGGAAATAGACGATTGCAGGTTAATTTCACTCAACTACACGACAATGCCGTCACTTGTCTAACATCACTTTAGGAAATCAACGGAAATAGGGGGAAAATATATCGTATAATTGAATTGTCGGGTTATATTGAATACACGACATTATTTAGAATTGATGTTAACTTAGAATTTAACGAGATTAAAACGGATAAAATTATTCTAACCTTACAACGTCTTTACAAAATCACTGTTTTTACGAAAAGAATTTTTGTCCTTGTTTCGCTTGTCAAGTTGACAAGAAACACGGCTGGTGTTACCATACAAAATAATTTGTTGTCTATGACTGTTTCGTAACTACCTGATTTTACCTGAACCACTGAACATTATAATCACTTTATCGTTTTAGTGTATTCTTTTAGTATTGAACTTTAATTTTGTGGTCAAAATAAAAGTAATTTTTGTTTATTTTGGGATCCTAATATCAATGTGTAGCTGAAAAGTTTATAGGCTATGCAGCATTTATTGAAGAATGAAGTATTTTACTCTATGGTATTCTATTGTACCATAGATTTACAATTTTTTAGGCGCCAAATTCAAACGTTGCCAAGCAACTAATATCAAAAATCATAACACAACAAAACGCTGAGTGACACTGGTTATTGATTATAACTAAGCACTGCGCAATTTCAAACAAAAAATTGTCTTAATTAAACAAAAAATGAAGCTGAAATATTCAAAAACACTCCTGGAAGCTCAGGTCTCTATTAACAATTCAATTCATTTGGTATTACGTACCTTAATGTAAGCCTAAGGAATGTGAAAAAGATACTTATTTACAACATTCTCCATATGATTATAATTAATTTCAGGACGCAGAGAGCCCAATAGCAGATATTTGCTGGTCACCTAATAATGTAAAGCTAGCAGTGGCAACATGTGACCGGTTGGTGTTGTTGTTTGACCGTGAGGGAATACGGAGGGATAAGTTTGCCACCAAGCCTGCTGATCCTGCTGCAGGGAAAAAGTCATATGTTATTACAAGTAAGTACTTGGAAACTTGATAGATGTATGAAAGTTGAAGTTAAGTAACAGAGGAAGGTAAAGAGGAAGTTCACTGCTAGGCTGTGGGCTTCCTGGTCATAAAAGGGTTTGCTATATTTTATTTTTTATTTATTTCTTTATTTCAGGCAACTGTGGCCCATATAAAATATAATACACAAATAAAAATACAATACAAAACTAAAAAAATAACAAATACCAAAAAATTAAAACATCAATAAACTAATAGATATACAATAACAAAACTAATTATAGAGGTAATTATTGCACACGAAGAGACGGCATCGTGTTTCGCTGACTGGTATCACGTAGCCGGCCACGGAAACGCCGATACACGATACCCTTCGGCCAAAACTGTTCCTTGAGAAAGGTTTCAAGATCATGTGTTGGAACCCGCACCACGAACGATTTGAAGTTAGTATTGTGGCGCGACTCCAACTTCTCGACTCTCAAGGTCCAGTTCGTCTTCACTCGCAAATACTCCACGACATCCTCTGCCTTCGTGGAGTGATGCAGTCGGGACACGTACAGCAGCGTCGTGGGTGTCGCTGGACGCAGAAGCATGTTGGGTCCTGCCAGCGCGGTACCGCACTGGTTGCGGCAAAGAGGCTTCTTCTTCCTTTCTACCTTAATGAAGCCCTCATTGTCATGCTTGTCCTTTTTCAGACTAGGCTGGTTTGCTTGACCCCGTTTTATATTGGCCGCTTGCTTTTTCTGCGACGATTCAGTTTGGATAGCGGCAACGATATCTGCATAGGCACGTTTAGGGGACAACGTACCTACACAAGCCTGTACTTGCACCGGTGTCGAAGCGCAGGCGGCCGTGGCGCGTGATGCTACGTTTGCAGTTTTAATGGGTGACGCAATCGCCACTGACGAACTGCTGATCGCAGCGTTTTCCGTTCCATGTCGTGTGTTCATGTTGGAGGCGTCAGGTGACCCAGTTACCGAAACAGCGCTGCGTAACAGCATTACCTCGGCACGTAAGTCACATATGGTGTTATTTGATACCTCCAATTTTGACTGCAGCTCGGCCAGGTTAACTTTGAGGGATGTAATGTCCTTAAGAAGCCTGGTTACGTCGACGTGGTCAAACGTGATGGGCGGCAGTTTATGCAGGTCCTTCACCACGAAATCGGGCACGTCATCCGGGTCAGTATCCTTCATCAGGGTGATTATATCCTGGATACTCTTCTCAGTACCATCTCTCCGGCGAGACGGCATCTGGTCGATTTTGCCGAGCGTCTGGAACAGCAGCAACTTAGCACTGCATATCTCTGCTTCCTTGAAGGCAGACTTGCAGATCTGCAAGATGCTGACCTCGTCCATATAATCAATGGCATGCTTCAAGAATGCCAATAACTCGTTTGCTATGAGAGGTTTAGAACTCATTGCTACGTACACGGGCAGCGGCTATAGCCGCGCAATTCGCGAATATAATATTCGTTGCGAGCAGCGTACACACGTCCGTACTCGACCGTGCATCGCGCTGTATTTATAATCACCACGATGGGAGATCATAGTTTTGAAAAGGTTCATCAGGTTAATGAGTGAGCGATGCTACTATGCTAGTGGTCTCTGTCAATATATTGTATTCCTTTATACAGTTTTGATAACAACCGTGTGAGGAGCATCTATTTATATTGGTGTCGTATTTCTTTTAGATTTATCATTCAGTGAGAACTCGGAACTGCTAGGCGTGGCTCAGAGTGACAATATGGTGTTCGTGTACCGCGTGGGAGCTGATTGGAGCGGGAAGAAAGTGATCTGCAATAAGTTTCCATTGACTGGTGCACCCATGTCACTGTTGCCAGCAGACAACGGGTTCTATACTGGCACGACAGATGGGAAGATAAGGTAACTGTGGTGATGTGGGATATAGCATTGAATATGTGGAATTAAGTAAGGAGCAAATTGGTTATTCGACTCTCACTCTATTACGTAGAGATTAATAGTGTAGTTAGCAAAATACTTTTACCTTTTTTTTTAAGGGAATGTGATCGGATGTTATGTTAAGAAAGCGTACAATGGTCCACTGTAGATATCATGACCATGGAAAACAACGGACAGGACGCCTTACGTAGGACTTCTCTTACCCATCTTTAGTACTAGTACTGTTAAGTTTTTCTTAATTAAATTGATGTAGATAGAAATTGATGTTATTAATTTCGTAGATCTTTGGATTGCAAGAGTAACAAGAGCAGCAGTATGTGGACTGGAGGTGCTTGCTGTGTGTCATTAGCTCGGGGCGGGGAGGGCACTCTCGCGTCAGGCCATGTCGACGGCACTCTCTACCTGAACGGACGACTCCTATTGCGATATGCTTTACCCCCGACTGCACTTATTCTACTGCCTCCATATGTAAGTTACTTTTGAACGGTATAGGAATTAGACATTGTATTGTACTACAGGTATGTTTAGAAATATTTTAAATGCGATACTTAATAATCTAATCGTAACTGAATTTATAATAAAAATTAAATCCTAAAGATTTTCGGTTTTAGAATAAACAACACAAGACTTTACGTTAATAAAAATTCTCCGTTGCCTACTAATTTTTTTGGGGGAAAAGCTCCCAGCTTTACCGTATGTATTTATAATTATGTATCTTATAAAAAAATTTAATAACAGCTCATAGTGGGATCTTGTGACGGTCGCGTGTCTGTGTATGAAGCACAGCGCGGAGCTCTCCTGCGCAGTTTAGAGCCTCAACTGCCGCCCGATCGACGCGACCTAATATCTGCAACCCCCAGTCCATCAGGGCAGGTAAGTTCTATACCAGTGGTTAGAAAACCATCTTAAGGAACACCGCACAGCTTTCCACTTTTAGCACCGCGTCACATAACATAAATGTTATTAACTATGCAGATAAATCCTGTTTCCCAATGCATTTTACTGAACCATTATAAACATTCCTACACTTTTTCTACCGAAAATTCGTTTAAATTCTGAAATAAATTCTTTTGTAGACTGGAAATTATGATGCAGGAAGTATATATCCGCTTTTCTTAAGCAGTGTCTCATATTTGTATATTTTAGCCAGTAGTTGATTAAAAATTATAGACGGTGGCATTTGGCGTGTTCGACGGGTGTTTAGTAGGCGAGCTGAAGGAGTCTGGCGGAGTAGAGTTGTCCATGTTGAACATACCCAACTTGTACGCGGCGCGGGCGCTCGCTTGGAGCGGGGATGGAACTAAGCTAGCAATCGCTTCACAAACTGGAGCTGTTATACAACTTGAGGCTGTGTTAAGGTATGTTATATTGTAATAGATATCTACATATCTATCTTGTCTGCAATTTCCATAAGAGTAGGTTCCTAAGTATGATATCAAGTAACTAGTTATCAAATACTGAACTTTGTTTTGTAAATCTGAATGAGAATACAATGTTTATTCAAACTAAATAAGCAGTCGCGCTAATCGGGTTGACTTTTTAACTTGCCTTAGTTGATTTTCTCGCAACTACGTTTATTTATAAAATAATGTACCTCACCTCAGCTTTTAAACGTTCCCTGATCTTCTAAAAATGTATAAATCTAACATTAGCTAAATCAATTTAACTATACCTTATTTAGTATTAGCTAGAACAACGAACAGTGCAGTGAGTGCCTAACAAGGACGATGATAAAATAAATGTGTTAATATGTTTAATGAAATTGTATCAGACGCTGGGTATGGCGTGACTCAGTGGAGGTGCAGCACGTGAGTGGTCGCCAACTGGTACTGTCGCGACTGGCTAATGACGCTCTCCCGCTTACTGTCACCACTAAACAAGCGCCTGATATATTCAACGTGCGGTTTATCGGTGTGTAAGATCATATATTCGTATCATGCACTTTAATTTGCAAAAATTTTACTAAAACTTTAAGCTTGTTTGAAATGTTTACATTAGAAAACGCTCCTGTTAACGGAGAACAGGCGAACAAAATAATCATTAAACCTATCATCGCTTTCATTGTGAAAACTTAAGTAAGAATAAGGTGGACGACTAATTTTTATTTTAATGTCCGTCTGGTCTGATTATTTAAAAACATTAGACACGTATTTTTTATTTTCTTACGGAAACGAATAGTTTCGAAGATACATTGATCTGAAATATCGCACGAAGTCACTTTTGAGTACGATTTATAGTCTCAAATGACGTAGCTACCTCCCACTCCTAAACTTTGATTCGTTTTATCTAAGTATTGTTTTCTTATATAAAAAAGTAAAATTAGTAAAGTAAAGTTCTATCTCTACAAATTCTTCGTAAAATGATAGAGATGGCACGATATTTGAGTACAACTTAAAATTGAGTAGCCTTTCAGTATTCGGGGGTAAAAATTTTATATTACCTAACTGACGGACTAATTAGATTTATAATTTTCATACCCTGTCATCATCCCTATTACGCACGTTATTTCTATGTACTTATCTATTTATTTATTAAAACATATTCCATGGTAGGCCATTTTTTTAAAAATAATTTGATCTGGTTTTACATTTCCAGGTAACGATTGGTACGCTGTATGTCGTACTAGCTCCACATTGATATTGTGTGACATCGCGCGAGGTTTGACTAGTGAGGTAGTCAATCAATTTATATTGTACTCTATTTATTTATTAATTAAGTTAAATATTTATTACATAAGATTACATTGTAGATCCCTTGGTCTGGAGGTGGTGAAAGGGTATATGCAGCGGTTGGAGGCGCATGTCTGTTGCATCGAGCGGGTGAACTAAGCGTTGTTGAATATGGCCTCGATAAAGTGTTACATACGGTAAGATTTTCTACTCATTATTTCTTAGCTTCAACCCTGGAAACTCAAACGTTACATAATTATGTTACACTTAAAAAAAATTGAATAAAACCCCTGCCCTATTAAAGCCCATCAAAATCAGCTCAGTTTTTAAGTTCAAAGAGAGAGAGACAGATGCGCCGCGGGGGTTTTTATAAGGATTCGATATTTTATTTAACTTTTGGCATAGGATGACTATTTTTATTAAGAAGTAGGTACTTTCGCACGGTTTCATCCATTCTACTCAGCTCCTATCAGTTGTAGCGTGATGTTTCATAGCTTATAACCTTCCTCGATAAACGTATCTATCCAGCACAAAACAACACATAATTATTCAAATCGGACCAGTAGTTCCGGAGATTAGCGCGCTCAAACAAACAAATTCTTCAGCTTTATATATTTATCAAGAATATACTATAGGTGCGAACGGAGCGCGTGAATCCTCACGTGTTAAGCGTACGTATAAACGAAGGCGCTACTGGCGGAGCGGAGATAGGCGATCGCAAGCACCTCGCCTACTTACTCGACAGGCAAACCATCGCTGTAGTCGACCTTACTACTGGTAAGACTCGAACATTGTTTGATTGTTCCTATCTTATTTATCACGGTTTTTCTGTATCGATGATTTTTTTTGTTGACATGTGTGGTATTTTGTAGTTAATAGTAGGTACTTCTGTAGTATGTGTAGTTGATTACGAATGATTCACCGGTTTGATTGACCTAAATACTTAAATAACACTTAATTAATATTACATGTTTATTCAGGTATTCAACTGGGGCAGTGGTGGCATGAAGCTCGCGTGGACTGGCTGGAGTTGAACGAAAGTGGACAGTTACTATTACTAAGAGACACGAGACGAAGGCTGGCTCTATTGCGACTTGATAATGGAGAGAAGGTATAATTAAATTATACATATATAAGATTTATAAAACTGTTGAAGTAATACAATCATGAGGTTTTAAAGGTGCCAATATATTCTTACTATGTTTGTGTAGGAAATCATAGCAAGTGGAGTATCTTTCGTGCAATGGATAGAAAATAGTGATGCAGTTGTGGCTCAAACACCGACACATTTACTTGTATGGTAAGTAGCCATTTATCAGGCACAATAATATCTTTATTATATCACAGTACAGAGATGTAATTACCTACGTCATAGGTATAGTGCCTGGGACCCCAGCAGTGTTGAGATGGCAGAGTGCGGCGGCGCTGTGGCAGTCGAAGTAATCTCAAGACGTGTTGTTCTAGAAGGAGGACTCCTGCCTTACTTGCAACTAGACGAACATCGACTTGCTTTTAGTAAGCATAAATTGACTATAATAAAAATATATAACTCGTAATAGTTGACGTTTCATACTACTAATTAATCAGCCTTTCAGTATATTTAGTGTTAACATGATGTTTATCATGAAGATAATTCATTGGAACGAAGCGCTAATAGAGCATTTCGCAGGATTGAATTAATCACTGCTCACGATCGCGGTTACGCTACGGGACGGGGCGGCGCGGTGACCCACCGCGTAGCGGATCTATTATCTGCTACGACTGTAGCAATGCGTAGCAAATGTCCCCGCTCTGCTACAGTCGTAGCACTGCGTAGCCAAGCTACGCCAAGCTACGGTCGTAGCCTATTTATATATTGTTTTAAATTATGATAAAATATCTTAACTATCATGTTTAGATTATGTAAATCAGTAAAATTATAACATGCGTAAGTTGATGAGCGTTATCTAATTGGGATAGAAGTTACTTATTGCAAGAAAATATTTCACCAATTATTTTTTTTAACTCCTGTAGATAATGCCCTTCGCAGCGGTGATCTAGCCGGGTGTGCGCGATACTTGGACGGTGTCGGCAACAATGCGGACGTGGCGCCATTATGGAGACAGCTAGCTGAACGGGCACTCGCTGATGATGATGTTCAAGTATTAAATTTTATATCACTTATTTTTTTGTAGCTGTATTTTTACTAGTCTCTTGTTCATTGTTAATCGTGCTTTTTTATTACTCATAGTTAGCTGCTAAATGCTACCGAGAAGTAGATGATGTAGCTCGTACGTTCTACTTGGAGAAGACTGTCGAATTGGCTGCGGATAAGGGCGACGGTGACGTTACTGTTGGTGCGTATGACATTGCTTACATTTGTAACCATACGTTACTTATAATTTAACTTACATGTTAAGTTACTCATGTTTTTTTTTCGTATGAATATGAAATGTTTGTGTTAGCAACTTTTACATATCATATTGACGGGCAGTCTTTTTTAAGAAAAGAAACCTCAAACTTTCGTGATACATATTAAATAAATTATTATGTTTTCAACTCCTCGTCAAATTATTACGCGAGTAAGCCGAAAACATAATAATTTATTTAAACCTCTAACTCTTAAGAGAGTATTCTTTTGCATATTAGAAACAGATGTAATGGCTGCCTCGTTGGCCGAGTGGTCGCATGTGCGACTTCCGGAAAAGGGGGCCTCGGGTTCGATTCCCGGGTCGGGCAAAGTATTACTGGGTTTTTAACACGTTCGAGGACGCTACCACTTGAGTCGGGTTTTCAAAATGACACAGTACATGTCTATACAAAATTATACGACGTATCAGTACGTAGTGTCCCATGAAGAAATATCGTTTTAAACATATCATGACACAACCGTTTTATCACGTCAACGTGTATATGCATCTAGGTAAGGATCCGCCTCGTTGGAGATGTCGGAATCATCAAACATGCTTATCTTGTGTCTTATTTTGCGCTCATATCCATCTAAAACACACAATAACCCATTAAACATCAATTTCACACTGTAAAATCATTAATTTGCATTAAAGTAATGTACACAGTGACACAGCCGCGCTGAATGTAGGAGCGCGGGACGTATAAACACGTTGTGCGTATGTGAATACCGTAACCGCACACTATCAACGACACTTATTTTAAATAGTTCTAAACTTACCCTACGTGACAGTACAGAGTTGGGTATTTTATATGTTGTGACACAAGATACATTTAAAAGGATTTTTACTTGAACTTTCATCGGAAATGAACGTTCTGCCGTATAATTTAAATGTTATTTGAACGTCATCGTACGTTGTGCGATATTAAAATCTCGAACGATGACGTATAATCTCGTTCTGTCCTCGAACGTGTTAAACAAAAATTCTCAGTAGTAGCACGAAGTCTGGAATTGTGCCTGGTATATGGCAATAGGCTCACCCCCTATTACATGGCACTCATAACATAAATAGTGAAAAGTGGGTGTTCCATTGTACAGTGGTATAATATGCACCTCTGCCTACCCCTTCGGGGATAAAAGGCGAGATGTTATGGTATGTGTTAAACAGATGTAATAAAAATATATTTCAGGACTAAATAACGCCCTAGTGAGAGCTCGCCTAGCGATATTCGAGGGAGATTTATCAGCAGCAGAGGAATGTTACGTACGTCGAGCAGGCCGGCCTGACCTGGCCGTGAACATGTACAAGATGTTCAATAAGTGGATGGAGGCCATCGCACTCGCTGAGAGGACCGACCGAGCCTCCGTGGCGTCGCTCAAACAACAACACATGGACTATTTGACTTCTACTGGTGAATGGACTATTTTATTTTGACCAATATTTATTTAACGTTTTTTTAACTTTAACAGTGAACGTGGTTTGAAACGATCAAATTATACAGATTACTCATAATGTGACATGCCGATATGTTTTAATCGAAGACAGATGCTTCGGGTTCTGTTTGTGTTATTTAATTTTTTTAAAGTTCCGAAGTGGAATTGCTGTAACACTGCAGCGCACCTGTTGCAAATTACATTTACGCCAATCGCCAACCCGTATTGAGCAAGCGCAGTGATTAAACTGTCAAACACCGAGCGGTCACCGGTGACCGCAACCTATTGTTCTGTAATTGTGTCTATAAATACGGTACTCGACGAGTTAATACACGAACCTTCTCCGTGTGAGAAGGCTTTGTTCAGCAGTGAGCATTTATAGGCTGTTGATGTGATTTGTAACAGTTCATATTTGTACTACAGTATACTTTCCCGTATTTATTTTTGTTAAAGATTGTTTTGTAACTACCATATTTAACTTTTTCCGTGGGATGGGAAGTAATTGATTAAGGTGTAATTTTTTTATGGCATAAGCTGGTAAACGAGCCTGATGGTAAGCGATCGGCGTCGCCCGTGCACATCTGGAACACCAAAGGCATTACAAGTGCGTTACCGGTCTATTGGGGATTAGGAGTTTGAGGATCGTTGAGGATTCAGGAATTGGGGAGATTGGGGAAGGAGAGGGTTTATTGAGCCTCTGGTAACCTTACTTACTAAAAAAAATGTACATTCTATTTGAAATGACGGCTATTTCAAGTCAATTTGTACATTGTAATGTACCAGGTAGGCTAGGTGAAGCAGGAGCAGTGCTGGCGTCGTCGGGGGACGTGCAGGGCGGCGTGCGGCTGTGGCTGCGGGGGGGCCGCGCGCGCCGCGCCGCACGCACGCTGCTACTGCACCCACACCTGCTGCGGGACACCGACCTGCTGGACGCCGTGCACACGCAGCTCGTACAGGTCTACCTATATACCACTGTGTTTAACTAAATAACACACATAGTACTGTATTTCTGGTGTCGTGGGTTTCGTGGTGGCCCGGAGGTTGAAGACACCTGCTTCTCATGCATGAGGGTGCAGGTTCGAAACCTACCAACGGCAAGTACCAATGTGACTTTTACCAAGTTACATGTACTTTCTAAGATTATTTAAACACCACTGACCAACGGTGAAGGAAAACGTCGTGAGGAAACCTGGACTTATAATTTCTAATTATAAGTTTGAAATCGCCAACCCGCGTTGAGCAAGCGTGGTGATTAATGCTCTAACCTTCTCCTTGTGAGAAGAGGCTTTGCTCAGCAGTGGGCATTTATAAGCTGTTGATGATGACTGAATTTCTGCTTACATAATGTATTGTTTTGTAGGCGAAAACTAGGCAATGTCTTAAAAATCAGCCCTTGAGAATATGATTGTTTTTATACCCTAATACATTAATTGTATCGTTTTTTCGTCTAAATTTTGTATACTATCTACACAACTCAATCAGGATTTTTGAACATTATAATTCTGAGGTTGTCTAAAATCGTGTCATTAAAACACGTTATTTAGTTTCATCTTAAATTACATATATGAATAATAATCCTATTGTAATTTTACGTAAGCAGCAAGAATATATCGTTTGTAGCCGTATTTTTTTCATTTCAGGAAGAATGGTGGGAGACGGCGGGCGAAATATCCGAGCGTAAAGGTGACACTCGTGCCGCCGTCGAGTACTACGCCAAGGGAAATAATTATGCACGAGCTGTTCAACTGGCTAGAGAGGTACTTCGTTGTTTTGAAATATTGTTTCACAACGCTATTTTTAATGTTTTATACCAAAGTATTAATTTCAATTAAGATTTTTAATACCGTGTAAGACTTTGAAAGTCAAAAATATTCCATTTAAATGATTTTTAGATTATTTTCCAAAAATCTATCCAAGTTATAAAAACAATTTTATTCCGTGTTCAACTTCAGGATATCATGTTATAAGTAGTAGTAACGTGTTTGAGAGCGGTAACCGGAGTAATATTGTTGGGTCAGGCATGCCCGGGAGAAGTGACCCGGCTGGAGGGCGAGTGGGGCGCGTGGCTGGTGGCGGGGCGGCAGGCGGGGGCGGCCGTGCCGCACCTCATCGAGGCCGGCCAGCCGCGCGCCGCGCTCGACGCCGCGCTCGCTGCCCACCATCATAGGAAGGCTCTGCAGATACTACAGGTAACACTGCTGAGGACTGCAATTCTTTACCAGTCTATATTTCCTGAAAGGTAACTTGGGTGTCTTTAAGGCAAGAGTGAATACGTTGCTTATGGACAGACGTGCTCCATCGTAGGTCGAATCAATGCTTACCATCAGGCGAGATAGAGGCCCAACGTCGGTCAATCAAAAAAAAAAAAACGCTTGCTATTTTTTTAACTCAAAGAAGGAAATAACTTATAAAACCCTTTGCTCAGAAAACAGAAAGTGGACTGCCAGACTCTCATTGGCTAAAACTTTCCCGGTCTAGTTTGACATGTGGGTACGAGAATGCGAAAGACGTAGATGATGCATTCTGTCGTAGATAATAGTGTCGTGGGTGTCAATAATGGTAAAACATCGAACTATAAAATTAACAACAAACCTACATGATCAAACAAATCACTTTTCTTCAAAGTTAACTCCTGTCTGTTTTGCATCACTAAGCCATTTACGGCCACTAAAAGAAGTTATTAGCATTTTTATACATTCAGTGCATCTGCAATTTTGTACAAGAGCCTTAGCCTTAGCCTTTTCTTGTATCGTTTAATTTGATATGTTGACTGCCTCATTGGCCGAGTGGTCGCAAGTGCGACTGCCGGGCTAGGGATCTCGGGTTTGATTCCCGGGTCGGGCAAAATATGACTGGGTTTGTAAAAACCTCAGTAGTAGCACGAAGTCTGGAAACGTGCCCGGTATATGGCAATAGGCTCACCCCCTATTACATGGGACTCATAACATAAATATTAAAAAGTAGGTGTTACATTGTACAGTGGCATAATGTGCACCTCGGCCTACCCCTTCGAGGATAAAAGGCGTGATGTTATGTTAATTTGATATGTCTACCAGAGGTCACTGATATCCTATCGGATTCAGAGTAAATGATATTGACATAAGGTTAATGTAAATTACCACGATAAATGTGGATGGTCCCGACCGATAAATAATTGAATCACCCACCTGTTGGTGATTGGATATTACATTGATGAGGTTATGTTTACACAATATTTACCTAATCTAGTTGATTGTGATTTCCAGGCTATAGACGATAAGGAGTCCATCAGAGAGCAGTGTGAGAGACTTGGTGATCACTTTATATCGACCCGGGTAAGTTGAAATTATTATTAATATGAAAATTATACGGGGATTCAATAAAGTCTTTCAAAGACACTCTTTCTCTTGACCCTATTAACTAGTACTGTGGTCGACACAGGGCCTTAAAGAAATTCGGTTGAATGTTAGTTTTATATATGGCGTGTTTTGCATTTACTCAACACAAACCACATTTTTGAGCTCCTGATTATTGGTGTTGACACAATACATGTTCATATAACTTGTGAAAATCACAGTGTGGATCAACCATTATTTAAAAAAAAAAACAAAAACAAACCTTTTACTTACTGAGGCTATCTTTAAAAAAATGGTATATAAAAATTAGCATGCTCGTTATTCAGGAATGGGAGACAGCAGAACGCGTGCTAGTGTCATGCGGTATGTCGGAACGTTGCGTTCGAGCGTACAATGCTGCGGGGCGTGTAGCAGACGGACTAAGGTTGGCCGCCGCACAACTATCCGAGGAACAAACTCGAGACATATACATGCCACTAGCTCAACAACTGCGACAAGATGGACAGTTACGGAAGGCTGAACAAATATATATCGGGCTTGGGGAACCTGATGAGGCTATCTCTATGTATAAGGTACGATTTACCATTTATGTTTTTTGATATTCATCATCACTATCATCATGAACTGTGTGCTGAACAGATCAACAGACTTACCCAATATTCTTATGGCTTTTGGTTTCATGTTAGAATGTGGAAAAGTAATATTTGGTGTATTATAAACTGTAGCCGGAGTTTAAAACGTTTACTTGTAATGAAATCTTACGACAAATCTATTGAAATTAAGTTTTTTCAAACATCTATTTGTCTTTTGTCTATGTTATCGCTCTGAAAATGTAGATTGATTGCTTTATTACTTACTAACAAATATTCCACCTTTAAGTTATGTTGACAAATAAAATCACCAATGCTAAAAGTAAAACTAATATCTTATATCGGTAAATGGTAATACCAGGAGGCATCTCAATACGAAGCGATGCTACGTCTAGTATCAGTGCACCGTGCCTCGCTACTGGAGGCCACGCGGCGTCACGTAGCGCAAGCGTTACACGCCTCGGGAGATCTGCGCGCTGCTGAGAATTACTACATACAGGCCGGTTAGTGGCACTATTTATGTATAGTAATCGATATACATAATGTATTTTTTATTCAAAATTCATTCTTAAAGTAATATTATTTTTCAATTATTTTTGATAAAAAAAGTGTTGAGTAATTTTCACTTTAAATGTGCTCTTAATAAATTATAGCAGTTATATTTGTGTATGATTGATTGCTTTTAGAATGTAATGATACATTTTGTTTCATATAGGGGATTGGAAAAGTGCAATACAGATGTATCGTTCAGCGGGACAATGGGAGGGCGCAGAACGTGTTGCGCGTGCGCATGCACCCAGCGGAGTGCAACAACAGGTACGGTGTTACGTAAATTAAGTTACTCTCTCTTAAACATATCTAACTAACTGAAGGGAGCTAGATACACAGTTAAGTGATTTCTAATTTTTTGGCAGTATTCTTTTTGGTGTGTAACCCTTAGACTTTATACTCAATCGTCATGATAATTATTATCATACTAGTCATAACTCCACTCCATCCGTTGAAGAACATAAAACATCTTCCCTTAGATTTTCTCATCGGCTAATAGGAAGCTACTGACATGAACATGTATAAAATAAACAATGTTTGTAAGTAACAAAACAATATGTATGTAGGTGGCGCTGCAGTGGGCCGCGGCGCTGGGCGGCGCGCCGGCCGCGCGACTCCTGGCGGCGCGTGGGCTCGCTGCACTCGGGGCGCGCTGGGCACTGCAAGCTCAACGGTAACATTTCTTAGCATATTTATTGCCAATAATTATAATTCACCAACAGCTATAAATGCCCACTGCTGAACAAAGCCTCTTCGCACCCGGATAAGGTTTGACCATTAATCACCACGCTTCCTCAATGAGGGTCGGCGATTACAAACTTATAATTAGAAATTATAAGCCCAGGTTTCCTCACGATGTTTTCCTTCACCGTTTGTCGGTGGTGTCTGTCTAGATTATCTTAAAAAGTACATATAACTCGGAATAAGCTACATTAGTAGGTTTCGAACCCGCACCCTCATGCATGGGAAGCGGGCGTTTTAAACCTCCGGGCCACCACGACATTACAATTATGTTGAAGGTTTTCATTATCGATATATTATATAGTATTAAAATTTGAATTGAAATAAATTGGAATAGATGTTAGTTTATGTCTAGCCTGCGTGGTTGGAGCGCTATAGGTATAAACTGCTGTCTACATCTATCTACATCATCGTCATCTACATAGCATCACGCCTTGTATTATTTTCTAGCAAAAACTCAATTTTAAACCAAGCTGTGTATTCCTGCGTATAAATCATATTAAGCTAATGAATATTAATCAATTTTTCATGTTTAATGTAACATAGATGGGACATCGCAATGGAGCTATGTTCTCTTGGTGGAGGCATGACTCGCAGCGAGGTAGCGCGGGCTGAAGCTGCAGCGTTAGCAGAGGAAAAGCCTGATGAAGCTGAGGCCGCGTTCTTAAGGTACGTACAGGTGTTACTATATATGTTTCTGTAAAATGGATACTTAATGTTACAATATATATTATTCTTAATATACTCTTTATTATTATATAAGAAGGAATTCATTTTTCTCTTGGTCACGGCATCACGCGTGAATGGTGGATCGATTTCACATAATCTTTTTTGTAGTTGTATTTATTAGGAGAAGGTTCTTAAGATAGAAAAAAACCTGACAATCCTACGGGAACGGGAAAAAACGGGATTGCGCGTACGAAGTCGCGGGCAGAAGCTTGCATATATTATAAAACGTCCTCACGTGTCGACATTGTGAATAGGCTGGTTAATGACCAAAGAAAATGTTATACGATATAATTACTTTCAGGTGTACAGTATTATCATTGTTTAAATTGAAACACAAGTTATACAAGGTGTTATATAACCCGTGCAGGGCCGGCGCGGCGGAGCACGCAGTACGCATGTGGCTGCAGCATGGCAAGCATCAGAGGGCACTCGCGTTGGCTGAACAACATGCTCCTGCATTGGTCAGATATAGTTTAATAGATAGTATATCTATTGGTTGGTTTATCCAGTTATATGTGTAAATTCCCACTCCTGATATTTTTTTAAAATAATTGATTGTTGCAATTTTTTTCTGGAATTTTTTATACTGGTTGTTTTTTGTAGAGTTACAAATATACTTTGCTTTCTTTTAAGGTTGAAGAAGTGTTAGTGGAAGGAGCACGGGCAGCTGCTGACCGCGGAGACTTGCCGCAGTTTGAGACGCTCATGATTAGGGCCAATCGACCTCGCGAAGTAGTGCAACATTATAAGGACTTGGGTAAATTGTTTATTGTACCTATTTTTACCTTTTAAAAGACTGAGAACACGATCAAGCGATTCGTCTCTTATTCCATAGAAAGTTTTAAATAATAATTTCAGGTTATACAAATTGCCAGTGCAACAACGAATCACCTAATGATGCGATATATATGTGTAATTTATCAAGACATCCCAATAGGATTCTGCAGTAATATTTTTGTACAACAGAATTATGGGACGAAGCATCTCGTGTATCTCGTGAATACGTCCCGGAGAGTCGTTCAAGCGAGGAATCAGTACCGGACGACGTACCGGCGCTACTGCAGCGCGCCGCGGAGCAAGCGGACGCGGCGCAGTGGTGGGAGGCGGTGTCGCTGCTGGCCGCCGCCAGCGCCACCGCCGCCACGCACGGCGCGCCGCGCCTGGCCGAGCGGGCCGCGCTCAGGGCGGCGCGCCTGGCCAGGGACCATCTGCACCACGCCCGCCGACGCGCTGCTGCTGATATGCTCGCCGAAAGGTACTTAAACATACGTGACACCTACATGTGCTTTTGTCATAGAGATGGTAGAGGAGTTGCACGAGATGTTTCAGAAGTTGTTCTATGAACTGAGTCATCCTATAATTACCAACAGGTATTACGCTGTTACAAGTATTAAATTTATATAATACTCAACCTTTGTTGAAGAATCATGCCTATGGTCACGCGATTAAAAAATCAGTCAAAGTCAGAAGTAACAATTATTGATGAATATCTGTTATTCTTTCACATTCAGATTCGCTGCAATTGGTCAGAGTGATATCGGAGAACAACTTCGAGCGGCACTCACTGAAGGTTATGCAGCTGATGATGAAGCTCCAGGTAAAATAGATCAATTAATAAAGGTCTTGTTTTTAAAAATCAATCCGTTCCATAGAAATCTGTCTAGATAAAAAATCATATTTTTTTAAATGATGCTAAGAACTCACATCTTATAAGATACTCAAAATTATAGTAGAATAACAACAATATGCAAATTGGTCAATATAATAAAGCAAACAATTCATATAAAACAGGTACATCAACAGAATACGAAGAAGAGGAGATAGAAGCTCCTCGAGAAGTAGAACCAGAAGTAGAAGCCGAGTCAGAAGCATTAGAGAGACTAGCTCGCGCCGGGCACTGGCAGCGCTGCCTGGCGCACGCCGGCCGCGCCGCGCCGCACTACGCGCTCCGATACGCGGCGCATCTGTTTAAGGCGCACCCTGTATGTATTGTTACGCTCTTAACGACGACTTCTTCAATATATAATGAAATTGTGGTGTTCTCATGCATATAACAACGCAAAAACACTCATTTGCATCGTATAATCGGTTAAGATAGAACTGCTCATATTTGTTTTTAGACTGTAAAGTTTAAAAGACCTTCACATTCAGCGTTATAATTCAATATTAATCATAAAAGTTACTTCACCTTTGACGGACGAGTCATCTATGACTATTTCACCTTATTTTTCACGCAACCTTTTTCATTTATAGCGCATGGAAGGCATAGACATTGAAAGTGAAGAAGCTCCAGAAGTATTAACGCAAGTTCTAGACGTGTTGCGTCAGTACTTGGGCAATGAGTCGGGCATCGACTCTATATCTTCAAATGATGTACCATTGGCTAAAGCAGTGTGTTCTGAGCTTTTACTTCGAGTGTCTACTGCTCCTAAAGCAGTGACTGCGTTGAAGGATGCTGGCGCTGTCATGGTGGCTGCAGGGGCTGAGGATCGAGTGCTGCAGGTTAGGTTTGGTGTTACTTTATTATTTTGCTCAGCCCGTACAAGTATTGAACATAGAATTTCGTTATTATGACTATCATCACTTGACCAATATTTTTCTAAATTAATATAGTCGATAATAGTTTTTAATTATTATTATTTTTACTGCCTCGTTGGCCGAGTGGTCGCAAGTGCGACTACCGGGCAAGGGGTCTCGGGTTTGATTCCCGGGTCGGGCAAAGTATTACTGGGTTTTAAAAAAAAATATCAGTAGTAGCGCGGAGTCTGGAAATGTGCCCGGTATATGGCAATAGGCTCACCCCCTATTACATGGGACTCATAACATAAATAGTGAAAAGTGGGTGTTACTTCTGTGTGCACCTCTGCCTACCCCTTCCGCGCTAAATTTTTTTTAAATTTAATAATAAATTAATTTAAAAATTAAAAAAAAATATAAATATAAAATAAAATACTAGCATAGATCAAATAGCCAGTAACATCCCAGCGCTAGATCTAAAGTGCCGTACTCATAATTTGGCTCTATCTGATCACGATACGGGTCAAACGTTAACTTTTTGCATTAAAGCAACAAATAATAATTCAAAACCTATAAAATTTTGGTACGATATGAAGAGGGATTACAATAAGGATAATATAACAAAGTTTTTGAATTGCTTAGCAGCCTTAAGTTTTGTAGAAATTTACGAGGAAACATGCTGCAATAAGGCTTTTAATACATTTCACGATCTATTCACGCTTTTCTATAAACTATGCTTTCCAGAAATTCTCGTTAAGAAGACCAATAAACCTATAAAAAACAAATGGCTAAGTAAGGGCTTAAAAATATCATGCATTAAAAAACGAACTTTGTACTACGAATATCAACACAATGCTGTAAGTAAAAGTTATCACAAGAAAAAATATCACAATTACACAAAGATCTTAAAGAAATGTATATCACAATCACAAAGGATTAACAACAACATTTTTTTTAATAATTCTAAAAATAAATGCAAAGCGACATGGTCAATTATAAAAAATAACTTAAATAAACCTAGTAGTAGCACCTTTATAAATGAATTAATATTTAATGGTAAGAAGATTACTAATTCTAATGACATATGTACTCAATTTAATAATTATTTTATCGAACTGACACAACAGGTACAAAAAGACAATTATGACACAAACAACATTGACATTGACAATAATATAAATACTTTATTTCTAACTCCGTTAAGTCCGATTGACGTTATCAAAATTATTAATTCATTAAATAACACGAATGCGACTGGATATGATGAGGTAACCACTAAAATAATTAAATTAAGCGCTAAATTTATAGCGACTCCACTTAGCTACTTAATTAACCTCTCTTTCGAAGAAGGTGTTTTTCCATATAGGTTAAAACAGTCTATAATCAAACCACTATTCAAAAAAGGGAACTGTACTGATGTAGGCAACTATAGACCCATTACACTGATCCCAATCTTTTCAAAAATATTTGAGAAGGCAATGCATGACAAGATAAATAGCTTTGTGACTAAATTTAATTTAATTGTTGAGAATCAGTTTGGTTTTAGGAAAAATAGCTCAACCACCCTAGCTTGTTTTTATTTAGTGAAACAAATTACTGAAGCTCTTAATAGTAAACAGTCTACTTTGTCTATATTCTTAGATATGAGCAAAGCCTTTGATTTTGTACCACACGAGCGGTTACTTTGCAAACTGGAGAGGTATGGCATAAGGGGTAAGGCGCATGATTGGATTAAAAGTTATTTATCTAATCGCCAACAAAGAACTGTCATCTCTAGGATAGAAAATAATACTAAAATGACATATAGTTCAGAACTAAAAGTTAATAATTTCGGAGTACCGCAGGGTAGCGTACTAGGTCCGCCATTATTTATACTATTTATTAATGATCTTAAGAAATGCTTGAAATGTGGCTGCACCCAATTTGCCGATGATACTACTCTGACAATAAAATGTTCTAATAAAAATGACATAGAAATTGATGCTAATAATGAATTAATCAACGTGATAAAGTGGCTATCGGATAATAATCTACAAGTTAATATTGAAAAAACTAAAATAATTCAATTTCAAACATGTAACTGGTCAATAATCCCGACGGCAATTAAATATAATAAAGCTATTCTTCAACCAGTACCATCAACTTTGTTTTTAGGAATAGTTATTGACGATAAATTGAACTGGAAAGAACATGTGGAAAGGGTATGCGGTAAGCTTGATAGGTTTGTTTATGCTATCCGGAAGTTAAGACTAGTATCCAGTAAACAAACAGTTCTAAACGCTTATCATGGTTATGTTTCATCGGTATTGAGATACGGCCTAGTCATATGGGGTAATTCAGTGGATATAGAAAGAGCATTCTTAGTACAAAAAAAAACTATCAGAGCCATGAGTGGAGCAGATTATTTGGATCATTGTAAGCCTTTATTTAAAAAATTTAAGATTCTTCCACTCCCTTGTTTATATATTTTTGAGGTTTGTCTATTTGTTAAGAGACATCCGCATTTATTTATATTGGATGAACAAATCTCTGAGAGACTGAAAAAAATACATGCCGGTAAATTACTAGTACCTTCTCAAAGATTGCAACTGTATAGTAGAAATGCCAGTTGCATGACAATAAAAATTTATAATAAACTACCACCTGCATTGAAAAATTTACCAATTAATAAATTCAAATGTAAAATGTTTACTTGGCTCCTGGACATGTGTTTTTACTCCGTTAACGAATTTTTAAATCATCCTTTTTGACCTTGTAATTAATATTTGATGCTATTAGAATATTGAGAATATTGACATTATGATTAATATATATATATTTTTTTTTTAATTTGGAACCAGTAACTATGACATGTATTTTCTTTATTTTTTTTGTTTCGTAATTATATTTTGACATAACAATTTGGACGAAAAATGTATTATTGTTTTTTTTTTAATGAATAAATTGTATCAAATGAAGATTATTGTAATGTCTAAAATTTGCATGGACTTAGCTTATTTAATATTTCTACACCAGAAATGGTAGTATATGTGTTTCTATATTTAATGTAAGATCTCAGTGTACCATGTACTTAGAAATAAATACATCTTTATCTTTATCTTTATCTTTATCTTTATATTTAAATAATATTAAAAAATAATAAAAACAGCATTAAAGAAAATAAATTGTTTTGCTTGTTCTAGGCAATAACGTTATTATTAGCACTTCACGTGCCCCTGCTAGCGCCAAAAGCAGCGAGAGCTTTACCTCGGTACACAGACATCATTGTTGCTGATGCAGGTAAAACTAAAAATATTGTTTATATCGTAGTAATTCGCGCGTTGTCATTTAAGGGGTATGCGTAATAAAATAACCGAAACTTCCGAATAATAATATTGTTTGAGCATCATAACAAAAAAGGTGACGCGTCGTAGCAGGTGAGCTACGCGTCATCGCAGGCGAGCCACGCGTCGTAGCAGACGAACTACGAGATCGTAGCACAGTGGCTACGCGTAGCAATTGACTGGTTACGTGACGTAGCAGATAAGCTGTGGTCGTAGCAACCAATGGTAAATCGATGAGCTATGTGTCACAGAATAAGCATGATGACTTTTTTCAAGTCTGGTGGTTTAATTTAAAATATTCTAGTTTTTCTTTTTTTATGGAATGTAATCATTCGATTTTATTGTAGTAAAGATAATAGTGATATTATCTTTTTTATGGGAATATAGCCTACTACGCCAGCGGTATGGCGGTTCGTGCGGAAGGTCCAAGTGGAGCCCGTGAGGCGTTTGTACTACTCAACCGCTGTCTAGATCTAGCAGAAGCTGCCGATGATGATTCTGCACATCTATTGGATTATACTGACTTTGGTATTACTTCTTCAATAATTATACCTTTACTTCTAAGTTCATTGGATACAAATTGTTTACAATACATCAATATTCGTAGAGTGTACTGACTGGAGTCACACCCCGCTATTGCTTGATAGTGGTTGCGTACGGGGCGCTGCCCTGGAGGATGCTCGAGAGTGGGTACTCGCGGTCTCAATGGATCAAGCCGTTGAACAGGTAACTGGCAAGCTATTTAATAAACGCATAAATCATACATGTACTATGATTTACCATACCATCATCACATATATCCGATACCACCAATCAGTTCATTTCCACCAGTACATTTTTCGTTTTAAGACATCTCTACAATCTGGGACGACCATTAAAGAAATAACAACTACACAAAAAGCAGCATAAATCAGTGCGATAAATTCAACAACAAGTTCAGTAAGAGCTCAATTTCTTTAAATCGTCTTTACTACACATTTAAGTGGTCGTTTAATGTTCACATTCAAATAAAATGTTATAGTGAGTCCTCCTAAACGATCGCGGCACTCGTAATATGAAGTTCAGTGAACATTTTCATAACAAACAGATTCTCATATTACTCCTCCATTAACCTCACAGCTATCTCCATTTTCGAAGTAACTTTGTAAACTTGACACTTCACATAAATTATTTAGATCGCACTGAGAGTTTCCGGATCAGCGATCTCGTGAGGATCGCGGGATTACTAAAACTTTAAGCTTTTAATAACGAGTTTCCCAACAACGAAAGTTTTATAATGTCTCTTGACTTAGAAGTATTAAATCGATTTGAGATGTAAATCTAATTGGTCTTTGTTAACTTAATTGTGGCCAGATTACGCCTCATCGTTTTGGAAGACAGAGTTACTAATTAGACTCCATTTATTTTGCGTTTTAGAACGAGGGTATTTCTCGGTGAATGAACATTTTTGAACATCTTAATGGGGTTAGTCTAAAGTCGACAATAATTTGATTACAATTAGTTTGAGGTCTTGATCTTGTAATCTAAGTTATTTATATTGTTGAAGGTATTCACCTATTTATTAGTATAAAAATTGAATATTTTTTATACTATTTAACAGACGTTACCGGTTGATGGACGCGGCATGTACGCGTCTAGTGTGGCTGATACAGAGCCTTGCTGTGTGGTTACCGGCTACCCACTAGGATCCAGACTGGTCACTTTTACTAATGGTAAGTCTTTACATTATTCTTAAGAACCAAAGAAATTAACATAATAAGTTTGAACGATTCTGTGACTTTGACAAAACGAAACTGTCACTAAAGTTCAGCGGCTGACAAAGGTCACTAAATCATTTCCTTAGCTTCAACTTCTTAACGACTATTAACTTTATGACTGACTCCTAAAGTTAAATACAATCTGAAATATAAGCATGTAACACAAGTAATCTTTTGTTACGAAACCCTTATAATCGTTGTTTTGACAAATAGTAATTTTTCATACATCGGGTCCCTAGCAAGTTGATTAATTATGGGTGTCGTGAAGCCGTCCCGAAGCGGGTAGGGGCGCTGATGACATATAGCCTTATTAAGTGGCGGCTCGACGAAGCTCGCACGTTATGATACATTAATTAAACATGGCCTCTATGATGTTATACGTTATATTATGATAACAACGCGTCAGCCTCTAAGTACTTCCCGATATTGTGTGGGATCGTTTCTTCGTTTTAGACGATTGATACTTTACTTACTGACAGCAACTAACTTTTCTATATATTTACACTAGATTTTTTGTTACCGGGGCTCCGGCTCGACGTGCAGGAGTAGGAACGGGATGGTTTTTAGTCAGTAAGAGTCTGACACTCCCTCCCGCCTCACCCAGGCGGGAGCAGTCATTCGATATAATTTTCCCCCTTAAAAAAAACACTAGATTTTTGATGTTTATATTACAAGTTTCGTGAGACATACTATATTCATTATTATGTTTTCGGCTTACTCACGTAACTGTTTGTTAGAGGCTCATATTCATGAGCAATATTCCGGGATTTATTATACTTATGTTAGGTAATGTATTAAAAAGTCCTAAATTATGTCAAGGTCGTTGTGCAAACCGTGAATGGTGGTCTCGAGTGGTGAGTGCATCTCGCAGTGGTGGTTTACCAGCCGCCTTACTGCAACACGTGGAGGCCTGGTGCGGGCCAGCAGACTATCACCATGTATAGACATTCTAATGACATATCTTGACCCTTCTTTTTATAGTTCACACGTCAATAATTATGCTACAATTGTATCTGTGGTTATTGTTTATAACTGTTTGCCTATCTCTATTTAGTACTATGCAACGTTTTAAATTATTGTGATGGTAAACGTAGTGAACAGATTAGGGGTTTCCATAAGATAGGTGTTTTAGTGTTATCGTGTGGTTTTGCAAATAGTTGTATGTTCTTATTATTGTATGTTGTTACAATAAAAAGATTTAAAAACATAATTTCTTTCGTCTTGCCTTGTTTTAATATATTTTCCTTGTATTGTTTCCGTACAATAAAACCAAAGGATGGCTTCTTGTTTCGAGGAAATAATAAAACGTATTTTTGTTGTTTATATCGCTATAATAAACTCATTTGTTATCACATTTATTTAATAATATACTTTGACACACATATGTATTTGTTACGTACTAGTATTTGTAGAGATTCATTCCGTTCCTATGATTAAAGCTGAAAAGTGGGTGCAAGAAGAACTGGTTTCAGTTTATTATTGAATACAAACATTATTGAATCAGTGTTTGCGGTTTAGGCCATAAAGTTATTTCTAATATTTGCAGAGGCTTGTGAAAGCGTTAGTCATTTTCAGCGTATATCAAGGCACGGAATGTGGAAATGATCGTGTTCTAAGAAGTAACGATATATAACTATAGCTAAAGTAAGGAAGGTACATAGTATGATATCCGATACCACATCACAAGTCGGGCTGTGGCGAGCACGGCGCGGGACGTGTGACCGCCGGTATCGGGGCTCATCGAGGCACATCATAGATTACGTTTTACATACATACGTCACTTACGTAAGAATATTACTTTACTCTAACATATCAAGATAATAAGCGTAAGTAGATCGATCCTAACACTTTGTCAGAATTGATAGTTACATTATTAAATATCTAGATTTTTCATTGATACATTTATAAATATTATGTATATTTTGTTCAACTTAATCGAATACAAAAATTATAGTGTAAAAATATACTTAATACCTGATATATACTTAGGCATTTGAATTATTCGAGTATTTTAATATTTAAGTAGTAATCTATAAGTGAATATTTAGATCTCTCTAATAAATACTTCTCTCTCTTGGGAAATGTACAACCACGATAAACAAAATAAAACGATGCACCGTAAACTCTTTGGAGTACTTGGTGGCAGTGGCACTAACATGGCACGTGCTACCAAGTGACGTCACTGAGTGTCAGTGCCACTGCGCACACTCCGTGCTACGGTGACTGTAAGCAAGAGAAATATTGTCGGGTGAGCCACTAAGCTATGATAGCACTGGAAGAACACAGATTTCGACAAGATATATTTTACATTACATGTAGGTACTTTTCACAGGATATGTAGTTTGTTACTAACACCAATGATCAAAATATCATTTATCTCACGAATATTAAAATATCTACTAAATGAGTTTGTGTGTTCTAACTAAACGAGCCGGCGCGATATGGTTGTGTCGCTAGGCGGTGCCGCTCTAAGGGCCACTAGCTCGCCCTCGCACTACACTCGTTACTTAATATAAACAGATCACATCAATATTACAATGCAGAAATGTCTGGTCTACATCTATGACATGATTTCTAAACACGTAATATTGTAACATCTTTGAAATGTACTAGTTATAAAGGTATTTGTCAGAAATGTGTACATATTTTTTGAATGAAGGTATTATAAAAGATTTACTATAAATTCTATCACGAAAATGTTGTGCGTAGAAAATTTTGAAAAACAATTTCACAATAACTATTTACAGTTCATAGAATAAGAATATTGACACGAAGAAACGATTTTTTACCACTTTGGTATAGAGTGATGATTTGTAAAACAAGTAGGTATACTTTGGAAAATTCACTAAAGCACAACCTTGGAAGAATAGTATCTAGACGCGCTTACTTACTAGAATAACTTTAGAAATGTATTAATCATATAAGGCAAAGTGTCAAAGTTGGGGTTTATTAGATGACGTATGTTATAAGATAGTGTTGGTTCGAATATTTAAATACTTAGAAATAGGTACAATGGTATATGTACTGAGACACTAACGATTAGTTAATATTCCATTAAGAACCATGACAGTCAAGAAGAAAAATGTTCTTTAACTTGTACGATACTTTCTAAGAAAGTTTAGTGAAAGTGATAGTTACCAAGAGATATACATTATACATCGCACATTGTTTCCTTATATCTATTAAGTAGGTATATGTATATATAGTCTATTGTACTGCACATGAAATGTTCTACAGTGTGTTGTACTAAGCTAAATATTCTGAATATCCTGAATTATATGGTAATTACACATTTATAAGTTAAACTGAAAACTGCTACAGACATGCGTTTTACAGGGTTAAGCACAATCATCATGATATTTCATCATTTAAATAAAATACAATATCCCTTGAGCTAATAATAAATTACTATATCCAAGGCCTAATCGTTTATTAGGCACATCCACATTTGGACATAACATACACACTTAAAAATTTGAAGCACTTTTCTACAATAAGCTCCTTTTCATTAAACTACAGTCTAAGATGGTGTTGTTAAATGCCCTGAGAGATTTCCTATTATGAAGGCAGGTCAGAACCAGGGGGAATCATTCTTGATCTGGAGGCACTATAATAATTAATGCTCTTATTATTTTGACTGTGAATTGAATGAGCCAAGAATAACGTCACGTTACATACGTTGTGATCTGTACTACACCACAGTATTTACAATGAGGGAATAAATACAACAAACACATATATCAGTCCAATACTTGCAGCATTGTGGGCGAATATGTATAATAAACATGCACGGCGGAGATAAATACAATCATATTATTTCATGGAACGTATCGAGCCGTCGAGGTGCGCTAGTTGTCATCACGGCGCTCCGGCGACGGCTCCCTGGATCAGTCGGGCGACTCGTCGTTGGCGAAGGAGGTGGCAGGGAACAGTGGGTACCAGCCGTACGTGCGCTGTGGAAGCGTGAGCTTGTCGAGACAGATCTCGGCACCTCCCAGAGCAAGGTTGTGCTCGAACCCGCCGCAGCGCTGCCACAGCATCACCACTAGAGTGCGCCCTAGCGCCTCACTCGCCTAAACATTTACATACTTCATGTTTATATACAAGTTATCTCCAAAAAGGCTACCAATTTTATGGAATAAAATGCTATTGAATGTGCCATTTACAAAGTTTATCAAAAAACTTTTAAGAAAATAGGCATGCAAAAAGGACTTCCTAAAATAACTAAATATTTTTAGAATATTAACTCAGATCGTGTGACTGCAACTTATTCGACAATAATATACGTAATGTGGTAGTGATTTTTAGAATAATCCCGAACTTGATGCCCGACATGTCGAATAGACTCGCCTCCTATACTTATATGGGCTTTATAATATAACTGGCGAAAAGAGGATGTTTCATACTTTCATCTACCTCTAATACATACACATACTATCTCTGCTTACTCCTTCGGAAGATAAAGGTTATAGTAGGCAATAAGTAAAATCAAAAAAAGTTGTGTTGGTGTTTTCGGATGGTTTTAAATTATGTTGACAGTTATTATATTAATTTATTAGTATTGAGATAACAAGACATGCTACTGATAAACTACAAAATAGATTAAAGAGTGCGGCAAAAACCCGTACGTGTTCTTACTTGTACCTGATACTTGAGCGTCTGTTTGAAGTGCGGCTCGGTAGTTCGCCTGATGACGCGAGTTTTGCGCTTATGCAGCCACTTGTCCCCATCGCGCAGGTAACACTTGACGTACGAGTCCGGTACTTCACCGTTCACGCCATATACGCGACGAGCATGAGATACCTGTTTTATTTAGGAAGCGTTATTATATAAATTTTCATTGCAAAATTCAAAGTACTCAACTTGTTAATGTAGCGTCGTTTATAATACATTTAAAAAGTAATTAGTTATTATTGGCTAATGTCGAACCTCAAGTTCCAGTTGTCCTTTGATCATAATAATGCTAATATTGATCTCGGCATGCAATGGCGGCAGATGAGCGTTCCGCGGCGGCAGCTGGCCGGGTCCGAGCGGCACCGCGTCGTCCTCGTCCGCCAGCGCGTCACAGGCCGCTGCCGCCGGCACCGCCGCCCACATGCTGCCCTTTCGCCCCGTGGCCGTTCCTGCACCACTCACATAAAACGTACTATCACACCGAAAGTGGTCCGCCCGTACTTTCGCTTTAAAGCGATATTCCATTTCAGTTCACGGTTATACGGTTTGCGGGCTTCAAAATATATCTTTACTCTAATTGGTTAAACATTTAAAAGTAACAAAAACCAAAGTACAAAATGATAGTAAACCATTCAATCGAACACTTAAAATGATGAAAAATAAACATTTACATAAAATAAGCACGTCAAACAGCTTCGTGCCAAATGTATACAGTTTTCGTTCACATAGAATCGAATCTTTCCTTTCCTAAACACATAAATGAAAGAGTAAGCGTAATATCGTGTGCAGCCAAGAGTGGAGTCGAATTCTAATAGTTGTCTGAAGCGTTCCTCAATTTATTATGGTAAGCATTCCGTGTCATGAACAGCCATTTATTTGAGTTTTAGGAAAATTTGCGATTTGTGGAGGAGTACCGAAACATAACTCATGCCACCGCTGGCTTCGGCGAGCCGCGAGTGTCTGCTACGTCATGCGCGACCGCGACCTACGCTTGACATACTTGTGTTCTACTTCCCTATTCGAAATGTAAATAAAACGTATTGAATAAAACGTCAACTGAACTACGGCCTAAGTATAATAGGATAATAAATTATATTTACAAGAAATCTAATAGATGCGCTTTGTAACAATGAGTGACATTCGTAGAGGTAATGAAACCAAACATCCTAGGCGACACAATGCCATCAAGATGAACGTAGACGGGCAGCCGAACAGACGGAACACAGAGACAGATGAAGTGAGCGTGATCGCCCGCGGCCGGGCATGCGTCAGGACAGTACAGTACAGACACAGTGAAGTGATGAGAAGCTTCGGGCGCAGCCACATTCAACGGTGCGTGCGCGCGGCCGCCGCGCAAGCGATGTATGACCCATGCTACTACGTGCCCCGCCGTCCACCCTGGCACTCAGCGCGGCACACCAGGCCCGCGAACCCCGCCCCGCTTGGCTGGTCAGATGCAGTCGGAGCGTGATGAACGGGCCTCATGTACTATGCTGTAGCGGCAAGGTGGACAGGCGGGACCTGGCGGCCGTCGGACGTCACAAGGGATCGCGTACACCAACACCGCGCACGAACAAACCCTGCTGGGGAGTACGCGCGGGCGCGGGCACGAACGAGCAGTCGCTTACCGAGGTGCTAACGGTCCGTCGCTGCTGACCAAACAAGCACAACACAGTACAAATCAGTACTACCCTCAATGTTCGCATTGTCTAATGATTTCTGTGATATCTGGGGGGATCCAACTGGACAACTTTACAGATTTCGGGTTCACCTTATTATCGCACATGATTTTTTTTAAGGCAACAAGCCGAAAGGGACGTGTTATAGTATAATTGTGTAAAAAAAACATATAAGAAATAACTTAATTAATCGTGATTGGGTCGAATCTACAAAGGAAGAATATATTGTTGCTAATCAATTACAGAGTGATGTAATATTTATTTAAGTTTGTGTCCGAAATGAAATCTTTAATCTGAAACTTAAAGATAAAGAATTTGGAACAATTTTAATAAAAATTCTTATTTGTACGAATGCAATTCAATATTTATTTCGACATCCGAGTAGCTAAAAATACTTTTTTTCATTATTGAAATGTATATTGGGATACTTGAATATGTTGTGAGGGAGTATAATAGACGTGAGAGACTTACGCCTGGCCGTGGAGCCGGAGAGCGACAGCGTGCGGCCGAGCTCTCCCTTGACAGCGCGCAACGAGCGCAGTATGTCGTCAGGATCGCGTCGCACGCACGACGAACGTCGTCGCTCGTTGCGTCGCGCACTCATCGCCGGCGATACATCGCCACCACCTTCTACACAACCGTCACTAATATACTACCTACAGGTATTGCTTACCTGGCTTTAGTGCAGTACGCCGCCACTCTAGTGCGTTGTTGCATTCGTATTACGCCAAAATAATGTGTAAATAATACATCGAAAGCATTTAAAAAAAGTAAATAAGTAATTATAAATATCAACATGAATTTCCAATTTATTTGTTTTCGTCACAATAGCAGATAATGTTAGGTCAACGTCATAAGTTCCTGGATTTTGTAAAAGATATCATTACCCTTTTCTTGTTGTTGGAATGAGGAGCGACGAGAGCCTGGTAAAGATCGTGAAAAATCTTTGCCAAGCTGGTAAACCTCCACTTCAAGAGTTTCTGACTGCGAGGAGCCCCGCCTGGACCCTCCAACCCACGCATGATCTGGGTGCAGTAAAGATGCACATTCGCCGATGGAATCGACGTCGTCTGAAAGATATAATAACCATGTATATTTTATGACCTTGTGGCAAAACAACTACGGATCCTAAGTCAAGGTATACGTTAAGCGCGGATCCAAATCATAATTAAAGTTGTTTTATCAATGTTTTACATGCATATTTTTACACCGAAACATCAAAGTTTTCAATGGTTGTCACTCACTAATCACATTTAAATATTTCAATTGAGATGTGTATACTTATCTTGATAACATTATAAAGTATGTATGGACATGCCATATAATCGTGGTCCTTTGACTTCATCCTAACAAACATTAAACAATATCCGAAAAAAGCATGGTTAGTGAAGCAGATTGAATTTGGAAATGAAAGACACATTGTTAAGTAGAACACATAGAAACATTACACAATGTCGATAAAGGGAGACATGAAAAGCTGGGACCATAGATCTAATTCTACATTCGGTGAGAAGAGTTTTAAAAGAGCGCGAACGTAACAGGATTCGTTTTAGTGAGCATAACTGTCGATGTAGTTCGACACCAGCTTCTATTCAAATGTGGTTCTAGAATTGTATAGATACTACCACTGCCATAGATTTTAATCTTTTGGGTCAAGTTCGCGTTCTTTTGTACATCCAAGGCTTGATCACTGATAGTTGTAGGTGTAAGAAAGAATAGTGTTGAAGTTGATAAGTGAGCAGCGACCACAGTGAGACATGGAGGGGTTGGATCCGCGTTCGGTACCTGACACTGAACGCTGGGAGGCGAAGTCTCCGCGGCGTAATGCGCGCGCACCAGTGAGCGAACCGCGAGGTGATGCGTTAGCTGAGCGGGGTCCACGCTCTTCCAGGGTCCACCATACTGCACGTTCCTCTGCGAATGCTTTTTCGATTTCCATCTGCAAAATTTGTATGATTTATCAAAAAATTTCACCATGGTATATATAGGACTCAATATTCACAATATTGGACACATTTTCCAGATAGTTAAAATTCCAAAAACAATTAAAAATAAAAAACTTACTGTGCATTCTCCGATCAAAACGGGGTCAATGCCTGGACAGGCATCCCATAAAGTAAGCTCTAAAGCTCGGCCAGCAAGCAAGTCAGCTGTAAGACCTCCAAAGCTTAGCGTAGCATTCCACACCGGGCTACACGAAGCCGAGGCTGGGTCGGTTTCCACAGGAGGGCAGCTCTCTCTATGAAAAAAATATGATTGAAGTAAGTACCTACACTGTATGATTACCGAAGAAAGAAGTATAGTTAGTCACACTTACAGTGAAGGTAGGAGGCGTATCCTAGCGAAAGCTTCTGGTTCATCTCCATATCCCAAAGTGTGGTCTCGAGGTGGTAAGTCGTCAGCCGCGATGAGTACCACCACGAGCTTGCGGAGGTCGCATTCGAACCACACCTGCAGTTGAGCACGAGCTGGCGGGCGCTCGCGTGCGCGCTCTGCTCGGTCTTGCTCCTACACGTAAAGCAAAACCCATGACATACCACACCATCCACTTTAAGTTGTACAACAATGCGACGAATAGGGTTATTGGCTTCGAATATTTTTCATATATGTTACTGCTAAATTATAACCATCTTTAATTTCAAACGACAGAATATGCACGTTCTCAGTGTGCCGAGAGGACACTCGTTTTGTTGAAACAGAGTTTCGTTCGTTTTTGCAATGGTTAATTATATTAATTTTGTGTTATATAAATCATAAGGTTGATGTATAGATAAATACATATTTTATAGTAGTATTATTAGTATTATATAGAATTTGTATATAGAATTATCTTTATTTCGTATCATTGACTTTTTATAACGTGTTCGCGTCCTCACGACACAGCGAGAACAATCAGTTTCATGTATAACAGGAACATAACACAAATATGAAAACATGCACGCCAATAACCCTAATATGTGTTTCGAATATATTTTTACAACAAAGTCACATGGTATATACAACTTGTTCACGCATGTCTACTAAACAAACAAGGGTGACGTCGGCATAAATGAAAACATAACAAAATATAATAATTTCCCAAGATCTGTTATGCAAAGTCTAAATCAGTTATAAAACTTTTGGGGAATGCAATGTACTTTATCAGTAACATGCAGCAACCATCAGCTATTTATCAATCCTTCATCAGCCAGAGAGAAATTTGTTATACTGTTATCCATTCTGTGCGATTTATAGCAATGCATTCATCACCATTAATTATAAACTTTTACGTATTGTCCATTTCAAATATATTTTATAGTAACATGCGTCGGGCTGAGGCATTTCTATGAAACACAAAGTAATGAATAAAATCGGATGCTCTCATCCGCCATGCAGGAAGCTGTATCATGCTGATACCGGTCTCACAAGCTGCATGTGCCTACATCTGTAGCCGAAATAAAACGTTCACCCGTACATTCTCTAAGGATACTCGTTTGTTATGTGGCCTATGCCTACTATATATCTATAGTGTTTATTGCACAAGCTTCTTATAGGATTTGGGGAAATCTAGAATAAAATCTACTTTGACCAATTGAAGATGTTAGCGAAGGGATATCATTTGTTCTACTGCTTTAGGTCTATAAAATTGAATACAAAAAAATGTCAAATTACTTAATTTTTAAAAGGTTAATTATTTTCTCTTAGTTCTAAAGCACTGAGAAAGCCTTATTTTTGTCTACACTATTCTATGGCCTCTGTAAATGCTTTGTATTTTAATAAAATTTGTTACTAGCCACGTAATTAAATCTGACTTACTTTAGTGAGTTATACAATACTGTAGTGAACATCGGTATCTTGGAGTTGCGAAATGTGTCTATTGCAGAGCATGATGGTATGAATTGCATCGGCGCATTCATTCACAATGACATTAAGTAACAGTTTGTTAATGAAATAACATATTAAAAATTAAAGCGTTAACGATACACACGTGTATTTTCACCATTACATTGACAGAACGAAGTACTGTATTGTACATTTTATGTAGCTTGTACATAAACATATTATTTATATCAATACATAGTATATCACACACAAAGGCTTCATGTTTATAACGGTGCTTGATACTAGATGCACTTATCGACATTGTGCAACTTCATGCATATTTGAATCTGTTATACTGGGTCGTAACAATCAACTACTTAGTAAAGAGCGGTTATGTACATCGTGTCGCTGTAGGGTGTTGTCGTCACATGACAGAAGCGTCGGTGCGCGCCTGTCGTTCAAGGGGTTCCAGTGCGGTGTACCGTGCTGCCACCACTCCAAGCTCCTAACGAGACTCTATTCGCTGCGAACGCCTTCGATGCAAGTGCGGCATCACACTAAACTAAGTCAACAGCAAGACTTGGTAACAGACACTCGATGCGCTAGATATGAGACGGTACAAACGGGAGTGGTGCCGCGCCGCTGCTGGGCGTCGTCGCTTCGCTGCCGCCGGCCTCGCTACCTCGTCGTCCGTGCTGTCCTCTACCTTACTGTTTCACTGCTGTTTTCTTAACTCTTCACTTAAGTCAGTGTATAAAGTGAAATGTTTGTGCCTTTGCCATTGTGATTATAAGTACAAATGTAAAATTTGTTGTTATTGGCCAAGCTGAAAGCTGCGGCGAATCTAGGTCCACTACGTAATATTCGTACTGTCGGTAGACAATGAGCGCTACTCATCCACGGTATCCTATAGATGATAAGAATTGATTCGATGCCGGGACGAGTCCCCTAATCTACCATCGAACACTAAAACTGTAGTTAGCCTCCGACTACACTTACTTATTCGTACGTTTTTCATCAATATTTGTGTATTTGCCGATCTTTCCCTAATTCCGCCTGGTGCCGATGGCGACATTATGAAATTGGTCGGGTGATAGAAAAAATAAAAATCTGAAAATAAGTAGGTAGCATTTTTTCACACACTTCACTTAGGATAGTTATTATATAAACGGTAACGTATAACGAATATAATATGTAGATAACAAATAAAGTTTAAAATATAATATATGTAAGTGTATAAATATTTTAAGTAAACAAACAGAGCATCCCTTTCTCTAAATAGTAAAGGTTAACAAAGTTAAAGTACATCTACGATCGTATATAGAAACACTAATCTCTTACAACTAGACTAACGTGGAAGATGTCTGACTGATTAGTGCTACAGTATCACAGCAGATCAATGGAGACTAGCCCCTGCACTCCGTCCCTATACCCAGCCAAAACCAAAAGGCAAAGTAACGTTTATAACTGACATAAAAGTATGTGCCTTTGGATTATGTTTGGACACAGAACAGGACCGACGGCAGAGCTGCAGTGATCACGCCTCGCGTGGTCTCAGTGACATGAAACGAGCGATGGAACTAAGGAGCCACCATCAACTCTGTCACACGTTAAATATGTAGTTGAAAAATTTTTGTAAATTACATCACATTATTAATGTGTACACTAGTTACTTTTAACAAATTGTTCCATTTTGAGTCGTTCTAGGGCTCGTCTCTTAAAGCTCATCTTCAAAACTAACGAATAATGAATATCAAGTATGATTCTAGTTAGTGGATCATCTTTACTTATCTATTCTAAATCACCTTCCTTCTCGTCGTGTTAGGTACTGAATTTCTTGTAAAATCTTTTGAAAATTGCCTACAGTCTCACTCAGATTTAAAAGAAGATGATCTAATAACAACACGATGCTGAAGACCACACGTAGAATGAATGATCCGAGAAGCGCAGAGGAGTAGGCACCGAGTGACAGTCTCTACTAGAGTTTATGAAGGAGCGAGCGATTGGGCTCAATGTCTCATGGGTTCACAACACATATTGTTACAATTAAAGCCTATGTATGGGTATTATACCGGGGTTTTCGGCAATTTCCGTCGGGTCGGCGAAGATGGTGATTTGTCGGTATCCGGTTCTGTGAATCAAAACACAGACACATGTACTATCACCTAGGTGTGATAAACTGAAATAAATTCAAAATAACAAGAGTTAGAAAAAAGATAAATAAAAGAGAAAACATAATGGTAAAATATACCGTTATACTGCTCAAGAAGAAGGCTCGAGAAATGTTGGTGCGGAACAAGACAGGTAGATAACAAAATGCTGTTAACATTTCAATCAGGTGCAGGTACAGTTTATATCGAAAGGAAAGAATAACTGAAAATAAAGTTAAGAAGAAGATTTCAGCAAAAATATGATTGTGTTATATTGTGATTTGTGTAGGTATTAACTGTCGTGCGTTAAAATGCAGCAATGTTTCTATGTTAGTATAACGTTCATGGTTTGGAAAATATTACATTGGAATGAAGTAGTTCATATTATTCCATGATTTAATTATGTGCGTTGAAGAAAGCTTAGAGCCCCTAGCGAATAAAAGGTCATTGTTTAAGTTTTGTGCTCTATTATATGTATAGCTGTTGTGTATAATTATCTGAGAAATAAATGCATAAAATAGAAGCAAACGTGATGTGAACGTTAGCTACTGGCACAACTTAAAATGGGCCTTTTAATCGTGCACGGCGTCTTCTTGAAGAAATGGTCTGATAATTAATGTGAAATGGATTTATACTAAGTATTATGTGGGATAAGTACCGTATAACGCGTGGTGATGCATAGAGGGCTGGCTAGCCTGCGAGGGTTGGTCCTCCATCTGCGGAGCTGGCTCCACCAGTAGCTCAACACTGTCACCGCCGCGCTCTAGCACCGCGCATACTTCTTCAAAGCTGCGCTCTGTCAGTGGAACCCCGCCCCACTCCAACACCTCCACACAAGAATTTACCATGCAAACTGAATAGCGGCAAACCTACGTACTCATTTATAATCTAGTTCACTCCTTTTTGTTCTTGGATTCGCACTAGGATTTGTGAGGTCTATTATTTTTAATTAAAACACTACGGACGTGAGAGAATAAAAGGCAGGAAACGGCCTAAAATGGAGATAACCCGCACTAAATTTTGAGAAAAGACAATGAATTATTGAATGGGCGATTACTTTTTCTTTTTTTCGGGGTAATGGCTGTGGTTTATTTAGATGATAGAGACAGACTAGTCTCGTATTAATAAAACAAATGCTTCATAAATTAAGTTTAGACTTCATTTATACATCGATGGAACCAGCACCTACATTTATGCTATGGAGATATATGTGAAAAACAAAAGGTGTCATTATGCAGAGTCAAGTGAGACATTCATGTTCTTTCGTATTTATTGTATTGTATTTATTGCAAATATTCTATGTATTAAATACATTATGCCATGTTTAGGTATAATGCTTAATAAAATTGAAAAAATCTTGGCTGGACGAAATTATGAGTTTATCGTCAGAAGTGAGTGCGTTGTTATTGCAAACATAAATGTTATTATGTTACCTTGTCTCCCTGTTGTAGGCCAGCGAGGTCGGCGGGTCCGCCCGGCACGGTCCACACAATGACAGCCTCGCGCCGCCCGCTCGCGTCCGGCTTGCCACCCACAACGCGCATACCGAAACCGCGAGCTGTAATTAATCATTTCCACAGCTAACCTACATACCTTTGTAAAGCTTATATTTCGGTGATTACGTTTTACCACATTTTTTGTAAGTATGACACATACGACAGAGCGTTGTGTATTGTGAAAACCAGGACCACTTTTTACCATCGGTCTTTACGATACAAGCAGTAAGCCATAATGTTACGTTGTTTATGATAATTGTACTGTTTTAAATTTTGGACTTTTAATGGAATATGCAAACTTACAGCGGTGTCCTTTGTCGTTGGGGTCACGACGCAGTGATACGCGGCGTGGTGTACGGTCGTCTACGTCATGAATGACAATCTTTATAGCCTCTGCATCAACTGACATCTGCCGAGCGGCCGCTGCAAGCGCAGCGCTGGTGGCTGCCGAGACTGTGACGGTCGATTCTGACGATGTATCTGAGCTTCGAGAAGCTAAAGCTGCTAACGCCAGAGTTCCCGTTTTTTGTTGCAAAGCTGCTATGTCCGGCCTACGCAAAATTATTATTTTTGGTTGATATTATTTTGAACATAGTTATATATACATATCAACAGTTTACTCACAATTGGCTTCCTCGACGCCTGATCGGTCGGTCTTCATCGACACTTAGGCCGGCAGCTATTTGAGGAGTGGAGCTTGGTTCATCTGTACGATATGAACCACGGCGCGATGTTGCACCAGCTACAACGTCTACAGCTGATGATCTAAAAACCGGAGCAAAACAATAGAATCGAAGTTCATAAACACTTATTTTGGTTTTATAACTGATGTATTATAGATTTATGTTGGTGTTATATTGGTTACTGTATCAATTGTTTTGTCGTTACTGTAATATTACGCCAAATTTGTGATTATACTTGTAAATTGTCATAATTTGTTTTGTATTTTAGATTACGTCTCCTATGCAGTACCTTGATTGGTTGTAAGTAAGGATTACTACAATACCTCCTTGAGATGCTAGGTGGCGCTAGTGGAGCGGCCTGGTGTGCGGGAGAGTGTGGCTGGTCCTCGTCGCAGGAACGTTGTCGCGGGGCGCGCACAGAGCGGCGCCGTGCTGGTGTCACTGTGCTCGGCCGACGTGACTCCACCGTCGGCGTAGTACTGCCGCCGCCCTTTAACTGCCGCCGCGGGCAGCGTGGTTACGAACTCACACTCCACAACATATGCCAGTTACACTTAATGGCACGACACAGAACCATAGTATGTTTTTTTAAGTCTAACTAACCCTATCATTTTCTTTTTTGATAAATAGATGTAAATTAATGAAGAAGAAGGCCATACGAACATTATAGCGACATGTTATGGAGATAAATCGAAGTAAATAATGTTTAATATTACCGATATTTGTATTAACCACGAGTTTCCCACCGAAAATGATCAAGTTATAGCAAAACCATCGATGAACATTACCTTCTCAAGTTCTTTAAGCGAGGCTGGTGATACATCTGAATGTCGCCTGAGTTCAGGTGAGCGTGGGGGTGCTAGGCCAGCACTGCTGCCGCCGCTGCCGAGCCTGGCTTCCGAGTGCCGACGTTGTAGGGCTTCCAGCACAGGGACATCCAGTAATGAGTCTGTACTGTCTTGTGCGGCAGGGGGTAGGCGCGGTGCGGCCTTCCGGCGACACACCGAGCAGCGCCATGAATTCTAAATAATTTCGCAACAATAACTTTATATGCCTTTGAATATAATGATGCACAATTTAAACTGTGTATGTAGTTTGATAATCGAATCTGATAAATTAAAGTTTTGGAATAAATATTATAATCGCATCTTACTGCATCTTCATCACTGGCTGGCTTTGAGTAGGAGGAGCAGTCCTCACAGACGCGGTGCTGGCAGCCGTTGCACGTGTGGTACACCTCTCCCGGCTTTAGAGCCTTCAAGCACACACGGCACGCACCCGCTCGTGATGGCGCTTTACCAGCCTCACTGTAAATACACAGGGATTAAGCCATCTAAATTTCCTAAAAACATAACATTTATAATAAATGGAATCTAAATAAAACCTGAACTAATGAAAAGCAATGAAATGATAAAGAAGAACGAAATTAAATCTTAAACTTTTTTACATGAAAAACTTGAATGAGTTTTATAAGTTACGATACGAATCGTAACAAAGATGTGAAGTTTGGTCAAAGTTGCAAAGAAATTAATATTTGAAATTCTTGTAATACCGTTCAGTCTTAGATATTTGTGCAGCGGTGGGCGGCGGTTGAGCAGGCGGCGGCGCTGGTGTAGGCTCCGGGGTCGGCTCCGGCGCAACTTGTCGCGGACCCAACTTTGTTACTGAAACAACACAAATTACCATCCATTCCTACTCACCACCACCAATGTAAGTTCAATACTAAAATCGAGAATACTACTTCCAAATTAGATTAAGACTGACTGTTCTTAAACGAACAGAAAGTCATTCAAACTAAAATTACATTCAGATCATTGTTATGAAATATTGAATTGGTATGAAACGATGGGAATTCAAATAAGTCGGCAGCTTGTGTCTACCTTCCGAGCAGGAATCCACTAACAATGCGTACCTCCCTGGCCTCCCCTGGCCTGTGAGATGCAAACCTCGCGATATTTCGCTCTGAATATTAAGATCATGAATTCCATCCCAAACTTTTGTCAGTAGGTACTTTTAGTGCCAACTCGTTTCGTCTTGCACTCACAACACAAACAGACAATTAACGAAATATTGCCAAATTAATGCGAATGCGTGTCCGTGTTTATGGAAAGCGTACCTAGGCAAGTACTATTAAAAAAAAGTACACTTCTGTTTTTATAGTAGTTGATACACTTATAATAATAAAAATAAACATAGTAAAGCAAAAATGATATAATAAAATACCAATAGAAATCGTATTATATTGTGTTGACCTATTCTATTCTATCTTCTATACATATAATAAAATTGTAGGGAAAAAGAAACTGTACATTGATTATTATTTTTTAAAAATGCTTGGAGCGTGTTCTATAAACGGCACCGAAGTTAAAAATATGGTTTATAGAATTTTTATCTGTTTGTCTGTATGTATTTACCGTCTAAATTCAAAAAGTACTGCATGGATTTACTTCAAATTTTTACATGAATATTACTAATAGATCTGGTCAACATATAGGCTACATATCATCACGGTTTCACCTACGGGGGAGGAGCTGTGTTTCAATCACTATTTCATGCGAACAAAGTCGCGGGCAACAGCTAGTAGGCAATAAAAAGATTAATATACGGTTAAAATTCAAAACGTTCTTATAGTTATAAAATTATTTATAAGTTCTTTTCCTTTTTGGTGTAAGTTAAATTATAGGGAAATCGTATTTATCTGGGAGGTTTATGTTAACTACTGTTGTGGGGTGTGAGGTAAACATAAATAACAGTAATAACGGCCTTAGGGAACTAGCACATAACACCGCTCCAATCTTCACCATACACGGGTAGGCACAAGAGTTATTACCCGCTACTTACAATACTATAAAGTTACCTGTTTTCCACTAAATAGTTATTTTTCGGGGGCTGACCCGCTTTTCGATAACAATTTCTGTCATCATCGTGCTACTCAAAATCACAAACGATACTTTATATACCTCGAAAATCATAATCGACACTACGTACTGTATACCCTGTAAATGATTGGATTAAATCCGATGATATTTAACTACATAGAAAAACTAAGTCAATTATATACCTCTACAAAAAATATTCTTATAGAAAATCTAGCTGTTTATTATAATCGAGCTACTTTCTTTACGTCGTTCCCTGTAGGCTTCGATAAACAGATTTTTGTCGACATGATGAATGGATATGGTTGTCGGGAGAGATAACGGCCGGATAGGTACGTTTTCGAGCCCAAAAGAGATCGCGACCGGAATGTTGATTTTCCAGCACCCTCCCGCTTGGAATTCTCATGGGTTAACTTTGTATACATCAATCTTAAAACCAGTTTAACGGTACACAGACCTACATATAATTCTGAATGAATCCATTGAAAACATTTGTTTTATTGTTTGTAAGCCCCAGATGTTACTAATTTAAATATTTATAGGAGGATCGTAAAGTATTCTTTTACTGTTTGGTAGAAAAATGGAATGGCAACAAATCAAAATAATAAACGAAGTAAGTAATATTTGTACGTAAAAAGTGAAATGGCATGAAACTAGCGAATTATAAAAATGTTATCTAGAATTTTGAACTAAAATAAATGCGAAATACTGAAATAGCATAACCTATCATTTTCATCATCCTACACAAATTATAGAGGTAATTTAATTCAGCGAGTGAGTCGTGTAGGCGTTAGTCAGAATCGCAGGTATGCACTATATTTAGCTCATGCAACGGTTGGCTTTCAAGAATGCCGAGAAATACCTGCACTCTCGCTATCTCTGTATAACCCAATATTTAGAATTTCTGCTGAAATTATTGGGGAGTGGAACTGTGGGATAAATAGCTCTGCCTGCCTTTTACATTAGATATTTCAATGTATGTAAAATGTACTAAATCCTTATTTTAATAATAATTTAATAGTCCTTACTATTAAACATATTCACCTAACTAAAATCATATCCATGTAAAAATATTATTTAGACGTTGAATTAGCGCCAAACAAAAGACTATTTGGCATTTAAAAATAATGTGTCATTTTATTTCTAAATATTTCGTTTTAGAAATTGAGAATGAATTTTTAAAGTGAAATTAAAATAAAGATTATAAGGAAAATGTTTCATCAGTCGGATTTAACGCTTTTCTAAGTTAAGGAATTTATTCTATTTTCGTTCAACTTAAGCGCTGTAAAAGGGTAATCGATTTCGGTATTCTTAGGCTGATCGTTTTGGAAGTACTTATTAGATATTTTTATACCCGACTTTACTAAAATGTTATTTTGTACGTATTTTGTTATCGAAATTCTCTTATACAATTCTGAGGTGGGATTAAGTTAAAAGGAAAAACTAATGAATTTTCTTCATACAAGTTGAGCCTAAACCAGTCTTTTACGATACTGAAGTTACAGAGGATCTTTTCTGTTTGTAAAGTAGCTCCGTATATGACATCATAATAAAATTGGACATATAATTTATTTAAATTAATCATTATTTCCGTTAATCCTTTGTAAATGATTTGTATAAAACAATTTCTACAAGGTACATATTATACATTACTTAAAATAACGACCACTTTACCGTTGACTATACGAGAATAAAATTGTCGTACTAACATTTCGTTAAGTACGTACGTATAAGTACAAATATTGAAACAGTTTCTTAATATATCCAGTTCGTACTTCAAATATTACATAAGTTGGACCTCTGTTATGTAACTTCGCGTCAAGTCTAACAACTTATTTACCTCTGACATTATTAGTGTTGTTATGAGCTAGTACAATGTTAGTACGCCATACAAAGTGGAACTTTCTAACGCAAATGTTTACTTAATTAAATCCAATTAGTGGATGGACTTTGGGCTCTTGGTCCTTAAATTAGAGTAAAACTACCTTTCTTTGTGCTAGTCTTTACCAGTTGTGGTTGTGTTTACCTTTGTCCTGAGCAGTGAGAAGAGAGGACGACAGGGTCTGTCGCAGTTTGCCGAAGGTTCCCGGCGACTCTATGTGGCCGGGCACCGTGTTTGATGAGTCGTCCGTTGCCACCATCTACAACAACATATTCAAGTTTTAGTGAAATAATTGCTGCATGTGTTTTCTAGATACGCCTAAAACATTAAAGTAAATCTAAGTTAGTTACAATTTTATTTTTTGTGTATAGCAATCGGAATAAAAACGTCGTGAATTAGTAAACTCGATAAAAACACTTGGTGTTGAAAAAGAACTCATGTCGTGGAAAGCGACGCCACGCGGCGATAAAACTCTTCATACAAAAATAACGACTCAGTAATACTGTCGTAAATTTTATGGAGAGCAACAGATGGAGAATGAAATACATCAGAGACGGGAAAATCAATATTGTAGTCGTCCGAACTAGACTGCGGAGCGTTTTTATTGCTTCGCTCGCAACTTATCTCTAAAGTTTTTCTTCAGTGACTAAGTACAAGTTACGACTAAAATAGATTCGAATTAGTGAAGTCACTATTTATATCATACAACGGGAGGCTACATAATCTTACTTAATACAGCACCCGAGCTACCTTAATAGGCTTCTGGCTAATTGGAACTTGATCGTAAAATATAAAAGTCTATAAATAAAGATGTGCTTAACGCTTTAGAAATTGTGTTTCAATAGGGAGTGGCTTTACCCTGCGGTAGGTGGAGGTGGAAGGAACTGTGTTACCGTCAACAAAGCGACCTCCTGGCGGACGTAGTAAAATGGGCGCACGAACACGAAGCACAGGAACTCAGGAAGGAAGGAGACTGTACCGCTATAGGTAAGTTGTTAGGAGACGGGTTTGAACTACGCCGCTTCAAAGTATTTATGTATGTACTTCTCAGCTAATGTGTACAGTTCATTAAAACTTTCCTCATATTCAAACCAATTTCTAATGTACAACAACTTCATTTGTAGTGTTATGAAATGAAGCCTAAAATCAACCTTTATTTCATTACGAGGAGAAGTAATTTGGTATAGTGCATTTGATAGGGTAATTATTCTTGAGTTTGAGCATTAGTTGGTTACACGTAAATTGTTTTCGATCGATTTGAGATAACGTAACAGATTCTGAGGTATTTTTGTTGCTTTTGACAGATGAATCATGAGACTAATTTATAAATAGTACCTACATTAACACATTAACCGTATAGGTATGCCGTATAGAAACAACTTCTGTATCTATAGTTTACCCATGTCGAACCTTTGCTTTATGTAAAATGTAGTTCCCAATCACTTTACTCGAGTATTCTACATATGCTTTGAACCCGCACGTGTAAAATTTCAACCAGTGAAAGATTTACGGGAAAGTCATTCGGTGAATTTTCTGCAGAACTTTAATGGAGTTTCTGTATACATACATGTTCCTACATACGTATGCACTGCGTCAATAGAGTTCGAATGACTTGATCAAACTGCCGTTTCCTCGTCGAAAAATGCAATTAAGACTGTGGCACAATCAAACTGTTCGATCAATAGTCGGCTCCATTCTATAACTTAGTAGTACGTAACTATTACCATTTGATAGTGAGATATGAGTTATAAATATATAGAGATTAATATATACTTGCAATGAAAAATGTTGCTCTGTTTGTTCTATTTAGTTGATTACTTCTTTTTTTTTTAATTATCTGATCGAGTCTACCAGATGAAAAATTATATTTAATGTATAAGTGAAAGCGTAACATACATACAAATATAGATGACTACTATAGATATAGACAGTAGTTATACAATATTCATGAACATTAGAGAAGTTGTGAAGCATCTGGCACAACGCATTCTCCTGGGAGTGAGCGCTGCTAGCCGCGGCTGACCTCCCGGCTTCTCGCCTTCTGTTCTCGAGTTATTGGATTCGCCAGTCGAGCCACGCTCGAGACCGAACGCTTTCCACTTAGATGCATTATAAATGAAAGCCGTTGCTAACAATTACAAAGGCTATTGTTAAGTTTCCGATGAGAACCACTCAACTGCTGATTGTCAATTAAGTTCTAAAATGTCATGAGATAGTTAACTTTGTCTGCGGTATATTTTCACTGAACGTTCAATTCGATAAACGAATACGTTACGCGTAATATTCGGTAGAAATCAATATATTTTTTTATTGAAAAATGTATTCGATCAAATCACATGGGATCAAATATTATCGTCGGTAAACGGTGGTTCCTGGGGTAAACGATATTTTGTACTCGTTTACTTGGTTATGCTTGCTCCTACGCGGAATATCAGATGGAAAATTACGACCGTAGATACTTTTATTACTTTTGAAATATCAAAGGTGAAAACCAAATAGATCCGTACCTATTTTATTAGAAAAATCATAGTAAATAAGAAAAAGAATAACAAAAGTATAAATACACAATAACTTTATAAATATTTATACAATTTCTGTTACTATACTGTATTTCTAAGGTTGAAACGAATGAGTTGGGATTCACATATCCCAGAGGGCTCAGCGAACCGTTTCTCGCGTAGAATGAATAGACCCGACGATAATATGGTATTTATTACACTGTTTTATAAATTACCATGTTTTTTATACTAAGAAGATTGGATTTTCGTAAAAAGGCAAGTTTCCTTTACTTTGTTTATCTTTATAGAGGTTATAAGCACCTAGGTGTAGTTTTTAAATATGGGAAAATAAAGTGAATAGGCAAGTTGCACGCTAGTAGTTTACTGTAGCATATTACTTTAACTAGTATCTATCTTTAACTTTCTACCTCTGTTGTGTGTTGTCATATAGGTAGTAATTAGTTTATGTTGTCATTAGTTAAAGCAGTACAACAAAAAAGATGCGCAGCAGCGCAACTAGTATCACGTTGAGCACACGGTCGTCCGCTTCGATTAGCGTTACCGGCAGAGATTTTTGAGATAAAATGGGTCATGAACAGAGCGTTCATGACCTACTAGTGAGGTGCAAGGGGTGCGTGACGCGGGAGGGGGAGGACGCGGCCCTGGTTGACCCACTTGTTGCCTCAACCCGCTATTTACATTACAACTCTAATTGCTGTCGGCAAACGGCAGGTGTAAGCCTTTACTTTATCATCACCTTGGGAACAACCTTTTCTAATTCGTTGTTCGACATGTCAAATGTAACCCATTACTAAACTAAATGAATTTTATTTCATTTTGAATGAGAATGATGTCTTTCATTAGGTGAAGAAGAAAGGCCGATTTTGTTTGGAACAGATATTAATTAAGGGTTGAATAGACGTAGAGTTGTTGGCCTTTAGTGTTTTTATTTCGTATCGTCAGATGAATACAATGGGGCCGGCCACAATGGCTGTGTCGAAGTCACATGTGCGCGGCGAGTGTCGGCTGGAGCGGGTGGCGCGTGGCGGTGGCGGGAGCAAAACAGAGCAGCCGGAGCGGAGAGTGCGCAGCGCTACACCCACGACCAGCACAAAGGAATGTAATTACGCGTCAGTGGCGCACAGCGCGATTGTTCTTATTTTAGAACCCAAATACATATTTGTCGCTTCGATGAAGGAATAGTTCACATACCTATACGAACACGTTTCACTACATTTTCAGTTGATTGGGACTTGTTAGACAAATATTATTGACAAAATATAATAACGGCTTAAAATAAAAATTGAATATACTGGTGAAAAAATATGATCAAGTCAATTAGTTGCTATCTGCTTATCTAGTACGTTGTGTGTACTGAGTTTTCTTTAATTACTGAAAGTTTAAAGTGTTTGTTCTGTTCTAGACAGGGTTAGAATAAATACTTTAAAGTTCTTTTAACTTTTAGTGCGAACGGATTAAGGTACAAAGATATTTATGTATAAAATTGCAAAGTGTATAACAAAGAGTACTCTTTGGAATGCTAAATCCTAAAGCAAATAATATAAGGTATGCCAAGAATTTTCATTATAAAACATAGAAAACTATAACTATGAAATATTGCCTCAGGGTTGGGCGGACGGTCGAGGGTGAAATTAGGTTCTTTCAGTGGTTGGTGGTCACTACAACGACGTAATAATATTTGTAAAAGCGAAGTCGCGGTCAAAAGGCCCCGCCGTTTCTTCGAAATATTAAAAGTCTTGATACTTAGCTGTTTGTGTTACAATATTTGTTCTGAAACTATCTAATATTATTATATATATTAAGGAATTGGCTGCCAATAAAAAACTGTTGAAGGCAAATCCTCCGCTAATGTCGGTCACCGGTGACTGCCATGGCGTTCAACGTGTTAAAAAGTAACTATGTAATAAATTAGCAAGGATTTATGCATATTTTTTAAATACTGTATTTAAGGTAAACCTATTGCCATAAATCGGCCAATTCCAGAAATCTATGGTTTTACTGAGAATTATAAAAATTGATAGTTCTTTACCTGGCCCGGATCAACCAATCAACTTGACCAACAAGCCAGTCTTATTCACAAGATTGTACCTATCTAAAAAAGCGTAGGTAGGTTAAAAAGACATTTTTTATTTTGTTGAGTAGGTAAGGTTTTATGCGAAAAACAAACCCAAATGTTTACTAAACACACATACAAACAACAGTTAAACAATGTGCACAAAAGTAGTAAAGTAATTTAGCGGATTTCCCGCGCTGCCGCCGCGCGCCGCCATGTTGCTCGCGAGACTTATGTGGATCCCGTTCAGAAATCACATTAAGGTAGTTTGAGCGCGGCCGGTCGGAACTACACGCGAATAAATCTAAATCACCGACGGGCTGAATCTCGCCTAAATCCACTTTAATGCTCTTCACACCCGGCCGCACACATTACGCTCATGTAACCACGAAGCCACGAAACTACTGTGTCATGCATTCACTGAATACTACATTTGTTTGTGTTAAACCCAACATATCTCCTTCTGCTGTCTTTTTCAGAGCTCTACGTATTTGCATTTTACTAGAGAAACTCAGACTAACGCGCATAAATATTTCAAATATTCTGTATACATTTGAGGTGTGAATATCAAACCCGAAATAAATCTATAAAACATACTAAAGCCCTTTTCTATTATGCAAGATGTTAACCTTTCAACTGAAACTTTACTTTGATATTGCAGAGCTTCTCCGATAATTACTTAGTTAG